TTTTGTAAGGCCAAATAATATTCCATGTGTTTGTATATTGACCTAAAAATGCCCAAACCTGTAGTAAATTTTTATAAGAGCTTGAGTCAAAACTAATAACATATGCTGAGGAGCAAGATTTCAAATGCTCCCCAGAATAGCAGTTTGCAGTTTCTCTTACGTGCTTATAATTAAGGAGAGAATGTAAGGAAGGTTACATGAAGGTTGGAGAAAGCTAGGAGGGGATTGGATTACATGTTAACCAGATTATGTGCTCTCTTGAGGGTGGCCATGCCTTGAGGGTACTTCTGGCATTTCAAAGGTGTGTTCGCCTAGATGCCAAGAACAATAGACAGGGCTTACTTAAAAACCTTTCACTAAAGAAGTTATAGGGCTGGGGCATGACTACCCACTATGACCTGCCCAGTAAGGAATTTATGATTTATTACAACACTCCTTTTTCATACACATATATAACACATTTTGTTTATGCATTCATCCATTGATGGGCATTGGAATCATTTCCACTTTTTTACTAGTATGAGTAATGCTGCTTATGAACATCGGTATACAAATATCTGTTTGAGTCTCTCCTTTCAATACTTTGGTCTACGTACCCAGAGGTGGAATTATTGGATCAAAGGGTAATTCTATGTTTGATTTTTTAACCAACTTTGTTTTGAACTTAGGTAAATTTTCATGGTCCTTTATTATGTCCCATTTATTCTGTACGCGTGAAGTAGGTGTTAAATCTGCAGCAGCTCTTTCATGCTATTGTATTCTGAGGGGAAGATGCTAGCTAGTGTTACTACCTAGAAGTATGCTTTGTGTAGCTATTAGTGGAACTCGAGTTAAAGATTTTAGCTTCAGCCATAGTTGAAGGGCTTAACTCATTAATGCAAGTGGAAAGCTGTTATTCCAGGAACTAGAATGCACACTCCAGGAGGTCTATACACATTGCGACCTTTGTGCTCCAGGAGGTCTGCAAGTTATCCAGATGCTATCTGAGCCATTGTGTTTCAGGGAGAAAGACTCAGATAAAGAATTATTGATCAGCAGATAAAGAAATAGTAGGAAAATTGCCCCTGGACTGCAGCTCTTACTAACCTTTTTCCAAACCCCTCACCTGTTCTTTCCTTCTCCATATAAAACAGGTTGGCTTGGGATGAGATGTTTAGACAGTTTTTGAAGGTACATAACTCACTGTCATCTCAGATTGTCAACATCTGAATAAAGTGCCCATGGAGATTCAATCCTTGTCTCTGCTAATTGGGTCTGGTAGTGACAGGCAGCATGAATGCTGACTTTTCTGGTTTCATAGCTATAGTTGGTTTGTTTAAAAATGTATCAATATAAGCAGAGATTTTCAACCAGTATGCGGCAAGAAATTTTAAAACATTCATAACCTGACTATTTTGTCAGGGTCACTGACCCCTTTTCCCTTAGATTGTCAAATTAAAAAAATGACAACAGCCAATACAACAACAGCCATCTGGTGTGAATAAGGCAGAGTTATACCTTTTTTTGTCAAATCGGCAAATATATATATATGTATTTGTGTGCTGCAGAATGTTAGTAATTAGTTTATATGTTCCATGACATGAAAAAGGTTGAAAATCGCTGACTGTAGGTATAGAGAACATGTTTTGTCTCCTACATTGGAATTACCATTAGCTCCTTTCTCCTACTGTCAGCACTGCCTCAGGCACCTTGTAGCCAAAGAACCATATAAAGGAGATTTAAATCCTGTTTATCTCTCTTGAGCTTGTTTAGTGGCCCTCTTTAAGACCATCTCCAAGGGAAGTAACATCTGAGTTTTGATCAAGTCGGCTACCTAACAAAGGGAAGGGAAGGGTGTTTGGTGGCTCTGAAGTCCATGTTGTTTCTGTTACACAGAAGTCAGATTCCTTTCCCTTTTGTTGTGAAAGAAATTTTATTAGAGAATAGATTTCAATGATTTATAATTTCGGTTTACTGAGCAAAGTCCCATTTTAATGTCTACTGTGCAAAATTAGTCACAGATATTAGAAGCATGAAATAAGCATTTTTGATAAATTTCAAAGTGACAAGTACAAAGCTAATAAACACGGAAATTAAAATTTCTGCACATTGTTATGGTTTTCTTCAGTTAAAAAAGATTTGAAAAATTTTTTCCAGGAAAATGATACTTTGTAATTTAAAAATATATTTGCTGTCTGCTGAAGAGTAACTTAGACTTGCAGTCTTTTTCTGTAAAATACAAATTCTAGTAAGAAAGTGCTGCCCATTCCTAGAGGGACAAAGAAGGCAGAGTGTGTATATATATATTTTTTGGTCCTTTAAAAAAGGAGGTGGGGTGTAGTTTTTTTAAAGCTAGAGGCCAATGTAAAATTCATGTGAGGAGACTAATTGCTCTGGTCATGTCAGTGTTTAGAGCCTGAGGTTGGTAGATTGCAGTTACTTCATAGTGTTTTTGCTACTGAAAGGCAATTCAAGCAGACTGGGAAATTGCCAAAATTGGGTAGTTGACTAAGTGTTAACTATTAAGCTGTCTCCTCCTCACTGAAGCCTGCTGTGACCTTGCCAGGCGTAACTTAATTGTTCCCTCTTGCATGCTTCCTTCCTTGTGAGCGTTGTGTTTCTGTCTCTCTCAACTAGATTATGAACTTCTTTAGGGAAGAGATGTCATATGTTATGCTGTATATTTAGCATGTAGCATAATTGCTTACACACGGCAGGCCCTTTGAAACATCAGTTGAGTCACTTCTTAGTATGAGACTTGGGCATAAGAATAACAAATGAGAAGAAACAACCACAGTAGATATCAGAAGGGGAGATGGAAATCAGTGTTAGGATGTGGCTAAGAACAGAGGAAACCACTACAGGATAGAAACCAGAGAGATTTTTGTTTCATGTGGTGCATCATGCTATTTCCTTGTCTCATTTCCTTGAGACCAGCTCACAGCTTGACATTCTCATGTTTACTTAGCAGACGTTGAGGCATGCAAGTTGTGGGATGACAGAAGCATCTGATTTTAATGCAGCGTAATAAAGCCACAGTAGAGGCAAGTGCGTACAGTATTATCCTGTGAAAGAGGGGCATTCTTCATAGAAGGTAACACTGTAAAGTAAAAGAGAATACCTCCCGCCAAGCAAACGGCCCCTGAGGAGTGGCTTCACAGAGCCCAGCAGAGCCCAGGAAGGGCAGCAGATGGGAGCATCTGGTGTCTGCGGGGCAGGTTCTGGGAAATAGAGATCTGCCTGGGAAGGACCTTATTTCTGGTTTTGCTTTTCCTTTCCTCTCTTCCATTCTTTTTGTGCTAGTGCTAGTCCGTGGGGTTTTTGCTTTAACCATTAGTAGTGTGGAGACAGTGGAGAATTTTACAGAGCAGAATGACACAATCAGAAATGTGTTTTGAAAGGCAGACTGGCAGTCTTGTAACCACGTAGAAGATGAATTAGAGGGCAGATTCTGGAGGCAGTTAGATGGATTTGGAGGCTGTTGTGATTTCCAAGCAAGAGTGGAAGAGTATCTATTATATAATTCCATTTATATTAAACATCAGAACAGGCAAATTTATAGAGACAGAAAGTAGGATTGGCCAAAAAGTTCAGTTAGTTTTTCCTGTAAGATAGCTCTGGTAGTGCTTAGTTGTCTTTAACTTCACTTGAAACAATTTCGTTAGATTGTATTGTGGCAGCTGTCATGCCAGTGTGCATTTAAAAAAAAAACCGACCGCAAACAGTGAATTTTTGTGCAACCATTTTAACATGAAGATGGAAGACGTTATGCAACATTTTTGGCTTATGCTTTATTATTTCAAGAAAGGTGAAAATGCTACTGAAATGCAAAAGAAGATTGTGCGGAAGGTGCTGTGACTGATTGAACATGTCAAAGTGGTTTACGAAGTTTCTTGTACTATTGGTATTTTGGCCAAATAATTCTTTGCTGTGGGGCTATCTTATGCATTGATTGGAAGATGTTGAGCAGCACCCTGATCTCTATCCACTAGAAGTCAATAGCAGGAGATAGCCTACATACGCAAAATATCCAAATCAATAAAGTTATTGGTGAAAATGAAAACTAAACAGACTATTTGGCTAACCTAATAGATCAGTGTTTTCGGGAGCTGGAAGGAAGGGCTAATGATGAATGACTGCTAATGAGTGTGAGTTTTGTTTTTGTTTTTTTTTAATGATGAAAATATCCTGGAATTAGATAGTAGTGATAGTTGTACAACTTTGTGAACATACTAAAAAACCATTGAATTGCATACTTTTAAATGGTGAATTATGTCTCAATTTATTTATTTGTTTTAAAGATTTTATTTATTTATTTTTAGAGAGAAGGGAAGGGAGGGAGAAAGAGAGAGAGAGAAACATCCATGGATGAGAGAAACATTCGTTGGTTGCCTCTCACAAGTCCCCTACTGGGGACCTGGCCCACAACCCGGGCATGTGTCCTGACTGGGAATCAAAGCAGCGACCCTTCAGTTCACAGGCTGGCACTCAATCCACTGAGCGACACCAGCCAGGGCAAATTATGTCTCAATTTAAAGAAAGAGAGAGAGAGAGTTGAAGGGTTCCTGAAACAAGCAGAAACAGTGGGAATAAAAAAGGCCAAGAAGGGTCTGTGAGAAACTCAGTGGTAAAGAATTGACCGTACTTGGAGACTGAATATTGGCAGTGCCCAAAATGCAATAGAGGCTGGTTCTGATGCTTCCAATTCATATGATTGAATCGATAGGGAACCATATTCTGGAAAAAGTGAGTTTGGAGAGACATAGAGTGAAATTTTTTGAATGTGTAATCAAGGCAAGCAGGTAAAGGTAAGGCCCAGATTTCATGAGAGTTTCTGGGAGTAGAGAAGGAAATGAGCTGACTGAAGTGAGACAGACTGCTGATAGGTGGTATCCTGGCCCACCGCTGCCCCCCAACCCATGAAAGTCCATTTCCCATTTTCTCCTTATCCTCTAAGCTGGTGTAGAGGTCGTGGTGGTTGCTGTTTCTAAATAAAGCTGAATCTTTATTTTACTTTTCAGGCAGAAGCGAGGTTGGCAGCGAAGCGGGCTGCCCGGGCAGAAGCAAGAGACATACGCATGAGAGAACTCGAACGGCAGCAAAAAGAGGTAATAGGGGGAATAACCCTAATTTTGTGCTAGTCTCAAAAAAGTCATACTTGGTTTACTTCTGAAGTAAATCTGGTTCCCTTTGAAACACTGGGAAGAGCGTAACCTGTTGTATGTATTTTAACAATCCATTCTACGTCATCAAGTTAAATGTGATATTTGTTTCAAATAATAACAGCAAACAGATATACAGCTCTTACTATATACAATTTTGTACATTATTATAGTGTTATAAGTGCTTTGCTTATTAGCTAAAGTATGCTTAGAGATGATACAGTTATTTACTATCATTCTAAATGTCCTCGAATTCCCTTAATTATACTATGATACCTACATTGTAAAGCACTGTGAAGTCATTCAGCCTTCCAGTTTTTATGCGTATTAATAATGGAGGAGAATATTCACATAAGAAAATGAAAAAAGAACATCATCAGACAAACCGTAAGACTTGGAGAACTCCAGTTTTGTGTTAGAAAACCTGGTACCCATATATAGGGTCAAAAACTACTAGAAAGAAGTGGTTACTATTAATACTTGGCTTTGTCTGTGGTAGAATTATGATTTTATTTCCGTATGATTTTCTATAGTTCATAAATTTTAGTATGCTTTTATCATTAGAAAGAAAAGTAAAACCAAATTTTAAAAAATAGGCATAAAAAAATTAGGCTGCTCAAGTAAGAAACGAATACTCTTTTTTTACCCTTTCTTCCTGACATTGAATTAGCTCTGAAAATTCCCATAAAAAAGTATTTCTGATGCTGTATTAGTACAAAGGGGGAAGAAGCCTCAGGGCAGTATTAAATACTTTGTTTTGATATTGGTGATAGATCTTCTGCTAATGGATTACATAGAAGTGTATAGTTTCCATATTATTACCACTGAAAACCAAAAGCAGGCACAGTTCATATGTTGCTGATATTTTTAAACCTCATATATAGTTTCAAATATTGAATGCAATTCTTGGCTTGAAACAAATGTTGCAATGCATTGTCTTTTATACTCCTAAAATTATAGTAAATTATAAGGAAATAATTATTAAATACAGGTTCTATTTATGGTTCGCTACATAAAACCATATGTCTCATTATTGAACATATTTAGTTTAGTAATTTTCTGTATTTTGAATGTGTAACTTACTTTGAGTCAACAATCATTGCTCCTCAGGGCAAATGTATATGATTATTTTAAGACTTCAGAGGATGCAGTAATTTGGAAACTCTTCAGTTTATGAAACTTTTGCATTTGTAGCATTCTCATCATTCCTTTGATCGGAAGTGGGGACAGATTCACAAGTGGCTGGTAGGCCAGGATTGCCTGTTTTGCATGTTGTGTTCAGCTGCTGAAATAATGCAATCTTGAAGTAAAACATTGACTAATAGTTTACAAAGTAGGAGTGTTTGGCATGTTTGAACCTAAAGGTCAGAGAGACTGTTCTTCTGTAGTGGACCAAATATGTCCTTCTTGTCCAGCCATTTCTGTTGTAGTCTACAGCCTTAACTCATCTCAGGACTATTCCTAATCAAGCAATATTGAGTAAATGAGTATGTTTTCTTTCTATGGGTGTGTTCTTCTCTCCCTTAAATTTGTCCTTTTCTCTCTCTCTCTCCTCTCCCCCTCATTTTCTCTCACCCCTCCTTCTTCCCTCTCCTCTTCTTCCTTTCTCCTTCTCTGTCTTTTTAACAAAGTAAGTCAGCAGGGCCTTTATCGAGAGGTGACCCAAGTCATTTTTCCATCTCCTCTGAAAATTACTCTCATTTTTTCATTCTCTCATTTCCTTTTCAAGTCTTCTACTACTGCTCCCAAATTTAACTACAAGAGCAAATTGTGCACCAGTAGAATATTATTACCTGTGGATTATTGTCTTATATTACAGGGGTTCTTTACTTGGTATGTAAATAGACTTGGGGATGGGGCACGAAGCCTTAAAATCTCACACAAAGTTGTGTGTGTGTGTGTGTGTATATATATATATTCTAATGTGAAATGCCCACAGGTACTTTTATCATCAGATATTCAAAAGAGTGTGTGAGCCCTACAGGGTTAAGAACCACTGTCTAATTGCTGCTAAGTCAGCAACTTCCATAAGCAAATTCCTTCTATAGCATCATTTTAGGATACAACCAGAATTAAAATATTTATAACTGTATTGACCTACAAATTTAAAACTTTGCCATGCTTCTTGTGATATATTACAAAAGAGATAAAAAGATGCTTGATTACTTTGGAGTGAAATCTATAAAGTGTCTTCTGCATGTAACTGGATTAATATTACTAACGGTGTATTAAGAGTGTTTTGTGTGAATAAAAGAAATAACTTTGCTTACAAATTTTCCATGGGTTTATTAGTTTAATTTCTTTTAATTATGTACTATAGTTCTAAAATTAAATTGCCTAAGATTTTAATACTTACAGCAGACCAAAACACTATAATACAGAGCCTATATTAAAAGTCTGATATTTGAATCCTGTATTCAAAGGCCATGAAGATAAACATATATTTTCGTCTCTGTGAAATGCGTGCCATTCAGGCAATGAGTGTGCTAGATTTTCATGGAAGGGAGAACACTTTGGGTTAGAGGTTTAAAATGCAGGTAGTGGCTAACCAAAGTTTTGAATGATAGCTCGGTCTTGGGTGTGCAGAGCAGCTGGGGTTTACTTCCAGATGGGGTAATTGTCACTTCTAACCTCTTCTGACGCTTGCTTTTGCTCCTTTCACACTGATACTTCATCTCACTTTTTATCTTATTCTTGTCTCTCTGGCTCCTGTCTGTCAGGGAGCCTGTAGAAGCTGACATATGACAGTCACAATATAAAATATAAATTACTAATAAATTTATAATAAAACAAATAATGCATATACAAGTAATAGGACTTTCAATTACAAGAAAGAAGAATCTTCCCATATCAAAATCTTCTAATTTTAATTAATTTTTTGTGTGGGGTGGGATGTTGGGATGTGACTGGGGAAAGCAAGGGCACTGGGCTCAGGAATGAAGCTCACTTTGTGTTCTGTATGTCAACACTGTGCTAATGCTTTTTCCATATGTTTTCATTTCACACTATAAGATAGGTACCACTGTTTCTATTTTATAGACAAGGTGATAAAGGATTGGTGAGATAAACAACTTAGTCATTGGCAGAGCCAAAATTTGAAGGCATGAGTGAGTACCATCTGCTAATGGATTGGAAGGTAAAAGGATCAGCCAGAAAAGGCCTAAGTTTTTCTGGGCCTTCAAATAAGCAGTGTTTAGTTTAGCTAGTGATTCTGTTTTTAAATGGGCTGTATTAATCAGTAGCATGTTGGTGACCTGGAAGAGTAAATGCAGCTTCTGAAGTTTCCTGTTTTGAAACTGTGGGCCTGGCTCTAGCCTGACTTGTGTTATTTGTTGATAGAAGATGGTCATGTGTATTCACTGGGCTGTGGGATTTTAAAAAATAAAACTACTTTATTCTCACTTCAAGTGAACTTTTAAAAACTAGAATATGTTTCATTTCCATTAATTTACGTTAAAGGATTAAAACATAATTTTCCAGAAAGCCTTAAACAAATATAAGCATTGTCCTACAAGTTCAGCCTTGGGTAGTTTATACTAATAAGGACTCCCAAGATAATGAACATGTATTCTTTTTCCTGACTGTGGAAGAAGTAGATCCTCTGCCTTGTAATTGGCACCTAAAGACACAGATTGTGGATTTTTTTTTTTTTAATAGGGCCCTGTTGCTTTTAATTTGAGAAAGACCAAATTGGCAATTAATCAATCCATTCGTCCTCAACTGAGGACATGTTCATTGACCTTAGATAGGAAGGAAGGGAGAGAGAGAGGGAGAGAAATAACAGTATGAGAGAAACATCTGTCAGTTGCCTCTTGTATGTGCCCCTACCAGGGACTGAACCCACACAAAATGTAGGCATGTGTCCGGACTGGGGATTGAACCTGTGACCTTATCTTACGAGACAATGCTCTAATCATCTGAGCCATACCAGCCAGGGAGCAATTGGCAATTTAAATACTGCTGTAGAAATACCTGGGGAATGAAGCTCTTTGTTTTTTCAGATAAGAAGAAATCTCTGAGTAGAAACCAGGACACCTTGCTATTTTATTCATGTTCTTTTTATGTAATCAGTGTAGACTTAGCCAGCGTTGGATGGAATCTTTATGGTTCAGTTGTCTGGTGAGTGAAAGGAACTGAATGTTCATCCCAGCTTTATGACTTTGAAAGGATCAGACTAAGGACCCCTTCTTGCTGTTCAGAATAATCCTAGGGTGATGCTACAGTCTTCTTTTATACAGGGGTTTCCTCTGTTTCCCTCATATTTACCACTATGCAAAAGTATTCAAGGTAGGGGGAGTCATTTTTTTAAAAAAACTAACTAAATGCCTGTTTTTCTGTATATAAGAGTGGTGCTGCATGGCAGACTTTTAGTAAAATATGTGTTTTGGGTCTTTTTTGGTGGAATGAGAATTTACTTTGAGTTCTTTGTATAGTAGCTACTAGCCATATGTATGTAATTACATTTAGATTTAAATTAAAAATTTAGTTTCTCAGTTGCACTTCTAGTATTTCCAGTTCTCAAAAGCCATGTGTGGCTAGTGGCTATCCTATTAGACAGTACAAACATAGAACATTTCCATTGTTACAAGAGTTCTGTTGAACAGAACCAGTTTACAGTGTAGCTTATGACTGGAATAAGCTGTATTCTCTCAGTTCAAATTAAGTGGTGTAAATGCAGTTTACATTTTATTCTGTAGACTTCTAAAGTTTTTTTAGACCATTTAAAAAAATAGCTGAAAAGAAAAGCTGTTTAAATATAGAGGTATATCAATATATAATTAGGTATTTTTATTTAGAGCTATATTTGTAATAGGTATAATTAAAAATAAATATGAATTTATTTGTCTTTGCTGCATCTTTAATGGGATGTGCTCTTTAGAGGTCAGTTTTTAAAAAGTGCTCTTGAACCCTGGCTGGTGTGGCTCAGTGGATTGAGTGCCAGCCTGCGAACCAAAAGGTTGCCAGTTTGATTCCTATTCAGGGCACATGCCTGAGTTGCAGGCCAGGTCACCAGTCGGAGGTGTGCAAGAGGCAACCAATCGATGTATCTCTCACACATCAGTGTTTCTCTCCCTCTCTTTCTCCCCCCCTTCTCCTCTCTAAAAAGAAATAAAATCTTTTTTTTTTTAAGTGCTCTTATATGGTAGACGGAATGAAAAGAAAGTTTAATATAAAAGGAAGATTGAACATTAAACCACATCTGTCACTCTGGTACTCCAAATAATACTGGGAAGGGGCATGTAGAATTTAGCCTCCCTTGGCACCACAAGGCTCTTTAAACCAACCAAACTAACTAGCCTAGAACTGGTCACCACTTAACAAACTGTACCTGCCCTGATGGGCTAATGCACATGCCTCTAAAACTTTTGTGGTATCACCTAATAATCAAAGAAAGAAAAGAAATTTGTTTGGCTTCTTGCAGATTACATGTGTCTATTATGTAATGGAAATGCAAACCATTAATGAATTCCTAAAGATCAGAACACCTGGCCAGGGTGTCCAACCGCAGCCTCTGGGCTTCATGCGGCCCAACACAAAATCTTAAATTTACTTAAAACATTATGAGATTTTTTTGTTTTCATTAGTGTTTGTGCATTCCGTTCACTCTTCTTCTTCCACTGTGGCCCAGAGACACCAAAAGGTTGAACATGCCTGCATTTTGACTCATTGAATCATACTGATGCTTATAAATAGACTTCTGAACAGATTTGATCAAATGTGTCAGTGTACATAGCAGATAATAAACAGGAGTTTTTTTGAATTATATTCAAAGTTATGACCAAAATAAGCGTTAAGTTTGGTGTTTTAGTTGAATTACTGTTTTTGTATTTGACATTAATCATCAGACTTAGCCACATTTATTTGTTCCACCTATATAACGATCATGCTCTATGGCCATGGGGTGTTTGAGGTATTGATTCATCACTGTCATTAACCCTGACCCCACTTGGACCAGTTGTGTGATTCTTAGTCAATACAAATCACTTTAATACTTTGAAGTTTGAAAACGTGAAAGATCAGAAGTTTATTACTGTTTCAATTGGTTAGGTTCTAGGGACTAGTCATTTGATTTCACGTAACTCAGAACCAATGCTAATAACTGAATGTGGAAAAATTTAGAATTGCATTTAACTCAGTCAACTTCTTTGTAATCTTCATAGGCATAATTCTTATTAACTTCACCAACTCTGAAATACTTATCCAGTTATTAGTAGTTTTTCATATTAACATTACACAACCAGGGGCTATTTCACTTAGTTGCTCCCCCGCCCCCATTAAAGTAGTGAAAGGAAAAAAGAAATTCCTTTGCAGGGAGCAGAAAATTATAATCCAAATCTTTTAAAAGCAATACACTGTCTCTAATACATCTGTAATAACGTAAACTTGTATGGCAGATGTAATTCTTCTTGCCTTGCGTAAGCTAACATTCAAAATGAAAAAATAGATAAAAGCCTACTTTTAATGTTAAGCTCAATTTCTGTTTAAGTATGCTTTCTTATTTTTATCTTGGTATGTTGAGCTGTCTTCGTCATATGTAGATTACATTCTGCAAGAGGTGAGACAGGCAGACATACACTTGTGTAAATAAAAACATTGCGAAGATTATTGCTACTTTCTTTCCAACTCAAGCATGTGGTTGCCCCAAACTCAGCTTTTGAAACTGAGTTGTCCATACCTGCTTGCTGTAAGGAAGGTGGCGGGTGTGCTCTTAACTGACTGTTCTTCACTCAGTTGTTCTGATAGACAGCCCTCTTTGTTCATCTGTTCATTGATTAATTCTCCATGTACTTTCTCCTTTCCCAGGAAGATTCAGAAAGGGCCAGGTATTCCCACCGGTCCAGTCATCATCGTCCTTATCTGGTTTGTAATAACCTATGAACTTGCCTCTAACACTTTTCCTCATTAACTTAATGTAGTTACTCACAAACTTTTGTTTTTATTTTTATCAGGGAGTTGAGGATGCATTGTCCATTCGAAGTCTTGGCAGTTACAGGGTTGGTATTTTAAGTTGTTTACACAATAGCAAAGCTTCTGTGTTTGAGCTTTCTGCAGCACCATTGCTTAAGCAATCTGATAGTGTTCATATATTCCTTTGCCTTTTTTTCCTTAAATGGAAAATACTGGCAAAGTCCTTTCATTGGAAAGTGATGCTTTCATTGAAAATTATTGCTATATGTAAATCAATTCTAAAATCAAATATTTTAATCTATTATCATAAGAACTCTTTTTCTATAAAAAGGCCTTTGATTTTGGTAAATTATCACAAAATAATAAGATTGATTTTATAGAATAACATCTGTATGATTCTAACTTTCAGATTTTTTCTACTTTCATGTTTTTAAAAAATAACAGTAAGTGAGAAATGTTTTAAACTTTGACTATTTATAGTTTTATTACATGGAAAAATTAAACTACTGATTTGAAAAATTCCCTGCTTGTCATATTTACAGAAATTTTCCTGCTTCAACATTTTGATTAACATTTTGTAGAATGTCTTAGTTTTAACATGCATTTTTATATTTTATCAAAGTAAATGAGAAATCACTTGTTAAAGGCTTGCATATTGTGCCAAGACACCGATCTCTCAAAAAATTATGCTGTGAACTTTAAAGCAACTCTTTTAATTTGCACATTGATAACATTATATACACATTCTTACATCCAGGTGTTTCATCTGTAAAATTATCTTTAATGTTAAGATCTGTATTTGTTCATTTCCCTTCATGCTAGTTTTCTTCTCATTTTATATAATGTATAAAAATATGCTATAATCAACTTGTATGTTCTGGTATACTAGTTACTGATGTGTTTGTATTCTTAGATAGTTCTTTACTCTGGTTATATTACTTTCAATAAATGTAATCTATTGTCTTTTTAGAATAAGCTAGTAAGCTAGTTTTTGAATCATAAATATTTTGGTTAATTATCAAAGTTTACATTTATAAGAATATTAACAAGCCTTTACAGAAATCTAATCAGCAGCTTCAGAATAATTTTATAGGAGAAAAACTTTAAGATGGTAAGTTTGTCATCCATCTCCCTGGAGATAGATAAATATAGAGATATAAATACTTTGAAAAGAATCATACAGGGAGTTAATAAACAAAATATTAGAAGTTGAATGTCTTTGAGGGCTTTGAAAATAATCCCCTCTCCCTCCCTTTTTAAAAATGTCTGGGTTTTTTCCTTGCTTTCCATTATAATGTTCATATGAAGTTTTATGCAGTTATTATCAGACTGGTTATTTGTAAATTTGTATGTGACCTCAGGGAAACTTGATTATAGTGAATACATTAGTTTAACCTAATGATATAACCATTCAAGTTCAACCTAATTCAGGAGCCTTTAAAACAAATCTGTAAACAAAAATAATTTTTTTTTGAGTACACTAATAAGGAATTGTTTACACAGAATGTTTATAATGAGCTGGTTTTCTTTTTATGGAAATTATATCATTAAATACATTTAAGATATAACTAGAACTGTCACAGTACTTTATTCATTATGGTAATTATGAAAATTTGTTACTATGGGAAAAAGAGTAAAGCTCCTAATATTTAAAAAAAAATCAGTGTGTGAATTTAAGTTTAATAAAAATCTTAGCCCTGGCCCGTGTGGCTCAGTTGGCTGGGTATCATCCTGCAAAGACAAAGTTTGCTAGTTCTATTCCGAGTCAGGGCACATACCTGGATTACAGGTTCGGTCCCTGGTCGGGGTGCACAACCAATCGATGTTTCCCTCTTGCACTGATGTTCTCCCTGTTTCCCTTCCTTCTTCTCTCTCAAAAAAAAAAAAGAAAGAAAACCTTAAAAAAAAATAAAAATTTTATACTGGGAGAGACTCTAATACTTTACTGTGTGTGAGTGTACATTCAGCACATTTTCTATATTTAGCACTTTCCTGGAAATAAGTCTGAAAGCTCACTAGTAACACTGTTTCAAAGAAATATAACTGAGATTAGTTTTCTTTTTTCTTTTAACTATATAATATTGAGAGTTCTAAGTTTTATCAGATTATTTGCTTTTAAAAGTAACTTTACCATCTACATTAAGCTGAATATGTAGACACCTTTTATTCTCTGTAAAAATAAATGTGAAGACCTAGACCACTGACCTAAATTTTATTGGGGTTGGCTTCTAATTTTTGGGTTCTGTGCCTCTTATTTTTAAAAAATATTTTTTTCTTATGAGCCATGTATTTAAAAGTCTAACACTTTTGGGCCTTGTATGAACATTAGCAGTACCTGGATGCGAAGCAGATGTGGTTTTATGCTGCACTCTTAGGATTTTGATACTTCTTTTTGTCCAATTACCTTTCAGGAACTACCTTCTTGAAAGGTGGCCTGCCAGGGACTGTTTGGGCTGGAAATGGTGTCAATGCTATAAACATTGTGTATAAAAATAAAGAGCCAAAAAATTAAGAGCAAAGATAGTTCAAGACTGTAAATGGTAGGTTTGGAGGAGGGAGGAATTAAATCAAAACCATGGGATTAGAATGGAAACAGTCTTTTGCTTTAAAAAACAATCTGACTTAAAAAAAAAAAACCTTACAATTGCTTGGTCATTGCTTTATATACTGAAATACAAAAAGACTATAAGATGACATCCAAAGTTAGAAAATAAGGAGATCTTGAATCAGAGCTGGAAGGATAATTGGTGTTTCTCACTGGTAGAGAGTTTTACTGTGTATGTGCTAGTTCCTGGTTATATGTCAGTGGCCTCACTGTAATTTTAATGAATTCAATTTTAATATGCTTACAATTTGTGTTTTGTCGTTACTACTACACTGTTTAATTCCGTGAAGAACCCATCGAAGGACATAACTGGGACACATTGGAGCAGAGCCAGTACACCCAAAAGGAAAGACGTCATGGTGTGTAGTCCAGAAAAAGTGTGGTGTCAGCATTGGGCATTCACTGTTGGCTCTCTGAGTTCTGGGGGCTTGAGTACTAGGTACATTCTAATAAAAATACACATTTACTGAACTTTGTTTCTACAACCTGTTTGCTCTACTTTCTTTTGATTTCTTTTTCCAAAATGAAAACCTTCAGACAAGTATCTCAGGTTAAAAAACACTTTTTGATTATAATAGACTTGAAAACTATTTAACTAGAGCTCTTCATATTGTCAGTTTTTCCTCCTTTGTGAATTATTATGTTTTTAAACAACATAAATACCAACTGTCACTTATTAAGGGATTTTTTTTTTTTGACCCAATTGTTCTAATAGTAACTGTGGTGTCCACGTTATGGATTTCTCTACCAGATATACACAGCAGTCTCTTTAAACCAGCTGAACTTTGCATTATATTTTGGAAATGGGAAACAGAAATAGGTTAATTTCAGTTCAGCTTGTTAAAACCTGTACTTTTGGGAAATGCTATTGGTGCTACAGAAAGAATGAGAAGAAATGGGTTGACTGTTCTCTTCAGTGACCTTAGCTGGGTGGGAGGATGGAATAGTTTATATGGTACAATGTGTGGCTTAAGTAATAAGGTTTTTCATACATGTAATAACACTCTTTATTGCTTGCCTTTTCTGTTAGTTTCAGGATAATATAAGAAAAGCATGCAAATGCAGACATTTTGTTCTAATACTTTTTGGTATTACAATATCATTTTCCATGAATTTATGCCAGTGGTTAAAATTGTATCATTCGGCCTTTACATTTTGGGGGGGTTTCAGTACCTTTTGTAAATGACCATTTCATTGGGCGTGAAGGGAGGGCCTAGGTTCTGTTTGAACTCTTACTGTAAAACTTTATTAGAACCAGAATTTACAGTTTTGCCTTCTGTATTTTACACTCTTAAAAATTATAACCTCTATAACAAGAAGTACATTTTATACCATGATCCAGTATACACATGCAGATAAGTATCTGTGTGTTGGTAAATTATATAAATATTCAAAATATATTGAAACAAGTTTCACAAATTATTCTTGCTGTGCACAATGAACTCTGTTTTCTATTTCATTTTTTAAAAATGGTGGTTCAACCCATAAATTGATTTCATGACTTACTAATTAGTTGCAGCCTACGCTTAAGAAAATATTACTTTAGATCAGGTTTTGAATTTTGTTCCCTAAAGCCCTAACTGGGTATAAATAAGAGTTGCAAAAGTAAGATATATTTACCGAAGTACCTGAGGAACTTACTCATTACTTTTATTTGTTTTACACATTGTTCTTCTATGTAAGATTGCTTTAAAAATATAAACTAGAATGCTAAAAAAAAATTGTAGGAAACCACAAATCTGAGTAGTTACTATTTAGTTTCTTGGATTTGAAATGTGGTAGTACTCACACTTATCTTATTAAAGACTTTACATGAAATATGGTTTTCTGAACTCAAATTTTACATCTTTTTCTTTGATTTATAGTTCATGCCACAATTGTATGTATACTGTGTACTCCACACTGTGCACTGACCAACTTTCTAGTTTGGTTCAGCATTTTTAATAGGGAAGGTTCTTGAGGAGGGAAGTTTTTCAGGTATGTGTCAATGAGCAAATCCAAGGGAATTCCCCCTATTTTGATGCTGCCACTGTTTTTGTGAGCTTGATTAGTTGTGTGCTGTTTCCTCATTGTCTGTTCATGCATTTTTTTTGCCTTGTTCAAACAATGGGAAATGATGGTAACAGTCACAATAATAGAAAGTAAAATGTGTTTTGACTTCAGAATGCTTAATTCCTGCCTTTAAAGCCTTCCTTAGGGTGTTTTGTGCCATACTCATAATTGAATCATCTCACCATTACTGATTATGAACTCTGTATTTGAAAGAGAACATGCAGTTTTACGTATAGTGTAACATATAGTATATAGTTTACATATAGTGTAACAGTAACTTATACTAGGAAAGAATGGGAGGAAGACTAGTCTTTAATTCACATTTAATAGCCTTTGTGTTTAATAATTTTGGGCTTTTAAAATAGTCTTGGATTTTTAACAACTGCAAATGTTGTTTTTTTTTCCCTCTTTATGTTTCGGATTTTGGAAATACAACCAACTTTCATCCTTTCTGAAATCCAGTATGATTCTCTCAAGGATAGATCATCAAGACTTTCATCATTAGTATGTAGTGCATGACTTTTTGTTAAATGTAGGTTTAGTTTATAAACACCTCATGGTGCTAATCATGGATTTTGACTAACTTTCATAGTTTTGTTATGATGTTTGGGGAAAAACATATTACTAACAAAGCAAAAACTATTGTTTTGCGATTGTGGCATAATTAACATTTGAATGATTTTTTTCTTTTAGAATCAGATAAAAATTATTTGCTTCCCTTTTCAGGACTAAGATTGGTAGTAATATATTTTCTTAAAATGATGAACCACCCAGCTGACATACACTCATTGCCCCAGAAGACATGCTTCTAGCAGGGTTTGATACACCCTGAACTATGGCAGCACGGGCTTCACTGTATTTAATATTGGGTGTCACAAGATAGCAGGCATGAAGTTGCTAAACAGAAAACATCCAGCAGTGACAGATGACTCCTGAAACATCATTTATGTCCACTCTCTTTTACTTGATTTGGTTTGTTTTTAATGGCATGCCATTTTAGCCAAGGAAGTTAAGCTATAGCTTGTTTTTCTTCAGTTAATATGCCAGTAGACTGAGTTTCTAGTCATATAAGACATGTCTTAAAATGTCCAGGGTAATGTATAAAAGGAAAGATGTATATTCAAAAAAAGAGAAACGATTGTGTAATTATTGATTCAGGCTCTAGCCGTGCATGCCAGTAGTTTTGCGTAGAGCATACTGTTGATAGGGCACTTCTAGGTGCTCTTCCTCATTTTGGGTGAATAGTACATACCCACACTGCATTATTCGTGTATCGGTTGACCCGGTTGGTCCCATTGGCGTCCTTTGTCCTGGCATACACACTTGGCTCTGTACTCCTAGGAGAAACTCTGTGTTGAGACAGTGCTATCTTCAAAGGCCTCACATAAAGTGATTGGCTAACACTGCTGCTGCTGCTGCTGCTGTTGCTGCTACACAGGACGGGCGTACCGCCTGGCTCTTTGCTCCTGGACAGTGCTTGCTGTGGGACCACTCACTTGGGTTGAGGGTACTCTCTGGGGCAATGTGATATCATGTTCTTTGTTATCTCAGTCTTGTTTTTGTTGGGCCAAAGGTTCTTGTCACCCATATCTTTATAATGAAGATGGCAGGACTCAAATGAGGTACGGGACGAAGGTCCTCGCAAATACCCTGCCTGGATCTGTGTCCTAATTTTTTTTTTAAGCTGGCTAGGCACTGAGCTGGATGGCATGGGGGTAGGTGAGGGGAAATGCAGTTGTGTAGAGAGGTGGTATATCTTAGCCAGTCACGTGCAGTGAGTCATTTACTAACAGATGGGACTAGAGTGCATGGAAATTACTCTATCTCATATGGACCTTTCTCTCTATAATTTTGTTAAATTATTTTTCAGACTTCACTGTATGATCATTAATCTTCACATATTTAACTTCAAAAATTTACTTCCAGAATCATTCTTACAGTCACTCTTATGGAATGAAGAAAAGACCTTCTGGTTCTCATAAAGACCCACTGGTTAGTTCTGTCGTGTCTCCTCTCACAGTATGTTGTGTTGCTGTAAAATTCACTGATTCCCTTTAGGGAACTTAAGAATTATGACTGCTTTGGTGTGCTCCCAACGCGTTATTGAAACTTGATAATATTCTGAAACGTGATATATCAGAACCTTATTTAAAAATAAATTTGTTTTTTTAATAAGATTTAGTATCAAGTTAATATATGTTAACCCCAGGGGCTAGAGTTAGGAAAGGTGTCACAAGAAGTTCATTAAGCAATGTATTTTTATTTATGATCTGTCCTTTGGAATATACCTCAAGAATAAGTTTAGTGAGATTCTTTTCCTTATTTTAGAAATTTAAATTGATTTAGTTGTGGTATAATAGGCAGTACCAAACTCACAAATACATTTCATTCTGAGAATCTGTTAATAGCCCAGATTTTGGAAACTTGGCAGGAATTTTCTGGTAGAAACCACAAAGCACTTGATAGCAGACATCCCATACTGTCTTGCAGAAAACCCTTTAACTTATAGTGTAAATAAATTACAGAACTAAGAGTGCTCTCCATTTCAGCCACCCTGCTAAACAACATTTCTGTTGGGGGGTGCCCAGAATGCCCATTTTGGGGGCTTGGAACACCTCTTTCTTGTTAGGCTGCCCCAGGCGGCAGAGGAAGTGTAGTTTCAAGCTCCCCGCTGTGACCGTTGCTGGGTGGAGAGAGGGTCCGGAGACGTTGGCTGGTGGGAAGGAGCAGGGAGGAGAGAACAGAATGGAGGGGACATTGGAGAGAAGCCTGGAGGGCAGTGTTGGGAGCTTGGGGGAGAGGCCAGTCTTGGTGCCTCTTGAGGGTGTTGTGCAGGCGGGCAGGGCCTGCGGTGGCAGGGAAGGGCTGCAGGGGGAGTGAGGGTGTCTCTGGTTACATCGTCAGGAGCGGAGAAGGAGCCCTTCAGTCAGGGGTTGCCTGAGTTTCTTTAACCTTGGGTAAAAAAGATGACTGGAGAGGTTAGAGAATTTTCTCCCCTCAGGTTGCCACAATACAATTTTAATTACTGTTTTGTACAGTGTATTGAAAATGAACTGCCATAGATGTTTTAGACCAAAACATACTTAATGTGCGTGCTCTCTCTGGTAATTTAATTTGATCAGTTTGTTTTGACAAATAGTGGGACTAGGAGAAGGTTGGAAAAAATGACTATTTAATAATATCTGTGACATTGCCAAATGGATTTTAAAAGTGGTAATTATTTGGTTGTCCTGGATTTCTCCAGGGCATTTCTAAGTATGACAGGAGTTTAGATCACTTACTATTTAACATTTTGCCTGAGGGCTTATACTCCTGTTTTTAAAGTGGAATTTAGTAAGTATTATATTTGGTTTACAAAGAGTTAACCCTAAATTCTTGTTTTAGAGATGAAAGGGTTTGGTAAAATCAGATTTTGCCTTTGTGTGTTGTTAAATTAACAGCATTTAACTTAAGAAATAAGGATTTAATTTGGTTTTTGCAGAGTGGCCTCTACTTTGACCAGAGAAACTATAGCAGCCTCAGGCATAGCAAACCCAGTTCTGCCTACTACACTCGGGTTTGTCTAAAGTTTTTTGGCTTCATGTGTTTTATCCAACTTTAACACATTTCTAATCTCCTACTTTGCATTTTGATGAGTTAAAACTAACCTGTCAGTGGATGTGTGTATCATACTAGTTTGTGGTAACTGAATTCACATTGTGTGAGAGTAAATTTAAACAGTGGGAACTATTCAATCACCGTGTTTGTAAATGAAATGAGCACCCTCCCCCATTTTTTCTAATGAAAACTATTTAACATAGAAAAAAATTCAGACTTGCATAGAACCACCCAGTAACTACCATTTGGAGTCTACAATTAACATTTTACCCTGTTTCCTTTATCATGTAATTACCTATCCATCCAGCCATAAATTCATGTTTTGGAGGGATGCATCTTAGAATAAGTTGTAGGCATTAGTACACATCATGTGAATGCCCTTTTAATAAAAACTTTCATATGAAAGTTTACACTGTAAATGGGATGAGAAGAATGTAATTATCTGTTCAAGGTTAGAATCCTTGTTTTTTTCAAGGCATTTGGCACATCGTACACTTAGAACACATTAAATATATGGCACACAGTACATTTAAAATAATTCTGTAGTCAAAACCTGCACACACAACTTAGATACTCTTATTTTCCATGTCTGATTAGGCTTGGTAAAAAAGAAGTGAAAATTGTCAAATGTGACAAAAAAGAAGTGAAAGAAGTCAAATGACAGCAAGAAAAATTTAATTCCTTTTTTAAAAAACGCTCTGCCTTGGTAGTGCATGCATTTATTGTGACCAGTACAATTACCTGAATAAACTAAGGCACTTTGTTCACGGGTTGTTTTGAAATACAGGTTTTTCTAATCTTTTCCAGCGCTTGGAAAAGAGTGTTTATAGTGATAACTCAGAGCTCATTTTTCAGGTTCCCCCAAGGCCATTTGGCGTGTGTCGTGAGATCATTGAAAATATCGCAGGGGCTGCTGGTGACTGAAACGTGGCCACTGTTTGCCGCACTTCCTGTGCCACGGCCCCCTTTCCCTGGGTCTTCTCAGGTTGCTGTCTCATCTCCTAACATAATGTTCAAGGACCAACGGGACTTACATGCATTCATAGAAAACTGTTCCCAGTGTTTTTCTTTCTTAACCCTTAAAATTGGTATTTAAAAAGATTTCTAATGATTAAGTTTTTCTCACAATGTGTTACTTGTACCTTAAGCACTCAGGAGTTAATCAATTGTAGGGTATGAAATAAACGTCTTCTGCTCTCATGATGGTGAGGTGAATTCATTCTCTCGCCTCCCACCTTAATTATTTTGTTTCATTTTGTTTTTGTTTTTTCCAGTCTTCCTCCCTGTGCAGTGACCCTTTGGCGACATCTAAGGGTACCAGGGTTAGTACTTTCTGAGGAGCATGTTGCCTTCAAAGCTACCAGTTGCTTTTCTTTGGGTTAAATCATGTGCTTTTTTCATAGGCCTCTCTTACTGCAAATTCTGGTGTGCTGAGAAGTGCGAGTCTGGTTTGTATTCCCCTCTTCCAGCGCATATGCGCCTGGTGGGGCCTCTGTCACGCTGCTGACTCTGGCTTGCAGCTTTCCTCCAGAACAGTTAAAGACACACGGCTTTAATGCTGTGTGCGCTGCAGAATGTGCTGCTTGTGCTTAAAGTATAAAACTTGAGGGGAGTGAAAATAAGCGTACTTTCTTTACGATGGTAGGTACTGCTGGTTTTGGTAGGCTCTTGCTTAGAATTGGTTTCCTATAGAGAGGAGAGGTTTGCATGGGTCCCACTACACTTGCCTCCTTTTCTGAGATGGCTGCCCGTGCTTGGGATGTCATATTTTTCTTAGGGACAGCTGTGGTCTTGGCCGCGTTAATATTAGGCTCTAATAAAGCAAGCTGACTAGAAAGCAAGACAATAGCTCTTTGTGATATGCGAGTAATGGGTTGGTTGCTTTCAAGCTGCTGTTTATTGTGTTGTGGCCTGTCCCAGTGGACTGGGAATCTGAGGCTTTAAAATTTAATTTTATTGTGACATTGGGCAAAATGCTTTGTATCTCACTTACTTTTCTGCTCTATTTGCTCTTTTGAGAGAATAAATTAATAAATGTTAGTTCTCCTAGTTGCACAACATGGTGATTAAAGGCAATACTGTAACCAATGTGTTTTTTAAATGAAGTGTAGCTTGAGGTTTTAATGAGACTGATGCATATAAATGAGTGCCACCACCTTCACAGTCTTCACCTTGGGATGCTGTACACTTACACCACTCTTCAAAATGTTTTGGAACTGAGTACTGCAGAGAAGTTAGGACATTTTAAAAATAACTTTGATGCCAAATAGATAAACGATATTTCCTTTGTTCTTTAGGTGTCATTGTATGATGGTGGATTATATAACCCTTACGGTTCTCGAACTGTAAGTCTCACTGGGGGAGGTGGTGAGGAGGTTGATGTGTAGGTGGGCAGTTTACTTACAAAGAAAAGGCCACTTAATCTGGCTGTAATTATTCTGCAAGCTGTGATCCATCAGCGAGCCGATTGTGATTCTCACCCAAGCCATGAGAAGGTGCCTGCAGGAAATCGTGGGGCTTAAAGTATGAGGGATATAAGTAGAGAAACCTCTTTGCTTGTTCATTAGTTCTTCGGGAAGAAGCTGAGAGTGGTTCTTCTCAGGGCTCCATCTCCTCTCCTCTCCCTCCTGCCGGGGGCTGGTGGATCTTGAGAGGGAAGTGAGGTGGAATCGCAGACCAGGCAATAACAGTTACCTTAACCCTGGGAGTCAGGAGCTAGTTAGGTCACTAATATATCCTCAATGGGACAAGGAGCTGGTCATCGTTATAAAACCTTTCTTCTTGGAAACTTTTTAGCCATCTGAATACAGTTATTACTCATCAAGAACAAGTTCAGCCCGAAGCAGTCCTGTGGTGAGCTGTTTGCATGCTTTATGGAAACCTTTGGTTGTTGGATTAATCTGTACTCACAGTTTAGAATATTGAGGATGTGGTGTGTTTCACTCTCTTGTGCATGAATTACCGTTTTCCTTCAGTCCACAAACTCAAGTACTAATTTGTCTTAATTGGTGGTTTCTGTATGAATGTGACTTAGCATGTAATTTCCTAAATGAGACTGCAATTAGTGTCATTAGAATTTTTTTAAATTTATATTTGTCATTTGTGTGGAACTTCCTGTCCCTTCAGCGGTCATAGTTCAGTGTCGGAGCTGGCTGCCCTGTATTCCTCCTTGCCATCTCGTGTTTCCTGCACTGAGCCATTCCCCTTGCTTGCCAGCACTTTAATCAGTGGTATGGGAGAAGAAATAAAACCAGTCAGCTTTTAAAAATTGTTCTGTAATAGACAAAACTGCAACAGTTCTAATCACCTAATCTTTCTGGAGTATTACGTTTTTTAAAATCTATCCAAGTAGTATTAGCTTAAGGAAAGTTCAAAGTAAAAGTCTCTGACCTTTCTCCCCATTTCCATTTCTCAGATGCAGCCCCTGTCCTGGTATATTCTTTCAGAAATATTTTATACATATATGAGTATACTTTATTTTACATACTGCTCCTCATTTGTTTACTTGAAGTATCTTTTTTGTATTAATATATAAAGATTTATTTCATTCTTTTTTTCACATTTAAAAAGACTTTTAATAAATAAAACATGTCCCTTGTGTTTTCCATGAATGCTGGTTAGTTTTACGTCAACACATTCTTTTAAATGATGATTTGTTACTCCATTAATGCATGGGCTGTACATTTTAAAAGTCATTTTCCTAATGACGGACATTCAGGTTGTCAGATTTTTTGCTACTGCAGACACTTGTACTGTGAACTTTCTTACACAGGTATATTTTTGTGTACTTCTATGAGTAGATATTCAAGGTAAATTGCTAATCATGAAAGGGGGAGATGAAAGGGTATATACATTTAAATTATGATGTATATTGCTATATTGCCCACCAAAAGCACCGTACCAATTTATAATTCCAATAGCAAATTATGACTTTAGGAGCTACCTTGTTATTCTTGACAGTGTCAGAATTGGAGAAATGATTAAAGCGGTTAATTAATGGTCAACACAGTTTACTTTTTTGAGTGGAGTCCGTGAGCCCTGTGGGCTGTCTGTGATGTACATGTTTGGCTCAGTCCTCCTGCCATTTCCAAGTGGCACTTCTCAAGAATTCCAGCTCCTGTACTCACCAAAAATTACTCTGGGTGTTTAAGGAGAGAAAAGCTTTTTCACATAAGAAGGAAGTATACTTTTAACCCACCCTCTAATAAAATTCCACGTGGCAGTTCTTGGGCCTGGTAGCATTTTTAATGTCCCAAGTGTGATGGCCTCTTGCAACAAAGTTATTGTAATATATTTCCAGTCAAGTGTAGAATCTTGTCCTTGTGTGCTAGCTAGATGCTGTTTCACTTCCAAATTGGGTTCAGAGTTACTGTCTTGGTGATACCAGAATGGTTTCTTAGTGATGTCAGAATGGAGGTAACCTACACAGACTGAAGATGGGTCTTGTACTGCTGGTGAAACGGGGAGAAAACTGTAGCGCGATGATAGAAATATCTCCACGAGTTGCATGGGAATGATTAAAAGAAAATAAGAATCATCATTTCAGTGTAACACTGGTAGGAAATCCTGTCTTTGACTTATATTACTTCACTTCAAAATATTTTTAAATTTCTCAAACTAAAACATTTAATGTATTCATTGACCCCTAATGGGATCCCAAAGGGCCTAGAGTTTTAAAAAGCATGAAAGCTAGTTCTTGCTTGTTTACACGTTTCCCCCTATTCCTTCCCTTTAACTTAAATAAAAGATAAAGTACTACTTTTTTTTTTTTGTCCTTTTTGGAAATATATTTTGATTTTTAATGATGTTCCCTATAGCTTGAAACACCGTTCCTATTTAAGGGTGCACAATAGGTGGTGCCAGTTACACTGCTCACATAGAGTGTTTGCATGCTTCCCAAAATGTCCTAAAGTCCTCACAATCACCTAAGACCTGTAGTGAAATTGCATCTTTTTCATTATCTGCTTTTAATACCTATAGTTGATTGACGATGACACCGCAAGCATCGCATCTTCTGGTCGTTCCAGTCGTGGGCGAAGGGAGAGTGTGGTGAGCGTGGTTTGCATACAGACACATAATGATAAGTTTTAAAATTACAACATACTGGGATCACATGAAATCTATGGGAAAGTGAAATTTGCATTTGACAAAAATGAGCATTTTCTTCAAATGTAGCTTATATGAATACTTTGGTTTCAAAAATGTATTTCTGACAGTACATATTCTCTGTGGGCTGTGTAAGCTTTTGTTAATAACTTGCTTCTTCACACACCTTATTTGCTTATCATTGTATATTTGAGAGATTTTCAGTTTTATTCTTTGATGCTGTTTTAGGCACGTTTATGTGCACAGTTCACAAAAAAAACAAGTTTTTCAAGCAAAATTAATGCTTCCACATTGTGTTAAACTCATAACTATGGATTATAAGCCATGCTACCATCAGTTGCTTTCTTTGCAGTGTATTTAAGTTCAACCATTGTTTATATATCATTTAAGACCTGTGAACTTTTTAAGAGCTTCTGATGGCAAAACTTAAAAATTCTGGTCTTAGAATTCAGCTAGAGTACTAATTGTAGAGGCCACAAATAGCTGTATTAAAGTACAAATTATGCAATTTCAGGTTATTCTTTTGGCAAAGCTGGAGATTTTACAGAGCTGATGGCATTTTTGCTTTATTTAAGAATTTATTTGAAAAGTACATTGGTGAGGATGATATGTCAGCTTAGAGCTAGGAAAAAGAGCACAATAACTAAGAAGCTATAATTTCTTTAAGAAAAATAGAAGGCCATTTAAGATGAGTCATGTTTTGTGAAAGATTGTAAACTCGAAGTTTCATAGAGAAGGGAACACCAAGTGTTTGTGAGATTTTTTGCCAAAAATCCAGTGATCTAATTAAAGGCAGTTGTCCATTGGCACGCCAACTAATGCTCATACTCAAAGCTGAAGGAGAAAGAAAAAGCCAGAATATTTGAAAGCACCTTAGAAAGTGATAGAGTGGAAATGCAGGCACTTTACTACTATTTTTATATTTTATAACTTTAAAAATAATATTTTTATTTTTTTTAATTTTCAATTACAGATGACATACAATATTATACTAGTTTCAGCTGTATGACACAGTGGTTAGACATTTATATAATTTATGAAGCCATCACCCTGATAGGTCTAGCACCCATCTGACACCCTCCATAGTCATTACAATACTATTAACTCTATTTCCTATGCTGTACTTTACATCCCAATGACTGTTTTTATAACTGCCATTTTGTACTCCCTTTTGAAAAATTGATTTGAGAGGAGAGGAAGGGAGAGAGAAGCATCAACTTGTTGTTTCATTTAGTTATGCATTTATTGGTTGATTCTTGTATGTGCCCTGATTGGGGATTGAACCCACAACGTTGGCATATTGGGACGACACTCTAACCGACTGAGCTACCTGGCCAGGCCCACTTTGTACTTCTTAATTGAAAGGCAGGGACTTTACAGCAATAGTGCCTGGCCTTGAACCGCTTTTACAATTTCTTTGTGTGTTAATGGCAGTTTCTTTATTTTTACAATGGATGCTAATAATTATCTTTGTAGGTAGACTTAATTAATGTATGGATTAAATGAATTGCTATATAGAAAATAACTATCAAAATTCTGAGACAGTAGATACAAGTAAAATATTAGGTATGTGTAAATCTAAGTTGCACAGTTATTACTGTGAATAAAAATAGTGTTACTTGGTTGTATTAGCCCTTAGCAAAACTTTATAGTTGTAACCCTTCTTTGCCTCTGTGGATGGGCTTCCATATTCCCTTCCTGGAAGGGAAGAGTTTTTAAGCAAGGTAATCAGACAGAGCTGAGGTAAGGAACAGCTGATGAGTGAGATAAAAAGTATTATTTATTAATGCAATAAATGTTTATGAAGAACCTAGTTTATGGAAGGTGCTGTGTTAAGTACTGGGAATAATGTGGTAAGCCAGACTGTATTTTGGACTTCATGGAGCTTATGTCTTAGTGAAAAAGAAATAGAAAATAAACCAGTAAAGAAAGGAACAACAACAACAAAAAAGTAACTCTGGGACTGAAGAGAACAAGCAGGCAGTAAGATTGGCAACATTGAGGATGTGTGTGTGTGTCTGTGTCCCTTTGGATAGGATGGTCAGGGAAGGGTTTTCTGAGGGAAGTGACCTTTGAGCTGAGACTTGTAATGTGAGGAGCCAGCTGCTTGAAGAGCTTTCTAGGCCAGTGCCAAAGTCTAAGGTGGGAAGTGACTGGGTGGGTGTGAGGAACCAGTTGTACATCTTTCATTATTTTGTCCTGTAGTTCCTGGTCTTGAGGAATGTGAAAAAGAGGGAACTTTGGAAATTGGGGAAAAGGTGCAGTAAATACCTGTGAAATAATTCTGCATTCAGTGTGTATGTGCTTAACAGAGGTGATAGTTATAATGAGTTATAAATTTGTGAGCTATAGTAGAGGCTTTAGGTAGATATTCTAGAAACCCTCCTGGTGAGGGTCATGCATGTCTTCAACACGGGAGAGTCAGCTTGCCTAGGTAGTAAATGATCTCCATAGAACTCTAGTTGAGATGAATAAAAGTACTTGAGGGAGCTGGGATTTCATTTAGGAAGCGCTTTACATTGCTCTTCTTCTTTTTTGAGTAGGTGAATTGCAGTAGTTTCCTCATATCATTTTGTGATACTTTATCACACACCAAAGTACCTTCCCCTCCATATGCCAATGTTCTTATTCTTTTCTTCCTTCTTAACTTCTAAAGCATCTCTTTTTTTCCTAACTGGAAGGTTTCTGCCGCTGATTATTTTAGTCGCTCCAATCGTAGGGGTAGCGTTGTCTCTGAGGTGGATGATGTCAGTGTCCCAGAGTTGACCAGCGTGAGTGTATTGCATGGGGTGGTTATGTTGTCTCAGGTGTGTGTCTAATGGCTAATTAATCATTTGTTTTAAAATTAGGAACTTAATGAACTGCCTAGGAAATATTTATTTGAGTGCACTAGCATGAAACACACTTATTTGTTTTGTTTTGGAATGTATCTAATGATATGTTCTCATTTTTAAAAATTTTTCTGTGGAAATTTTCCCCCATAGAACCCATCAGCAGCTGCAAGAGTTACCAGTATTGTACCAATTACTTTTCATCTATTTTGTCCCCTTGCCCTTTTTTCCCCTAAATTATATTAAAGTAAATCCCATACATCATGCCATTTCCCAGTAAAAAGTTCAGTATGTCTTTCTACTAAACTTTTGAGAATTTTTTTCACACTCACTATATCATTATCCTCCGTAATAAAATTAAAAATAATTCCTTAAAACCCTCTATTATCTAGCCCATATTTAGATATTCCTGATTGATCTTAAAATTTTTCTTTCCTTTTTGTTTTTTGTGAATCTATAAAGTTCCAGGTGGACTTGAGTTGAACAATAAAATACACTGCTTAGTAAAGTGTCACTAATTTACAGTAACTGGGGAGAATCTGAATAGATCTTAAGCGTTTGGATATGGCATTGGCTTTGAAGAAATGCCATTGCTTTCACTTTCAGCATGGACTAAATGTAGTAATGACTGTCCAGTATATGCCTTAAGGCATTTGTCTTAATGAAGGAACCCCACCAGCAGATCTTTCCTTGCCTGATTTATCTAACAGCCTTGTTTTTTGTGACCGCTCCTCTCGGTTACTGTCATTAGTGTTGTTTTGCCCTTGGACCAACACTGTCTTCATTGTCAAGCACTTTGTAGCAGATGAGAGGCAGTACTTCTTCTTAGGAAAATTAAGACAGTTTTTTAATGGAGAGATAATTATTTATGTTTTGCAAATGACTTATTGTACTTAATAGCTATTTTTGGATGACTTCAATCCTTGAAGGTGATTTTAAGTGTGGTCCATAAGTATTCTGGATTGTTAGCTCTCAAACCTGTGCGTGTAACAGTTGCATCTCACCCTGGGTCAGATGAAGGACTCTCCGCAAGTGAAATTATAAGACTGGTTTCTAAGTCTTTCCCCTGAAATATTGCCTCTTTTATAATTTGCTTAGTACCCTGTTTTTTCATAGACAATTATGTTTAATTTATTGTGTTCTCTTTTTCTCTTACAAACTTTGAATTCTACTAGCTTCTAATTTGTGATGCCCGAATTAGTGGTTATATAGTTCTTCCATGTATTTCTTGGCAATTTATTTTAGTCATGACACAAAAGTGAAAAGATTGACCCCCCCCAAAAAAAATCTCCCCCGTCCCTCCTAATCAAATATAACCTCTTTTTCCAGGTAGTTATATTGATTTATTTTTAAATAAAAATTATATATATTTAAGGTGTATAATGTGATGATTTGATATACAGACACATAATATGCATAGCCTGTATAGGTATAACAAATCATCTTGCTGTACACCTAATCACATAGGCGAAGGATCCTCTGAGCAGGTTGGCATATCTGGTCAGCCCCTTGTTTTATCGCTTGTTAGTCAGTGACAGATTGTATATATTTTTCTACCACCACAACTAAAATACTCTGTTTTCATTCAAAAAGGTTTATTTTGGTTTTTACATTTTTATTTATTTTTTTAAAAGATGTTATTTATTTTTAGAGAGAGGGGAAGGAAGGAGAGAGACATCAGTGTGTGGTTGCCTTTTGCACACCCCCAACTGGGGACCTGGCCTGCAACCCAGGCATGTGCCCTGTCGGGGAATTGAATCAGTACACTGAGCCACACCAACCAGGGCAGTTTTTATATTTTTAAATAATTATCTAAGAACTCTGTACTGGGTGGGGCAAAAGTAGATTTATAGTTGTGAGTACAGAAAGCATGGTTTATTCTTGTATTATTATTTATTAATTATTGTATTAGTTTTCCATACAAGGAACTGAAAACCTACCTTTTCCCCACCCTGTGTAACATCCTTAATTTTGTCCCTTGGCAAAGCCTACAGTATTTTCTGGTCCCCTCTCTAGATCAAAAAATTGTCTCTTCATATTTTTTTAATGGGTATCCTATAATTCACTTTATTGTAGACAAATAAAAAGTAGGCTTGATGTTGGTAAGCTCTGTTCCTCCCCCAACACACACACACTTTTTCAAAAGATAAGCTGGAAATCTGCATTTTTATGTAAAATATCCTGATTTTGAAATGCTGGCCATAAGTTTAAAAATATAAAAGATACTTTCTGGCTTCTACATTGTGAATCAGATATGTGTATAGTCAGCTAATCTATAACTTCTAAGATAAGAGGTGCTGAAAAAGGGTGCCAGTCCCTGATTTATACAGTATTTTTGGTCACTCTATCCTCTTGTCTTCTACATTGTTTTCCTTTCTATCCTATAGGTCAGGCTAGATTAAGGAAAAGACTATAAATGTGCTAATTTTAGTTTTACAGATTGTTAATAATCAGACCATTTCTGAATGGAATCCTAGGCCAGTTTTGCTTTAGGAGATTATTAAAATTAATTGTTCCCTTCTCTTCTGTGGTTGGAGAATCAGAACTTCTATTTGCTTTTTCCAAACAGAATTTTTAAATAGCTTTATCAAGTCAGTATATGTAGATCAGAAGTTAACAAAGGATTATAATCTACATAATAATGACTACATTCAAGAAATTACAGTATAAATACTTTAAATTATCTGTCAAACTAAGAAGCCATGGGCTAACATCTTTAAAGGTCCTCTTAATAAGAGAATAATTAATATCTTTGAAGTAGTTTCAAAGATTTGATAAAATAGATATTCTAAGAAATACTCCTCATTTGTACTAATTTCAATAAATGATCAAGGAGTTTGATTTCAAGAGAAATTACATAATGTCAAGAGCAGAACATTTTTAGATGTCCCAGACATGAAGAAGGCAAAAAGCATTTGTCACTGAAATATGGGAAAGATATTTAAGACTTTGTTTACTAGATGATAATTTGAAATTTGTTAAGAAAACATTACTTTTGAACTTTAAGTATTCAAATTAGAATATATAGCTAGCCATTACGTACTCTTCTTTGCACATTAGTACTAATATAAAATACTACAGGCTTGTTAGCTAACTTTCCATTTACAACTATCCAGGAGAAAAATGCCCTTTTCTTGATGGGAAAATTACCTATTTAATTATTTAAGAGCAAAATGGCATAGTATTTACTTGAATTTTTTTTTAAATAGTAGGCTATAGTATGTAGTATATAATCCTCACCTGAGGGCATTTTTCCATTGCTTTTTAGAGAGAGAGGAAGGGAGAGAGAGAAACATCGATGTGGAGAGAAACATTGATTGGGTTGCCTCCTGTACGTGCCCGGGGATCGTACATGCTCTGACTGGGAATCGAACCCACAACCTTTTGGTTATGGGATGATGTTCCAATCACCTGGGCCACACTGGCTGGGGCTACGGTCACAATTAGTGTACAAGCCCTGAAGGCTTAATAGGGGAAAATAAAAGCTTTACTTAGTTCTTTTTTTAAATCTACTTTTTTTATTAGCCACATACTTTTTATTTTTTAGCTGCTAGATGATTTATTTTTATTATTTTTGCATTTTATTTTCATTATTATTGCAGTTTAATTTGCCTGTTTTACTGAATTGTGATCATACAGTACATTTTCTGATTTTTTTACTTACTAATTTTTAATGATTTTTCATATTAGTACATATTCATGTTATTTATATATGATTTCTAAAATCAGCTGTAGTTACCATATTTTACATTAGAGCTTTAGGCTTTATCTTATAGCTGAAGGTTTGTACCCTTTTACCAACCTTTCTCTAATTTATACCTTACTGTATTAAACACAGTTCAATTTTATTCAATTTAAAAAGCCTTTTCAGGGTCTGGCACACTCTTTGGGTCATCATTATGAGCAATAGCTTGTCATTGCAATGTATCTGTGTAGATCTCCTGGCCATTAGAGCACTGGGCTTTTAGAACACCAGGTTTCAGCTAGCATTTGTTGAAATGGAATACAGCACGTAATAGAGCATAAAGGCTCAGAAGGAAGAACTGAAGAGACTCTGGCCAAGTCACTGCAGCCAAAATAACTGGACTGCGGCATGGCTGCTCTTGGCATTTTTTGCTGGCCTAACAGTCTCTGAGGTTTGGCGCAGCATCATCAGTGCTGCGGCAATTGGGATCTGTCAGAAGACAGTGAAAGCAGTAGAATGAACATAGTGATGGACTAGTTCAGTGATGCAGCCTCTAAAATGTAAGTTTATTTCAAGTTGACTGTTAAAAAATGGGCGGGTTGGGGGGTTATTTTTGTGAGGGAGGATATGAGCCAGGATTTGAAATAGATACAGAAGAATGTTTCTTAGTGCTATTTTTCTCCTTATTTGTTAGAAGAAGAGAGTTGGAAGTTACTCTGAGGAAAATAAGGCCTTTTATTCAGCTGTAGTATTTCTTCCATTCTAAAGAATAGCACATTAAATATTAGGTAATGTATTTTACTAGTTTAGATGTAATAGAAGATTATTCCTTTTTTTGGCAAAAATTACCAATATAAAAACTACTGTCATTGCCTGACTGGTATAAAACATTTTGTATGTGTTTTGAAACAATCAGAGTGAACTAAAATCAATTCCTTTTTAGAGTATTACAGCAAGAAGCAGCAAAAAGAGTTCAAAGTCTAAGATAGTATTTATATTATTGATATAGTACTCACAATAAAATGTATTTATTGAGAAATGAACATGATAAATATGGTAATGAAAAAGAACAGAAAAGCTTTTCAAATAGGAAGTTAAAGTGATCTGAACACAGCCAGAAATAATGACATTTTGTGTTTTAATAATTAACTGAGAAAGAAGGTTTTAAATCTCCAGATTGGGCTGAGAGGGTTGGTATAGTAGTTGGAGTTGGGGAATATTATTTGGTTGAATTGCTATGTGACTTTCCCCCCAGAGTGGTAATTGGGACAGTGTATAGCGGCAAATAACATGAATAATGGGCTAAAATTCTCAAAACTGAGGTCTGGATTCAGTTCTGACATTGAGTGGTGGTTCAACCTTCTGCGAAATCTTCCACCTCTTTCCTCAGCTACAAAGTCAGAGTTTTGGATTAGACCTTTAAGGTGCCTTACTTCTTGAAACACTGTTTAACTAAAACAACCTTAAGGCCTGTCAGCAGAAAATAAGTCAGTTATGTTACATTCAGATAATAGGATATATGCAGCTATTAAAATGAAGGTAGGGTAAAACAGACGGGGTATGATTCATGTTTTCATTCATCCAACAAATTTTGAGTCTTTCTATATGTGAAGTGCTATTCTTGGCTTGAGGAATACAGAAAAGAACAAAGATGTAGAGCTTACATCAGAGAGAGATCAGACATAAATAAATTAATAAATATCATGGGTCATGGAGCAATACATACTATGAAGAAAAACGAAGTACTTTCTCTAATCTTTGAAACTTGATAAGGGGAAAAAGAAGACAGAATATATTTGGGGCACTATTGTTAGAATTTTTTAAAGACTCCTTTAAAAGAAGTCTTTTTACCAACCAAAGGGAGGTGGTTGCCTTTGGAGTAAGAATTGGTCAGGGTATGATGTGGTAGGGAGAGAGGCTCATTTCGCATATTCTTCTGTTGGGTACTTTGATTTTTTTTCATATGTGTGCATGTATGACCAAAACAAACAAACGCCAGAACCAAAACAAAAAGACAAACAACTGAATTCCTAATGCTGTGGGGGAAAATTTTTTTTTGATTATGTATTTAATATGTTTTAGTCCAGTCTGAACCTTTTTTTGCAAAGTGTACTAGTCTTATCTATATGTCCTGTGTCCTAATACTGTTTAGATAATAAAGTCTTTTGGCTTTTGATTATATCAGACTTTTCCTGTTGATGTGTACAAATTTGTTTGTTTGTTTGTTTGTTTGTTTGTTTTTTGTATTAACACTTGCAGTACTAAAACCTAAGTTTATGTATGGTTTTCCTTAATGTGTTCATATTCCATGAAAAGAAAGTCTATCTAAAAGTTAACTTTTGCTAAAGGATAGTGCGCTTGCTTACTTCATGTCTTCCCTAGGATAAGAATTTAAGTTCTTGACATTTTGTCTTATGTATTTAAACTTTTATTTCAATTTTAGTATGTTTACTTTAGGTTCCAAACATCAGTTGAACTTGGAAAACTCAAAAGAGGTCACTTCTTTTTTCCCCCTAAAAAAATCAACATGCCTAAGCATTTTTCCTGATTTTTATCTCTGTTCTTTTCTAGTTGGATGAAAAATCTGACAAACAGTATGCTGAAAATTACACAAGAGTGAGTATATAAAATCCTAAGGGAATGAAGTTCTCAAAATCAATTAAACTTACTTTCTACTACTATTTCATTCTTTCTTTTACTATAATCAAATGGATAGAGCTACTCTCCCGCTCCTCATCTATTTCCTGTCCGTGACCCCCAGAATTCCGTCGCGGTTGAATCATGTGAAGCACTGGGAAGAGAAAAGATACTGCATTTTATTTCACTGAATTTTTATTTCGCCTCCTAAGCTTTTGGCTGTTGTTTTGATTTTCATTCCTGTAGAATTGATCCTGAGAATAAGCCATTAAACACTGCAAATGAAGTGTCTTTTAGAAATGGTGGTGACAAACTCTGACATTTTTTTTTTCCTTTAAGATAAATTATTTCTTTGAAGTAAAATAACTTTTGTTAAGAGTTGCTTTGTGTCAAGTCTCTAACTTTCTTCTACAAGTATTTTTTTATAGTCATCTAGGGAAATAGTTAGGATTACTTTTATGCAATACCCAACAAAGATATACCAGGTCTGTCTAGTATAAATATAGTGCAAGCCACCAATGTAACCCACATATGTAAGTTTAAATTTTCTAGTTGCTGTATTAAAACAGTAAAAGAAACAGGTAAAATTAATTTACATAATATATTTTATTTAACCCCAATATCTAAAATATTTTCAGTATAAAATCAATATGAAAATTTATTGAGGTATTTTACATTGTTTTTTCCTGCACTAAACCTTTGAAATCTAGTGTGTATTTTATACTTAAAAAAAAAATCTCAACTTGGACTAATCACATTTCACGTGCTCAGTAGTTACACATGGCTGGTGGGTACTATTTTGGACAGCACGGATGTATGCCCTTTGTTAATTCAGCAGCATAATCTCCCATTTAAACTAATTGTAGGAAGAGCAGTCTAAATCATAGTGATACGTAGTGTTGTTGCTCTCAGCTGCAAATAGTGTCTCCAACTTTATTAACAAAATATTAAAAAAAAGCAAAGATCCTAAAGCAGCAGCTTCAGAACTAAATAAGAGGACTGTGAATTAGCATACCGATTGCAAAGTTCAAAAACTGTTATGATGTGCTCATCCCAGTATCATTTACAGTATAGCAAAGGTAAACTTAGAAAACAGATCACTTTCACACGAAGTATTTCCTTTTTAGTTATTATGAATTCTAGATTCCAATAAAGTGTTCACTCAAAATGCGTATAGTGTCTGGGCCCTTCCCTGATACCCCCTCCTCAAAGTCAACTGACTTGCCTGGAGGTTGCCCTTGGTCACTTCCTCTCCACACTATGTCAGATCTCCCTCACCCCCCCTGCCCCATTTTTAGCTTTCACAGCAAACATTTTTAAAGAAACAAGAGTTAGAAGTGTCACATTTCTTTTCTCTAGCCTTCATCTCGAAATTCTGCCTCAGCAACAACCCCTCTAAGTGGAAATTCATCCAGACGAGGAAGCGGGGACACCAGCAGCTTAATAGATCCAGACACCTCATTAAGTGAATTGCGGGTAAACTGAAATTTTTGGTTGACTTCTTAAAAACAATTCTTTTGGCTTCTTTTCAGTACACTAGTATACTGGAAATGTTTAACATTTAATGTGACGCAGTAGAAAGAAAAGGAGTATGAATTCTTTAAAAGAAAATTGTTAATAGAGTTAAAGAATGCGACTTTGGTCTAAAAGGAAGGAGATTGGTTAATTTTTTCTGTTCTCTTTCCTGAACTTTTGATGACATTGGAATGAGTTTGGCTAATTTACAAATGCCAAAAAACTTTTTAATGTATCTAAAAGTAACTCTATCAGAACTAATTGGCCATATTTTAAATGGAAAATATGTGGATGTGCAAGGAACCAGACTCTGGTAATTATTAGTCTTTTGAGCCATTGTGGTATTATTTGGCTGCTTGAATATTTTTTATGGTAAGACAAGTATAATAATATTTGAGATAACAGAAATACCTGAGTAATGAAAAGTTTATTTAACCCATTAGTTGAGTCTCCATTTTTATTAGCCATTTTATTTGAAAGATGGGGACTTTAAAAATGTATTATTTGAATGTCTATTTGAGGAACCTACTATATGTGAGCAATGGGGGAAGGGTCGTAATAAAAATTGCATTGCATTCATTCATTCAACATTTATTGAGCCCTTGACCCCAGAGATTTAAGCGGTAAAACAAACTTTGGGCTTTAGGAGTTCACTGTTTCATAGGGAAGACCAACTTATATCAACCAATAAAACCAAGTGGTGTGATTCAGTGGTAGTAGCAAACATAGGACTGTGAAGGCAATTCAGAGAAGCATCTTCTAAATTGGACTAGGAGAAGAGATAACAAAAGGCTTTTCAGAGGAGAAAGTCTCTCAGCTAAGGTTTGAAGGAAGAGTTGAAATTATACAGGCAAAGAAGTTGAGGGGAGAAGTCTTTCTGGGAGAGATAAATTCAAAGAACCCTAAATTGACCTGACTAGTGAAGTTGCCGGAGTGAGGAATTGTGAGATGAAGCTGGAGAAGTAGTGATGGGCCAAAGCATCTTGTATGGCAGCCTAAAAGGAATCCAGGTGTACGCTCACCGCTGGGAGGTGTTAGGCAGCAGAGTGATGATGCCTGATTTGCATTCCTAAAGAAACAGCAGGGTTGGAGGGAGCCCTGGGCAGAGGAGCACGGAACCCTGAACCCTGTGGTTAAACAGTGACAGGAGATGAGACGAGCAAGGCAAACTGTGATGGGAGGAAAGGTAAGAAACTTGCTCTGAAGACTATAGTGGAGGACAGGAAGTTGGTGGGTCGGTAGCAGAGAGAGAGAGAAAGAAGATTAAGAGAAGATTTTTGTTTTACTTTAAAGGTGGGGTTATATTTTCCTTGGATGGAGATAGTAGAGTGGGAATATGAAGGCTGAGGAAGGAGAGGGGTAACGGACGGAGCACATCGTCTGTGTGGGTGAGAGAATGCCCAGGGCTAAGATGGATGGGTGGCCTAATTGGGAGGTCCTCTCTCACTGCCACGGTAGAGGGGGAGGCAGGGACAGGTGGTGATTGAGTAAGAGTGTAGGCAGGGTAGGAGCAGGAGTCCAGCTTGTGAAACGGGCAGCTTACAAAGCTGAGCTGGAGGTTAGGAGAGGAGGGAGCGGTTTGGAACATGGCAGTAGCAGCAGAGGAGAGCTGACCCAGGTCAGCATGGCCATGACTTTGAAAGAGTTAGTATTTATTGAGCTCTTACTAAGTACTGGGCGTAAGTGCTGGGAGTACAAACTTGAACAAGGTAAACTCTGGCCTTTCGTGCCCTTTTCTAGTGGGATAAAAGGTGGCAGGACAAGGCCTTCCAGTCTCAGACTTTGTGCTTGCCATTTACCTATATTTCGAGAAAATGATTTCCTTGAAACAAATGAGATTTTTGTATCCTAGCTCCTGGCTCCTAATAGACTCTCAGTAAATGTCTGTTAAATGAATTGATGAACAATAGACAGACAAACCCACCGAAGAGGGAATGAAGGGTGCAAAGGAATTATATTACAGAAACTATACATATCAGCCTTAGAAAATTGATGCAGCCTGTAATTGCAGAATTGTAAGACCCTGTAGCAGTTATTTCCCACTTAAATCAAGCATCCAGAAGAGATCTTAGGTAGCAAGGTCAGGTCTAAGAAACATATTTTCCATTTAAAATTCAACCTGCTTCACTTTTCCTCATAGAGATTATGGTAACATTTGGAGCACATTTTTTCTCAATATTTAAATGGTGTCCTTAGGACAGACTCTCATTTTACATTGTGTTGAACATGTTTATGTTTAACTTCTCTTCCTTTCTCCCAAATTAACTGTGATCAGTAACCAAGTTACTGAAAGAAATCTTTGTTCATATTCACTTATTACATTTTTAAAAGCTTTTACATGAGTCAGTAAAATTTGCTGCTTATACTTAATTCACTACATACTTGTTCTAGATAAAGCATTATGCCTAAACTTATTTAAATGATTTATAAAATTTAAAAAAATGTATGATAAAAATATAACTTAAATAGTTATTTTTTTCATATGCAGCCTCACCCTAATGCTGTTTCAACATGGGTTAATGCTGAGAAAATACCTAATGCTTTGGCTACATCACTCCACACCTCGTGCCAGTCACCTGACGTTTGCTCCTTTTAGTGGCTGGGAGCGGCAGTTACGTTTGTGTACTCTGATATTTTTGCTTTTAGTCTGGAATATTCAAATACAATTCACATATTCATCTGAATTCTTTGAGACTTAAAAAGATGTTTGTGGATGGTTTTATGCAATGGTTCATTCCTATGTCCTGCAGGATATCTATGACCTTAAGGACCAGATACAGGATGTAGAAGGGAGATACATGCAGGGGCTTAAAGAACTAAAGGTATCAGGGCCCACTCTGCAGCCCAAGCATGCTCTCTGTACGCAGAAGTGTTGGTAACGGTGGCTTCACAAGTTCTGTTAACCCCACTGCACATAGCTTTACTAACAGTGTTTGTCTTTCAAGCATGTGCTTAACCTGCAATGTATAGGAAGGGTGAACTTCTAGTCTCTGCTTATGTTTAAATGTTCAATATATAGTTTTTGAACTATTTAGAAATATTATACCTTACGGTTTTTAAATCTTATAAAATACTTAAATGTCCCTTGTGTCTTAGCCATACAAAATTGAATTGGGCAAACACTTAAAAGGTATTCTAAGAATTTTTTAAAACTGAGAATTAGATGTTAAAATTCTTCCAGGCTTAATGAGAGAGTATTGCCTGTGTCTGTCACCAAATTAAGTCTATATTAAAGGCAAGAGGAAGAAGGATCTAAGAGCATTATTTTAAATATTCCCTCTGGCTAAAGGACCCTGAAGCATGAGGCCTATATTTTCTCTCTCCCTTGTTTTTAACCTGTAGGTCAAAAAGGGTTCACGCAGATTGAGTGCCTTAAAGAATTTGGAGATAGATTTATATGGGCCTTATGTTTTCCAAGCAAGGGTGGCTTCCAGTTTTCAATGCAAGTGTCCGTATGAGGCAGACAGTTTGGTAGTAAATGGCACTTGGTTATCATGCTCTTTCTCCTGTTTTATTATGAAGTTCAAGCCTAATAGGAGAGGAAACTGTTTCTCTGTTTGAAATAGAAAGACACAACAGGCTTTTCTAATAAAAGTTTAAGCAAGGCAGTCAGAAAAGTGACTCAGGATACACCCAAAGGACAAAGTGTGGAGCTAATGGGCAAGGCTTTCATCTGCTTCCCTGGTGTGAAGTAGCTCAGCTACCAGACAGAATCTTCGTGCAGGTGGTTGTTCAAAAGGAACTTCCAGGTGGAGAATCGTGACCAGAAAGGGTGGGAGGTCCTGTGGAGGCTGCCTTTGAGGGAAGCCTGGAAGCTGCTGACATGAAATGGGAGGTTGTCAGTGAACATTCAACAGAATTATAGTTAGTACGCTGATGTGCTCATTTAGTCTTATTGTTCTAATTTTCAGGGTTTAATCCCCCCTGCCTTTCTAAGATTTTAGAGATAGGATTTTTGGAAATATCTGGGATCAAGGCAAAAAATTCAATACCTTAAATAAATATACTCATATTAAATCTTATATATAATATAATGTATCAGGAAAGCAAGCGATTCAGAGACATTTTTACTTTTTATTTTAAACGTTTTTATTTTTTACCTTTAGATCTACCTTTCATTGTATTTTTTAAAGGCTATAAAAGAACAGATTAAATTTATTTGAGACTTTAAACAGATAAGATTCCTTTTCTTATTTTATAGTCAGAGTATAATTGAACTTGACTTCAGGCTGTATTTATCCTTGCAATAACTTTTAAGTGGCAGAAAAATCATTTAAAAAATCTGATTGATGACAAAGCACAGTGGTGTGGTATATCCATATCCTATTTTAAAAGCATGCAGGATCATTGTTTATGATTTTTGTTTTTTATTAAATATGTCTGCCTTTAGGTGCTTTCCTCCACTTTACCCTCCAGCCAGAATCACCCAAGACTTGTTAAAACACAGTTTGCTGGACTCCCAGATTTTCTTACTCGGTGTGTCTGGGCTGGGGTTGAAAATTTGCATTTTTATTCAGTAAAGCTGTTCATACTTGTTCAGAACCCACACATTGAAAATCACTGCCTTAGACACATTGAAGTAAACTGATTCCTAATGGGTATCTTGTGTAAGCTAGATCAAAATCACTAAAACTACCGTGATACTTAAATTGAAAACAGTTGTCTGTGGTCGTGTTTAAAGGAAGAGTATATTACTTAAATTTTATGTCAAATCTCTTGTGTTGTATATTGCATCTTGCATCTATTGCTTAACTATCTTAGATTCTGGCGTTCATGCACTTAGGCCCCGTTTTATACAGATTGAGTTGTGAGGAGGACTTTGAATGCTATTAGCCTTTAAGATGGATCAGAGTCATTCTAAATTCTGCATTACATTAAGATATTACTATATTTAAATTACTATACAATCAACTTTGCTTATATTCCTTATTTGGGTTGCATTTGTTCCCAATTCTAATACAGATGTTACCTGTTAATACGGTCCTAGTTTGTGAAGTGTCATTAGTGTGTCTGTACTTTGTTGAGATATAATTCCCATACCATAAAATTTACCCATTCAAAATGTACACAAGTCAGTGGTTTCTGGCATAGCCACAAAGTGGTATAACCATCACCTCAACCCAATTTTAGAACATTTTTATTCCCCCCAAAAGAAACCCCTTACTAATTATCAGTCATTCCCCACTCTTCCTCTCCCGCTCACACACTTGGCCCTGGGTAACCACTAATCTTCTCTCCGTCTTTTTGAATTTGCCTCTTCTGGCATTTCATATAAATGAAATCATACAATCAAAATGTTGTCTTTTGTGTGATTGACAAACACAACAACAATCACATAACAATTTTGTGATTTCATTTAGCATAATGTTTTCAAGATTCATTCATATCGTAACATGTATTTGTGTGTGTGTGTGTGTCTGTGTGTGTGTGTGTGTGTCTGTGTGTGTCTGTGTCTGTGTTCTATTTTTGGGTAACGTTCCACTGTGCAAACTCACCACATTTTGTTTATCCATTTGTCAGTTGGTGGACATTTGGGTTGTTTCCAATTTTTGGCTATTTTGAATAATGCTGCTATGAACATTTGTGTACAAGTTTTTGCTTATGCATATCTTCTCATTTCTCCTGGATAGATACCAAGGAATAGAATTGCTGGGTTATATGATAATTTAATATTTTGAGGAGCTACCAACTATTTTCAAAGCAGCTGCCTATTCTCACCAGCAGTATATAGGGTTCCAGTTTTTTCACGTCCTCACCAACATAACTTGGTTGTTTTTTTTTTTCATTATAGATTATACCCATCCCAGTAGATCTGAATTGGTATCTCATTGTGATTTCAATAATGCATTTTCCTAATTACTAATCATGTTAAGCATATTTTCATGTGCTCATTGGCCATTTAGAGAAATCTGTTCAAATCCTTGCCCATTTTTAAATTGAATTATGTGTCTTTTTATTATTGACTTGTAAAAACTGTTTATATAGTCTGGATACAAGTTCCTTATCAGACATACGAATTACAAATATTTTCTCCCATTCTGTGGGTTGTCTTTTTACTTTCTTGATGGTATTTTTGTTGCACAAGCATTTTAAATTTTCATGGTCTATTTTTTTGTTGATAGTACTTCTAGTATCCTAAGAAACTGTTCAAGTTCATGAAGATTTACTATGTTTTCTTTGAAGTATTTTATAGTTTTAGCTCTTACATTTAGGTGTTTTATCCATTTTGAATTTCACCCATTTTTGTATATGATGTGAAACAGGAGTCCAACTTCATTCTTTTCCATGTGGATATTCAGTTGCCTCAGCACCACTGGTCAAAAAACCATCCTTTTCCCATTGAGTTGTTTGAGTACCCCTGTCAAAAATCATAAATATAAGTGTTATGGGCTCTCATTTCTTTAGCAGTAATCATAGTTTGATAAACATTTGCATTAGTATTTTTTTAACATATTTCCAGCTGTGATGACTTTTCCTATGTGAAATATTTTTTATTTTTAGCTTTGAAAAAGTTATTAAGCAGTGGTAATCTACCAAATTAGACACAGTTATTTAAAAAACGGACATAAAGTATTTTAGGTGGAAAAGTTGAAAGTACATAAAATTTCAGGCATTTTGTGGTAGTTCTTTCGTTTGTAATCATTTTAGTATTACTTAATTTTAAATGACTAAAATTTGAGTAATTGCTAGGAAAAAAGTTTATACATTTACATTAGCATTAGTATGCAGTCAGTAAAGCACTGAAAACAAACATCCTGGAAGCAGCAAAATTCAAATGAGTATGAAGTTTACTTGTGTAAAGTGAGACTGTGTTCTTTTGTATCATTGCATTCTGAATACCAAACAACTTACTAAAACCTACAGGAGTAACATTCCTGAAAACATTGATGGTTCTTCATTTTGTGACTTCTACAAATATTTGTCCTCTGTGTACTCTTTTATCTTTCAGAGGCTACATTACTGCTTGATTTTCTTTTCTTGGATAGCAAAGAGCATATAAAGTTCTTATAATGGCATTATTGGCTTATTATCATCCTCCTGTCTTATGTGCATGTTACTAAACAAGGAGTTCCCCAAACTGCTTGTACTTTGCAAAGTGCACCTTCATGTGTTTGTGCCAGTGCTATCATTTCCTGTTATATATTATGTATAGACAACAGATGTATTTTAGGTATGAGGCTGATGACTTTGACTTTCATTTAGGAGTCTTTGTCTGAAGTGGAAGAAAAATACAAGAAAGCCATGGTTTCTAATGCACAGTTAGACAATGAGAAGAACAATTTGATCTACCAGGTAGACACCCTCAAGGATGTTATTGAAGAACAAGAGGAACAGATGGCGGAATTTTATAGAGAAAATGAAGAAAAATCAAAGGTAACTGTTCATCTTGTGTAACGCCTTTCTTTTGGATCAGAAAATTAAAACCTGCCATTTAAAAAGTGCTGGGCTTAATGGGAAGAATGCAGCATACCTGATTTTTCAGCCAGAGCCGATTGGTCCAAGGAAAATGACAGAACATAAGAGGCCCTAAAATATTTTTCTTTTTAAATTTTGTAAGATTCATTTTATTAAAGGAAATCTTATGACCTCCTTTAGTTTCTGCAAATAGAATAGAACTCAGATTTTATCTTTATTGTCAATCTCTTAATTGGGACAATTACGGTTACTTTTTTTGTTTTGTTTTGTTTTAACTGGCCGGAACTCCACAAAGCTTCAAAGACTTTCAATGCAATGGTTCATTTTTTTCTTTTTTTCCTCCCCATTTTTCAAGAGAGGCTGATTTCTAAATGATTGGAGTGAAATCCTTAATCTGTAATTTAGAAATAGCAGTGTGGAGGTGTAGGTCAGAAATAGACATTTTATTTAGAGGTCTGTAAGCTATATTGTTAAAATGTGCAGATGGAAAATTAAAGCCACTACCCAAGATCTAGATTTGCCCTTTGACAACTGCAGAGGACAAATTGGATTACTGAATTTGAACTTTTTAAAGGGTTGACATCAGTCTAAGCAGAGGACAAATGGAGATAGTACTGCCAAAAAAATGGGTTGTCCTTACTTTGTAAAAATAAAACCCCCAGAAAATAATTTAGGAACTGTGTGTTGGTGAACTGTTAGAGACAACAACAGCTGAAATTTGTACGTAGTAGTGGGAGAGAAGCTGTTAATATAGCCTCCAAGGGACCAGCGTTAATGCTGAAGACTTTCATTGAGGGCTGAATGTGTTCATTCTGATCTGTTTTGGTCATGTTTAAAAAGTGTTAGGAAGTATTTGCGAAGGGGTTGAGGGAAGGAGGAATGAACGAGCAGAGCGGAAAATGTTTTTAGGATGGCTTTACTCTTCTGTATGATGCTACAATGGAGGATACATAGTATTTTTATCAAAACACACAGAATGTACAACACCAAGACTGAACCCTAATGTAACCTTGGACTTTGGGTGATAATGATGTGTCAGTGTAGGGTCATTGATTGTAACAAATGGGCCACTCCGGGGTGGGACGTTGAGTGCGGAAGGCTGTTTGTTCATGTGCGGCGGGGGGGGGGTGGAGGTATGTGGGAATTCTGTATTTTCTCTTCAACTTTGCTGTGAACCTAAAACTTCTCTAAAAATTAAATGTTTGAAAATGTTAGGCTAAAAAGTCTTATGTCTAGATAGATAAAAAAGAGGCTTCTGGATATTTTCATATTGGATGAGAGTAGCTAATGGGAGAGATTTGGTAGCAATGTGTTTTCTTTGTTGATTCTTCCTGTATCTCATAGGCCAGTTTTGAATATTCTGAGCCATCCTACTTTACTTAGAGTCCTTGGACTCCTATTTTGCCTTCCTGTGCATTTTTCATATCTATTTCGGGCCCTTTGCTTCTAGCAGATTAGAAGAAAATCTCATGCTCAGTAATTAATGGTCAGTACTAAGATGAGGTCTTACCTTTTCATCTTCTCAAATGCCCTTGAGCATTTTTTTTAATTAGGGGAATAAAAGCCCTATGGTTAACTATTTTAACCAGCTGTTTTTTTTTCAACTGTCATTTTCTAAGATACAGAGATGTCTTACTAAACATAGAGTTGTGATTTTTTTTATTTTTATTTTTTTAAAAATCTGTGCTTTTCAAATTTGAAAAGTCTATAAACTTTTTTATACCCTGTAAATCAGCTTCAGGTACTGTGATACAGAAGACTTTGTGATAGCGTCTCTCTCTAAAACACACCTTCACCCTGAGCAGGTCCTCTGAATAGCGGCCGCTTCACGAAGCGGAGTGTTCGTGTTCACAGACACAGATGGAGAGCGGGCACTCTGTGTTTTCTTTATAGCAGCACATGATGCGGGCAGAGAAGACCAGTTAAAACAATAATAATATTAATGGAATTTTTCAAAATGTTTTCAGTGTTTGCTGCTCAAGTTATGTAATAACTGTATGTTAAATATTGTTTCTACACTTACTTTAGGGACAGAATACCTGATTAGGACTGTCTCAGATATGTTATTCTTTTTTAAATATCTATTCATGTTAGCAGGGAATTCTTTTTAGAGGACATCTAGAATAAACCATTTGAATAATGTGGATCTCTTCCGGTCGCATCCCAAGTAACCTGGACAGGAGTCGAATTGTTTTTGGTAACTTCTTTGCCATCTGGCACAAGAAGGTGTTCCGGGCTCATCTGGTCCATTTCCTGCTCCAGGCCTGGAATCGGCTGTTTGTCCCAGGACACTGCTTCTCTTTTAGTGAAACAGTGTGTGTACTAGGGGTGCTCTTGCCCCCAAGTTCATCACTGTTTATAGTCCTTTTTAGTGGATGTATCAGGTAAACATGTATGTGGGATATTTTTAAAAATAATTAAAAACCAAAAGGTGTTAAAGTCAAAGTATATTATGAGTTTATGTTGATCTAGTTCATGTTCAGAACTCTAGGGCTTTTACTTAACCTTTCCTCATATATGTATATCTCTTTTTTCCCACACTGCCATTCTTGGTTCTCAGAGTCACTGGGGATGATAGTAATTATGTTATATTCTATTCTCATTGCTTTAACCCACAGTACCCAGAATAGCAATACCAATGTTACCACCAACAGTATAATTACTTAAAATAGTTAAATGTTTTCTGTTTTGTTCTGTTTGGTTGTTATTTCATTGCTAGGCTGTGTATAGTCAGTCCAAACATTGTTTTTAAAAGTTACTTGAAATAGTTTTTCTCCCTATGCTTATGCTGCTAACTGGAAATACAGTTAGAGTCACTGCACTTTATTTCAATATTTAGAAATTGCTTTTTTACTTTTAAATTATTTTTAATTGTGTTGAAAAATAACAAAATGTATCTTAACTATTTTATAGTATACTATTCTGTAACGCTAAGTGTATTCACTTTGTTGTGCAACAGATCTCCATAATTTTTTCATCTCTTGTAACACGGAAACCCTGTACTTACTAAACAACTCCCCATTCCCCCCACCCTGCTCCTGCCAGTTCAGGCGACCACCATTCTACTCTCTGTCTCTATGAGTTTGATTACTCTAGATACCTCATATAAGAGAACTCATATAATATTTGTCATTTTGTGACTGACTTATTTCACTATCATAATGCCCTCAGGGTTCATTTGTATTATAACGTGACAGAATTTCCTTCCTGAATAATATTCCACTGTATGTATATAAGTGCCACATTTAGTTTATCCATTCATGTACCAATAGATACTTGGGTTGCTTCCATGAGGCATTGGTTTTTGAATTTACTGTTGTCTTATAGTTCCATAAAATGTTTACATGTATCTGAAGTCAGATCAGCACAAAATATATTCAAAGACATCAACCTTCTATCTTGGTGTTTTCATCCCTATTTTCTCCTTCCTTAAGGGACTTTTTAAACTGGTTTATTCTTCCATTTTTTTAATCTAAGAAGATAGCTATATCTTGCCATTCAAAAAACATATATAAATATATTTATATTTGTTTCTCCTTTCTTAGAAAATGGTAGTATACCATAGATACTGTTCTGCACCTTGATTAAATCACTGTATGATTGTACTATGTAGAAATCACCCTCATTTTAAAAAATTGCTGTATAGTTATTTCATTGTGTGGATGTACTGTGGTTTATTCCACCAGTTCCCTACTAATGGACATTTGAGTTGTTTGCAGTCTTTTGCTGTTGAAACTAGTCCTGCAGAAATGATGTACTGTGTAGGTCTTTTTTATTTTTGCCTGTGTGTCCATGGGACTCTTCAAAGTGGGTTTGCTGGGTCAGAAGGCATGGTAATTCTGCTGGATGCGGTCGAAGTCCCTTTGCAGTGGTTATACCATTTTGCATTCCCAGCAAAATGTGTGAGAGAACCTGTTTCCTGCCCCATAGGGCTTTCCTGAATACGTTGTCAAGTTTTTGGACTCTTATTAGTGTTTTAGTGAGAAACATAATTTAAATTTATATTTCTCTTAGTATGATCATCTTTTCACTTTGAAAGCAGTTTTTTTTTCCTGTGAACTCTCCACCTCTTTAGTCTATTTTCCTAGTTTTAGAGACTATAATGATAATGAAGTGTAACTTTTTGTCTCTCATATAAATTGTGAAAATTTTTTTTGCAGTTTGTCATTGTACTTTGTTTATAATGACTTTTACTATTCAAACGTTTTTATTTTAACTTAGTCTAATTTATTATCTTTTTCCCCTTCTTGCTTGTAGATTTTTGAGGCACTATTAGTAATGTTTTCCCCATTCCTTGGTTATAAGACTTTACTCACCTTTTCTCTAGTATTAGAATTGCACCCTGTCCCATTCCCCTGCCCCCTTCTCTCTGAACACTTCGGACCTAGTTGGCATTTGGCCTGGTGTATGGTGCAAGGCTTGGTCCCAGTTTTCTTTTTCCGTTTGGATAGCCAGTTATTTCAACATCACTAATTTAAAAGTCTATTTTTTCTTATTGATTTGAGATGCTCTTTTTGTTTTGTGGTTGTTTAATATATTTGTCTATTGGGTCTATTTGCTATATTTGTAATTGGGTCTGTTTTGGTTGTTCTATTCTGCTCCATTGGTGTATATTCATGAGCCATTACAACAATGTTATAATATGTTTTAATAATCTAATAAGGCCACCCTTTTTTCTTTTTCGTTATGGTTTCTGTCCAGTTTTAATGTTTTTTTTCCCCCCTAAATATACTTGATAGTCAACTTGTCATGCTTTAATGAGAAAAACATCTGGCAATATTTTATCTGGACTTCTTTAAATGTATGGATTAATTTGGTAGAGAACTGACATTTTTATGATATTGAATCTTTTTATCCAAGAAGATGGTGTGCCTTTCCATTGGTCCTACTTCTCTGTCTTACAAGAATATTTTTTATAATTTTCCTCATATAGATTTTGGATATTCTTTTAAGTTTACATTATTAAACCTAACATATATTAAAAATACATGTATGTATTTAAAAAATTTATTATCTGATATTCTGTTTATTGTATCTTCTCTCTTGATTTTGTTTATGAAGATATTCAATCTTGTATGTTAATTTTTTTAACCTGTCACTTTACTAAGTCGTCTCATTGTTCCTAGTAATTTTGCCATTGATTAGTATGGGTTTTCAAGATATATAATCCTATAAGATGAAAAGTTAAAATTTTCTGTACCTTTCCAAGAACCAGAGAATTTTTCTGAATTACTATGCATCGGCAGTTCAGGTGTGTTTCTGGAGATCATACTTAACCTCTGTGTTACTATATTGTAGATGTTCCAATTTGTTGTTTGCCAATCTCTAAACCTTATCGTTTGTTCATTAACAGGAGTTAGAAAGGCAGAAACATATGTGTAGTGTGCTGCAGCATAAAATGAATGAACTTAAAGAAGGCCTCCGACAAAGAGATGAGCTTATTGAGGTATGTACATGAACTGTGGGTGTAATTAATCTTGAGAAAATGCACTGAATGGGACGAAGGGGTATGTGTTGGGAGGAAGGGGAGTTAAAATGCCACAAAGAATTGACTACTTGTCTCTTCATATTTGGCTGCACCCCGAAATTCTGTAAACATGAGACTTAAAGGCAGGCCTAAATGATTACTACTATGAACCTTATAAACATTCCCCTTTTCAATCATAGAAGCTTTTTGTAATTGTCTTTATTCCTAAGCACATTCTTTCCTGAAGGTATCTTAAGAAATGAGCAAAAGGAAAAATTACAGAGTACCATTATTCTTTGGAACGTGGTGAATGCCTCTCTTGGAACATGATTCTTCGGGAATAAGAAGCCCGGTCCTCACTGAGGGAGATACATTTCTGAGGTGGCTAAATGAAAGTAAGAAATTCCTGAGGCACCTCATACACGAAAAGGCAAAGGCCAACCAGTGCCGAGGTCACGCTTCGGCTGGCAGAGGGGCTCTGCGGACCTTGGCGCTGGCCACATTTTAGGAATGGGAAGCAGGGTGGTCCACCAAGAAGTCCTTGAAAGCATTTTTCATCCTTTTGTGCCTACTACCTCACATGCCGTTTCTGTTTCTCTTTAAATGCGGTCTTTCGTCTCGAGGTTGTTGTTTTTTTAAGTATGGAGTTAAGTTCGTTGGTAAGGGATCCTGCCCACTAGTCTCGGTGTGTTCGTCAAGGGAGTCTGATGTTACCTTAGTGTTAGTGATGTGTGCGTGGCATCAGGAAGGCCATCTCTTAATGTTCTCCGGGAGACACCTCACTTGTCACACTTCAGCCGTGTCCCTGGCCACCCGGACACCTCCACCTCGACCCACACCCACCTCCCGCCTCCCTTCTTCTTTCCCCCATGGAGGCACATGCCTCACTTCACCTCTCTCCCTGTAAGTGACTTACGAAAACATTGAGTCGAGGAAAAGAAATGACTTTTTTTACTGTTTGGATTTGTGTTACTTTTCTTCATTCTTGAGAAGAATTGAAACTAGCCTACTGGAAGTAGGTAGAGTTTGTGAATTCTAAATGTAGACACAGATAACCTTTTATAAATATCAACATACACGAGAGGTTAATTGTCTTAGTTTTTCCATATATGGCAAGAAGCATATTACCCAAATTCTGTTTGCTGCTGGTATGTAAAACTAGTGTAAATTCCTCCTCCTTTTGTCCTTTTGTTTGTGTGTCACTGTACCAGCCATTTGTTACTTCTTTTTCTAATTAAGATATATACTTTTCCCCTTTTATGATTTCAAAAAGAATAATAAAACTGCTTTGGAATCTGCTTCTTAAATTCAGTAGCTTAAGTTAGAGTTGGTTAAGTATTCTAGTTTTTAGTTTGATGATGACATTCAAGAGGAATCATAATGTGTGATTTCTATAATGTCATTGTGATTTCTTTAGAAGCCGAGAGTGCTGGGTATACAAACTTTAAAAACATTTAATTAATTTTAGGTGTTTCTTATATTTAGAATTAACATCTCTTAAATGTTAATATCCATGCTTATGTATAACTGAAAAACCTTTAATGTGACAAACTAATGCTTTTTGGTCTGCAAAATCTCATGGTGTAGAGTAGCTAAGAAATGTGTGATTTGGGGAACTAGGAGATGATAATTTACTAGTAATGCATTAAAGAAAACCTGTTAAACATAACAGGGTCATTGAATATCATCATTTAACCAGAAGAGCTGTGTAAGAATGGCACATACTGAATTCTAGTTTTTCTAAACATCGATATTGAGTATTCATTTATAATTCATGGTGTTCTTTCTATCATAGACTCTGGAAACAGAAATTCACAATGACAAAGCTGAGATATGCCCCTCTTCTATTTTTTCTAGTTCTGCTTAAGATAATAAAGTTTAAAACTACTGCTTGTTCTCTGAGATAAGAGTCATAAGAGATCTGAATTTCCCTCTTTAGAAATGTCAGTTTTTCCATGTTTGGAAAAGAGGCATCCATCCCAGGAAGAGTACACATGTGGGGCTAAGTGTGCACAGAAACCCTAGCTGGCCTGCGGCCACATAGCTGTGGCTGGAACGCTTATTCCCAGTCCCCTTACTTACTTGCAAAGCGGCGAGCCGATGAGAGTCCTGTCGCCGAGACACTGGATGTCATCTTTCCCTTTAGCAAGCACCTCCTGCTTTTCCTGTTCATCGCAGATGCTCGCTGGCTCGCCGTCCCCTCCCCCACCTCCCCCGTTTTGGTTAATCAGCTTTATTTTTGTTCTGTTTCCCTCCTTTCACCTTCTCCCTTTTTTCTTTCTGCTCTTTTATTCTCTTCCCCTCTTCCTCTGCAGGAGAATCAACGTATGCAGCAGAAAATAGACACCATGACAAAAGAGGTGTTTGAGCTCCAGGAGACACTTCTTTGGAAAGATAAAAACATTAGGGTATGAGGTGAAATTGGGCTTTGGTTTGAAGCTCACTGATGAGGAATAGACCAATATAATTTAACTTAAAGATTCCTAAAAATCTGTCTTTTTGACTATTTTTAAGCATTTATACAGTGTGAAATATGAATAAGCAGAAGACAGGAACTTCTTTGGGAAAACCTGATACCGCCTGTGGAAAGAACTCCTTTGCCCAGCTGCCTCTGGGCTTGTAAAACCTACAAGTAGGAACTTTCTAAGGAAGTTCTTTTATTTCCCCAGGATTCTTATCCAGAAGCAGCCACAGGCATATGTGGGTAACTTTTTATCTTTACATTGCAAGAATTTAGATAAGAAGCAAAAGGATAAGGAGTAGGGGTGGGGAAAGGTTATTAGTATTCCATAAATCCTTGGTAAGTAGAATAGGAAGAGATTAAAATCAGTTTAATTACGGAAGTGGATAGGAATGTCAGATTTTCCAGAGCTGCCAAGTTGTGACGTCATCTTCTAATTATAACCTCATAACTCCCCAGAGCAGGGGCCCAGATAAGGAAAAAGACTTCAGCGGTTTTTTGCTAAGCCCTTCAGGTAGATTCTAAGTACATAGGAGGCTAAAAAAATTGCCACCAGTTTACCGCATGTGCCCCTTGACTGGCAACCCCATCTGGTGGCACGAGCTGCCTCTTCTGCACTTGGGGTACCACAGAGCCACCGCCAGAGGCTTATCTTGTCAGGAAAGGGCTGTGATGGGGAAAACGGAAGGAGCCCTGTTTCCTAGGGGCACAGTGGGGAGTCTTGTTTTCTGTGAGATTCGGTGACGGGGGAATGGAAGCGAAGGCCCCCACCCCAGGAGCACTTGGGTTAGACCTAGCCCTCCCACCCTCCGGCTCGCACCCTCCCGCTGTTCTCTTCACACCGTCCGTGGCCACGTCCTGTCGTTAAGCACCTGGGAAACACAGCGACCTCCGAAGAATGTGGTAGACCGAAAGCTTTAAAGAAGTAAAGCTACTTTTTAGAGTTTCTAATACTTATATACCAAGTTTCTAAAATTTTACCCAAAACTGGAAGAGCCATCTGGAGTATAGATTAACAACTTTGTTAAGAGTTTTAAAATTGTAAGCTACTGATTTTATTTAAATTTTCACTTATAGGAAATTTAAAGTGAGATGTGAAAAAATGTTTGGCACAAAGTAGGTAATTTGAAAGTTTAGTTAAAATCTGGTCACTATCTAGAATGGGTTTCTTTTAGGACCGAATTTTCTTTAGCACATTCCTGAGGTCCATGGTCTCTATTTTGTATAATTATCTCATTATTTTAAACTGATTATTTTGGACCAGCCATAGAAAAATTCCAAACCTCTCAGTCCAATAAAATAGCTCTTCAAAATAAAACAATTTTTTGTTACTAAAAAGCTGAGCTGATGGTTAAGATATAAATTAGACTTTTTAATTTTCTTGGCATTATTGAATGAATAAGTAGGTATCCCCTTTCTAATGTGGTATATAAAAATGTATGCCTTTGGCTTTTTTAAAAATTTAACTTTTTAAAACTTTTTAAGTGCTTTTTTTAAAAACAATTTTATTTATTTATTTTTATAGAGGGGAAGGGAGGGAGAAAGAAAGGGAGAGAAACATCCGTGTGTGGTTGCATCTTGCGCGCCCCCTTTCAGGGACCTGGCCTGCAACCCAGGCGTGTGCCCTGCACTGGGACTCGAACTGGCGGCCCTTTGGTTCGCAGGCAGGTGCTCAATCCACTGAACCACACCAGCCATTTAAATTAACATTTAATTAAATGTTTTTAACTTTTAAAACATTTTTGAGATAATTGTAGATTCACAATTATAAAAAACATACAAAAAGGTCCTGTATGTCCTTTATGTAGTTTTCCCCAAATGTAGCATCTTGCATAAGTATAGTACAATATCACAACCAAGATACTGACCTTGATATAGTCAAGATACAGAATATTTTCATCATTATTAGAAGGATCTCTCCTGTTGCCCTTTACAGCCATATCTACTATCTCCCCTACCCTGTCCCAAACCCTGGCAACCATTAATTCTCTATTTCTGTAATTTTGCCATTTAAAAAATGTTATATAAATGGAATTGTACAGTATATAATTTTGGAATTATCTTCTCTCATTCAGTGTAATTGCCTTGAGATTCATCCAAGTTATTGCATGTATCAATAGTTTGCCCCTCCTTTGACATTAAAAATATTTTAAACTGTGGTAAAGTATAAATAACATAAAATACACCATTTTTAAGTGTAGAGTTAGTTGGTAGTATCAAGTGCATTCACATGTCATGCAACAGTTACTACCATCCATCCACAGAACTCTTTTTCATCTTGCAGAACTGACACTGTACCCTCCCCCAGTCCTCCCCTAACCCCCCGCAGCCTCTGGCAACTACCATCCTATTTTCTATGGATTTGACTCTAGGTATCTTACGTAAGTGGAGTCATTAGTATTTGTCTGATGGGCTTATTTCACTTAGCATAATGTCCTTAGGTTCATCCATGTTGTAGCATGTATCAGAATGTCCTTTTAAGACTGAATAATATCCCTTTGTATGTATGTACCACCATTTGTTTATCCAGTTCATCTGTTGATAGGCACTTGGTTTGCTTTCACCCTTTGACTATCTCAAATAATGCTGCTGTGAACATGACTTTGTAAATATCTCTTTGTGACCCTTATTTCATTTCTTCGGGGTGTATATCCATGAGTGGAATTACTGCATAATATGGCAATTCTCTGTTTACTTTTGTGAGGAACCTTCATATTATGTTCCATAGCAGCTGCACCATTTTACGTAGCCATCAGCTCTGCACAAATGTTCTAGTTTCTCTATAACCGTACCATCATTTGTTTTCTATTTTTTCAGTAGTAGCCATCCTAATGCGTGTGATGCGGTCCTCCCTTGACTAATAAGGCACGGTATCAGCATGGTCAGTGATTACCTAATGCATCACTCGTCTCTGGCTTCATTTTCAAGATTTAAATTTAGTAACTTCATGAAGGAGCATCACCATTATTCTCATATTGAAGTTCAGTTTTCTTTAATTCTTCCTTCATTGATCCTGGGGGCTCATCCCTAAGGCTGGTCCAAGCAGCATGTGGCCATGTGTAGAATAGATACTACATACAAAGGACTAATATATCCAGATAGGCCAAAGTAAGACTCACTTCCATTCTAACTAAAGATATTTGTGTCTCTGTGCAATTATATGGAGAGTTAACCTGTTGCCCAAAAGTTCAGCCTTTTATACATATCTTCCAGGCTTCTTGACACTAGAATTTGAGGTTAGGTCAGGGATAAAGAATTATTTAGATCACCGCAAGGATGTACTTTTTACTCTAAAAAAAAAATCACTGTAGGAGCTCTTACTGAATGCATACACAAGGTTAGTGGTTACATGGTCAGGTAGTACAGAGCGTTTCAGATCCAGCGTGAATACATTTGGTCCAATTATAAGGTATTTCAGTCCTCTTCAAACTTTGTGGTGAAATGGAAGAACTTACAGGATGTATTTTATTTTCCCATCCATAATTATGGGAAGATGAAATTAAAAAGTCCAAAAGTAAAGATAAAATCCACTGCTAGAAGATGCAGAAGAGGAGCAAATGGCATATTTGAGCATTTGCTAGAATTCCTAGCTTCAAATTGGTCTGTTCCTAGGAGATCTCTCCTGTTCAGTGGGGGTGTGTCTGTAGAGCATGTTGTGACAGTGAGCGCCGATGCAGTTACATGTGGTGATGCATGACGTAACTATGCACGCAGATGCCAGTAACCAAAAATACCTCACCTGGCAGACAGTAAAGTGACTGGCAGCAGATGGGGAAGTATTGCTTTCGTGCTTTGCTGTGTTAGTGTTGCATTTGTTCTTAATGTAATGGAGTGTTAATATTAGCTTGAAGTGTTCAAGGAATGCCCTATGGCATTGGCAGCTCATGTTAGGAATTTACAGACAGACTCGAGCCGCGTCATGTGGTATGAATTGTTGAAGTTGGCTATTGGTGTTACAGGGGGGTCGTGAGGAGTAGGACTTGGCCCCATGGACTATTTGTCCAGCAGCATCTAGGGGGACAGTAAGGGGACGTAATTGTGGCCTTTATGGTGCTATGATGTGGAAAAAGTATCCAAGGGCTTTGGAACCAAAAAATAACTGGATTCATTTTCTAGCTTTACCACTTACTGTGACTTTGGGCAAAGAAATGTAACTTCTCTGAGCCCCAATTTTCTGATCCATGAAATGGGGATAATACAAAACATAAGGTATGTAAGGGAGAAGTTTTACATTTATATTATATACACGTACACATATATGAGATATAAAAGCTTAATATATAACAGTGCCTGTCATACAGACAGAGCTACACAGATGGTAGTTGCTCCCATCCCTGACTCATTCCCAGTTTGGCTGCAGAATAGGATTATAATGATTTTAAAACTGTCCAGTTACTCAGCAACCGGTCACTAAGCAGGTGGCCCACTTCTAAACCCAGTAAACTGAGAGGAATGTGACCTGCTGTGGTTTAACTTCTTGGATTAATGGGAATGCTGGCAGAAACATGAAGTGTATGAACAAAGGGGTAGAGCAAGGCTTTTTCAAATGGCCCAGCTGTCAGGTTCCCGAATAGACTGCCTAACTTGCGTGTGTTTTGAAGTCCGGATTATTTGATTACATAGAGTGGATTTGATTCGCTACTGATGACCAGAGTTGCTCCTGCCTCTGCACCGTTGTCCTCAGCTCGGACAGCTGTGAGAGCTAGGCAGTGACCTGGGAAATGCAAGCGGAAACCCCAGCCGGCCTCCCCCGAGCCTTCCCTGTGGTCCTCCGCGGCAGGGCTTTACACGGAGGGCCCCTTGAAGCCGGTGACTGCGGGGTGGGTGCTGCTACTACCTCTTCCCCTTTTTCAGATGAGGAAGTTGAGGCATAAATGTTAGTATGTGCTAGCACTCAAAAGCCAGATTCTAAAACCTGTATTTGCTACCCTCTCTGTAGGTGGGCTGTATTTACTTTGTCAGTGTATTTTTGTTTTTCACATTTTGGAGGTATGTCAGAAAACCAATTATTCTTAATTGTATTTAATCAACAAAATAGGTTCTTGACAATCCCTTTGGAGAGAAGCTATTTTTAATTAAGTGGTATTTGAGGAATATTTTGCCACACTACTTGCTGAAAAATCACTGCAGCTGATACTTAATTGAAATACTTTGTATATACTGATCATTTTTCATCCTATTTTTTTTCAAAAAAAATCAAATATATTCTTGAATAAACTATTTGAGTTGAAATAGTTGAAATGGGGGTTTTGTTTGATTGATTCCCCAAATGAAAATGTACTAAGGAGATCAGTAAGGTCAGCTTTATTTTAACATTACTGCTGCCTTCATTTTCCATTTCCTGTTTTTTCATCGACTGGGAAAGAAAGAATCGTTTTCCTGCCTGATGTAATGAGCATGTTTTGCCGAGTTTGTGCACGATTAACCAGTTGTTATTAAAACTCTCTCCTGGAGATGTACACCCATGTGACTTGGTATTTCCTCTCCTATCTAACTGCTTGTTTCCAAGCTTTTAATGCTGCCTTGTCTTTTATGCCTTTATCTTTATTTGAATCAGGTACTTCTCTGCTCCCTTTCACTTGCTTTTTCCTGTGCCATTCTTTTCCTTGCTACCGCATCTAAAACCAGGCCCTAGAGAAACAGAAAGAATACATTGCCTGCCTCAGGAGTGAGCGGGACATGCTCAGAGAGGAGCTGGCTGACCTGAAGGAGACAGTGAAGACAGGAGAGGTACGTACGGCAGCCAGCGTCAGCCTGGAGTTCGTGGCCCTCAGCGCTTCCTTCCGCCTTCCTTCCGCCTTCCTTCCATCCTGTCCTCTCTCCTGGCATGCACACAAACCACAATGCTCGTTCTTCTATCCGGATCTGGTAGGTTTAAGGCATTTCTCCTACAGAGCTGTATTCCACGTGACTAGCTCTAACCAGGTTTCACCTGTGGCAGCCCTATTGTCAGAGTCACCTCCCAGAACACGCTGCTTCCATGTGGGCTGTGCGTGTGATGGTGGGCTTTTCCTTCCCCACAGAAACATGGCTTAGTCATCATCCCCGACAGCACTCCCAACGGTGACGTCAACCATGAGCCCATGGTCGGAGCCATCACTGTGGTGTCTCAGGAAGCTGCGCAGGTCTTGGAGTCAGCGGGAGAAGGCCCTCTGGGTAAGACTCGGGGTGCTCTGTTGACTTGAATTAATGTTTCCCTGTTAAATGTCCAGCTTCTTCATAGACTGCCTTGGAAAGCAAAGACAACACAAGGACTGTCTGAGCCTTATCTAGATCCTTAGCAGGAGTAAATCGAGGCACATTGTCTTCAGACATCCTTGATCTTGGGTCATTGTAAGTCCCTTGGATGGCAGCGCTATGGGTGTACAGACATTGCTTTTTACTTAGACATAGCACGATGCTTTTTCAATTAAATATGGACCTGCCTCCCAGGGAACCAGTGGGCTGGTAGGTCATTTTCCAAATATGTTTTCTTCCTGGAGCATCTGGTTTTACATTTTGCTACTTACTCAAGGTTCTTGTAGGTCTTTGCCACCTCATTTCTTAGGGCAAGAAACAGATGGCCAAGAAGGTAGATATCAGAGGAATGTTGTTTCTAGAACAGGCTTCTGAGCCCCTTTAAGTCTAAGCCTCTTAAATTTAACCCTTTGGGAATCTAGTAACGCCTCTCTCAGGAAACAACACAGATGCCCATCAGTTGCCTCCACTACGAATCCTGCTCTAAAGGAAGAAAATGACACAGGAGATAATGTATCATCAGCTTACTTTTATTTATTTAAAAAATTGATCTTTTTCATCTTGTTTTCAGAGATATGTAAGTTTCCTAGAAAAGTAGGATATAAGAGTTGGGAGAAGTCAGAAAGCTTTTCAGCAATTAGTAAGCGCTGTCTCTGCTGCTCACAGTTAGAGAGGGTTGTCGTGGGGCACTTTGGGGAAGCAGAAGGTGCTAGCCTAGCGAGTGAGAGCTGCTCCAGAGAATGGACGGAGTCTACAGCTCTGGCATCTCCCAGTGTTTCCTCTGCTTGTTGGGAAGGCGCTAAGAGGAACTTAGATTTAGCTGTGATCCTGATTTGTAGGCGGCAGGGGTGTCCAACCATTTGGTGTCCCTAGGCCACACTGGAAGAAGAAGAGTTGTCTTGGGCCACACATTAAATACAGTGCAACATGTAATAACCAAAAAAAAAAAATCTCATAATGTTTTAAGTAAATTTACGATTTTGTATTGGGCTGCATTCACAGCCATCCTGAGCCACATGTGGCCCATGGGTCACAGGCTGGACACCCCTGTGTAAGGGTTGCTGACTAGCTGTCAGCTGCTGCTTTTAGTCATTGATGGGTATCCCTGAGCCCAAGGGGCCTACTTTAATATGTGTGCTTGGGAACAAGGAGTCCCCCTACCCCGGCTCTAGGCCAGGAGCAGCCCATGGTGCTGTAGCCGAGTCTGATTAGCCCTTGGTGGCCCGCATTCCCTCACCCACTAGCTTTTGTGGGTTTTTGCTGCTTCTAGCATTGTGTTCCTCTGTTTTCTTTGTTCCAGCTTCTCCTCTCAGTCCCACTCTTAACCCCTGTCTTCTGTCCCGTGGTTTGTTTTCTCCTGCTAAGGTCTTACTTCAGCCTGTGGGAGTGCCCCCAGCATTTGCGTTGTGTGTCTACTGGTGAGGGCTTGCAAAGTTTTGAAATAGGGAAATGATCTTTGTACTTCAGTTTGTCTTTAAGTGGAAAATCACTGCTCTTGGGAGCAGATGTTGTATTTAGTGCCTGATAAATATCAGTTGTGTGGAAATGTGTTGAATAATGAAGTACTTTTCCTTAACACCATTAAAGCCTCCATAGAACTGTAAGTTGTTTATTAGATAATATTTGCTGTTTTTAAATTTGTAGAATTTTTGAAAATTGTTTCTATTCTTCATTACAAATTCAGTTTACAACCTTTTTGTTTTAGATGTAAGGCTACGAAAACTTGCTGGAGAAAAGGAAGAGCTACTATCACAGGTAAAGGCTTTCTTCTCATTGGAAAGTTGTATTAATTGTAACTGAATCACATGGTAAAATGTTAGAGACTTATTTGAAATATTAGTACTCAAGTAAGATTTGAAGGATAAAAATATTCATATTTTACCTCTTTGTTGTTTCCTATTCTTTAAAAAAAATAATGATAGGACACACAGTTAGAGGTCAAACGGTTCTACAGAACTAGTGATGAAGAAGTGTTCCTCCCTGCCTCCCCCACCCTTACCCATGACCATTCCTACTTGGTGCTTTTAGCTCATTCTTTTGGTGTGTACTGTTCTTGTTTATTTGTATGCAACATTGGAAAATGAAAGGTTGGGAGAGGAAGACAGAGCAGGGGCTGTACGGAGCCTTTGGGGAAGAGTGCAGGAGAGGGTGTGACCCTGTTTGAGGCGGACGCGAGCGGGAGGGAAGGGGCTACTGAGAAGAGTCTCGGTTCCTCGAGGCAGATAGTGACAGCGACCCTCTGAGGGTTGAACAGGCAGAGGTGCCTGGGAAGCGTGGCTTTAGTCCCCGTGCAGAGCTCGCCCTTTCCCCATCAGGCGAGTGACAGGCTTGTTCCTGGTGCTCAGGCTTTCCCTTGACTCCCTTTGATGGAGTTGCAGATACAGTTCTGTTTTTGGCATTTTCTATCGCCGTCCATCTGTGGAAGGTGAACATTTAGCTTTTCTCTCATCCCCTGCCCCTACCATGCATGCCCGTATACTTCCCATCCCCACATCCGCCTAATAAAGGAACAGCATTGGTCCAGTCTATCTGCGCTGTTATTTGGACTCTGTAAACACTTCCCACAGTGGAGCCATGTCATATTCTGGGACTGCCTTTCACCTCTTTCACAACTCTTTATTTCCCCCATAGTTAATATTGTAGTTTTCCTTTTCATTTGCCTGCTTTTCTATGTGTTTATTACTAAGTTAGCTGCAGACTTTCCAACAGTAGTTAAATCCTCTAAGCATTTTCAGATGCATGAAGTCTTCTCTCAGTTTCATCCTTTTGATTCTTGGAGCCTCTGACTCATCCCACTCAACTTAATGGCTCATTCCCTCGGTACAGAGACCTATCTGCCCTTCATCTTCTTCTAGGGTTTTCTCCACCTGCCTTCCTCCCCTTTATTCATTTTCTTATTTTGGTACATCCTCCAGTAACTTCCTGAGAAAAGGGTTAGCGGGCTGTAAATTTTTCTTAAGTTTGGAGGCCCAAAAATGTCTTCATATTGCCCTCTTGGCTCATTCAACAGTTTGGGTACAGAATTCTGTGTTATAATTGTTTTCCTTCATCTTTTTTTCCCCTTCTTTTAAGACATTGCTTCATTGTCTTCTGGCTCCCAGTACGGCTGTTGAGAATTTCAAGAACATTCTGTTTTTGGCCTTTTGTATGTGACCAACCCCTTTTCCTCTCTCTGGAAGCTGGTATCATACTTTCTTTCTAGTGTCCTGAAATTTCATGGTGTTGTGGTTTAGAGTTTTCATGCATGGTCTGGGACCCTGTCATTTCTATGAATTACTATCTTGGCAGTTCTGGGAAGTTTTCCTGAATGATTTTTCTCCCTTCCCATATTCTGTGTTATCTGCTTTCGAAACTCCTATTCCATCATTCAAATATTGAATGAGATTCCACTACTTAACAGGCACTATTCTAGACATTTGAGATATTTCAGTGAACAAATCAGTTAAAAAAAAAATTCCTGTCCCAATGTACCTTGCATTCTAGTGTTAGGAGACCAGGCAATGAACAAATGTAATTAATGAGTACATTATAGAGTATGTTAGAGGTTTGTGTGAATGCATTGGTTGTGTTTCTCCAGCCACATTAAGCTATATCGGTGCAGACGTGGAGTGGGCAGAGTTGGCCTTTACCAGGCGAATATAATAGGGCAGAGGAGGTGAGAGAGTGATGATGAACCTAGAGATTAAACTGGGTAAGGTGGTTTGGGGGGACATCCAGGGAGACATCGAGACAGGGGAGCAATGGATTACAGGTGCCAGTGGGATCAAAGAATTTTTGGAGTTGTGATCCAGAAAGAATGAGCTGGGAAGAGCAGGAATAGCTGAGAGAGGGAAGATACTTGGATTGGAAGCATGGAGGGATTGCAGTATCTAATGGGGAGATATCCAGTACATGACTGTGGGAATGAATGGCTGAAGGCAAAGAGAGATGATGGCAAGATCCTTGGAGAGGAGGTATTCTGGAAGCTGAAATATCAGTTGTAGGAGAAATCCTCTATTTAGGTGTTTTTTGAAATTGCCAAGAATTAAAGTCAAGAATAGTTTTGATGAAGTGGGAGACAGCAGCTAAAATAGTGAAGAAAGCGTGGGATTATGGCTATGATGAGGGGTAGTTAGGGTGCTTCATTTGAAGAGATCAGATTAGGAACTGGGAGATTTAGGGAGGAGAGAGGGAGAATAGCGTGACAACAGCAAGGAAAGCAAGAGGACACCCATTCCATTTTCAGGCTCAGCAGCAGGGCTGTGGGAGAAAGAAACAGCACTTGAGTGGGCTGCAGAGGAAGCAGGATCCTGTTAGGGCACTGGGTGACAGGAGCGCTCAGAGACAAGGTGGAGGATCAGCGGGGTTTGCCGATGACAGACGGGTGATCCGGAGGGCATGGTGGGAGGGTTTCCGACTTGGGGAAAGGTTGGGAGATGAAGACAGAGCGGGGGTTGTACAGAGCCTTTGGGGAAGAGTGCAGAAGGCATGGCGCTGTTTGAGGGGGACGTGAGCGGGAGGGATGGGGCTACTGAGAAGAGTCTCAGTTCACTCAAGGCAGATAGTGACAGCGACCCTCTGTGGGTTGAACAAGCAGAGGTGCCTGGGAAGCGTGGCTTTAGTCCCCGTGCAGAGCTCGCCCTTTCCCCATCAGGCGAGTGAGTGACAGGCTTGTTCCTGGTGCCCAGGCTTCCCCTTGACCCTTCTTGATGGAGTTGCGGACACAGTTGGGGAAGCCACCTGGAACTCTTGAGCATGCAGGCTCACCCTTGAGCCTTGAGGGAGGATGAAGAGAAGGCATGGAGAGGCTTCGTCTCAGCCCCCGAAGCAGCTCCCCTTGTGTGTGTGTCGGGGGAGGGGGCGGGTAGACTTGCTCTGAGTCTTGCTTGCTGTGATGATACAAATTATAGCATTTGGGGAAACATGACTGATTTCTGAAGGAGGGGATATCAGACCTGTGGCACTAATGTTCTTTTTGTTTCTCTCCTGTTTTTCCATCTCCTTTTGCCTCTTTTGCTTTACTTTTAAAAGAGTTTCTCAACTTAATCTTCTAGTAACTTTCACTGAGTTTCTACTTTTGCATTCATTGCAAGGATGCAGGATGCAGATATTTTCAGTTATCTCGGAGGACAGCGATAGACTGGTTTGTTTCCTGTTTCCTCCTGTCTGCAGTGTGTTTCCTTCCAGATGCTCTTTCATGTCTATCTACTCAGTCTTCAGTCTAAGAGTGGGGTACCAACAGGCTGAAGGGCAGCTCTGAGGAAATGGCTGAGCATGTCCAAGTTTTTGTGAAGACTGATGTGGGTAGGTGTTTTCTTGGGAACCTTCAATGTGGGAATGTCGGTCTTTTATTTTAGGCTAGCCAGAGAGTTTTAAAGATGTGAAGAACCCTGGGACCTGAGTGGGCACTAGAGATCTCAGAATTCAGTGCTCTTCTGTTCACCTCATCTTGTTTTCCACTTGTGGGGCTCCTTCCTATCTTCACTCAGCCTTGTTTTTTCCTCCAACCCAGAGTCACTTTTATTTTTTAGTTGCTTGGTTTTGCAAATTAAAAGAAAAGCCCAGCTTTGGTAGGGTATAATTGGTGTAGAATAAGTTGCACATACTGAAAGTGTACAAATGTACATATCTGTGTTATTTTCCTAGGGCTGTTATAAAAAACTACCACAAACTGTGTAGTTAAGAACAGAAATGTATTGTCTCACAGTTCTGGAGGTTAGAGGCCCAAGATCACAGTATTAGCAGTGTTGGTTCCTTCTGAGGCCCAGGAGGGGACAGCTGCTCCCCACTTCTCTCCTAGCTTCTGGTGACGTGCAGGGCTTCTTTGGTGTTCTTTGGCTTTTAGATAACCTTCTCTGTGTCTTCACGTCTTCTCTCTCTCTGTGTCTACCTCTCCATCTGGAATTCTTTTCATAAGGACACCAGTCATATTGGAGTAAAGCTCCTCCCTTCTCCAATATACATCATCTCAACTCATTGCATGTGCAATGAGGCTCTTTCTAAATAAGGGCATACTTTGAGGTTTTCAATATATGAATTGTGTGTCAGGGGTAGTCAGAATTCAACTCATAACAGTACCTGTGGGGTGTCACTGCAGTCAAGATGGTGAAAATGCTCATAATGTTCCAAAGTTTCTATGTCGCTTAGTAAACCTTCCTTGCTGCACCTCCCTTTCTCCCCCTCTCCAGGCAACCACTAATCTGCTTTCTGTCACTGTGGATTCCTGTGCACTTTCTGGAGTTTTATATCATTGGAATACATCTTTCATATACTTAGAGATTTAGTCACGTTGTTGCATGTGTCGCTAGTACTCCCCCACTTATTTGCTGAGTAGTAATTCCATTGTATAAATGTATCAGTGTGTTTATCCTTTTGTTGATGGACATTTGGATTATCTTTAGTTTTGGCTATTATGAATAAGCTACTCTGAATATCCTTTATTTTGGATAAGATAAGGTAGATTATGTAGCCAAACTAAAAATTGTTTCCAATTATTTCTGTATACTGAAAAATTTCTAAGAACCTCTAACACAAAAGAAAAACATTTAACTGTTCATACAATTTCCATTTTGAATAAAAATAACAAAAAATGCTGGAAAGTGATGTTCTGAAATCCTACGCAACTAATAACGGGGAGCCGTTGTCACAGGTCACACTGGTCCTGGAGCTCGTGCCTTTTCATTTTGGTTCACAGCTTCTCTTAGCACCTTCGGCGGCTTGTCCCCCACAGCGGGCACTCAAGACAGTCGCTTCTGTCTGCATGAATGATTTGTGTGGCTCCCAAGCATCTGCCTCTTTGAGAGGCTGGATCTTGCTGATGAGCTTTTGTTTCTCCTGCAGATCAGGAAGCTGAAGCTTCAGTTGGAGGAGGAGCGGCAGAAGTGCTCCAGGGGTGACGGCTCGGCGGGCGGGGACTTGGCGGGACTGCAGAACGGCTCGGATTTGCAGTTCATTGAGATGCAGAGTAGGTGCTCGGGCAGGCCCGTCCTGGGAGCGGGCTTGTAACTCACATCTCTCAAGAACTGTTACAAAGATGGGTTAGCCTCAGCTGGCCCAGAAGAGCAGTCCTGGTCAGTAATGGAACCAAACAGAAGCTTCTGCTCGCCTGTGTGCTTCGGGGAGTGAGAGCACCCTTCCCCCTTCTACACGAAGTGATTTCTAGGAGCAGTGTGCAAGTCATGGCATCCTAACCCTGTCCTCTTCCACAACCATGTCAACTTCAAGCTCCCATGCAGCACTCTTCCTCATTACAATTTTTTGTGTAATTTATCTTGGAATAATTGGAAGGACATATTCACACTGATATTGAGTAGTTGCAGAATTTTCTCTGTTTTCTTGTTAGCTCAAATTAATTATTATTAGATGGAATTTAAAACAAGGTCACAAAGTAATCCTATTTAAATTATCCCAGTTTTTCTCCCTTTCTACTTTTGACCCCATATTATTTTATTTTTTAAAGATTTTATTTATTTTTAGAGAGAGGGGAAGGGAGGGAGAAAGGGAGAGAAACATTATGTGTGAGAGATACACTGATTGGTTACTTCCCACACACCCCCTGCCCCGCCCCCCCCCCCCCCCCCCCCCCACCAAGGACCTGGCCTGCAACCCAGGACCAGTGCCTGACTGGGAATTGAACCTGCAGCCTTTTGGTTTGCAGGCTGACAGTCCATTGGGCCACACCAGCCAGGACATGACCCCTATTATTTTAAAATGCCTACTGTATTCACAGTAATTCCCGTGGTAGGGGCAGTTCAGAATCCATTAATATGTAGTTAGATATTGTATAATTCATCGACAGGGAAGACTTTTATTTTTCCAATTTGAATAGTGGCATTTCTGGTAACTCATTTGAAAATACTGGTTATTCCATGGCTTTTTCATCTAACTATTCTGAATTAGGCCAGAGAAAAGACTGCTTGGATTAAGGTTTATTAATACTGTTAATACCACCTTTTGAGGTTAGTGTTATTGGATATCAAGTTATGACCCTTGTGATACTTCCTGGTGAATATTTTGTTCTAGAAATGCCATTTTGGCACAGAGGGTTGAAGAAGACATGGATATGATGATGAGGCTGACGAAGTAGGAGGCTGTGATTGTAAGCTGAACCACTATGATGGCTGTCAACAGTCTTAGAGAGGGGACAGGGATGGGGATAGACTGGAGAGATTGGCCTAAAGCAGCAAAATCAAAAGGAATCATACTGAAGGGCACCAGGCATGCGTTTATGTGTGAGCGCTTCCCAGTGCAGGTAGGCAATACCTGGCGCCGGTGAAGGCAGGGCAAAGTACTGGCTGGAGCAGTACCCAGAGGGGAGCTGAGCAGCACCGGGGAAGGCTGGGCCTGGCTTCTACAGACAGAAGCAGGCAGCCCTAACCAGCGTAGTTGGTTGGAGTAACGTCCCATGGACCAAAAGGTTGCAGGTTTGATCCCTGGTCTGGCTGTGGGTTCCGATTCCTGGTTGGGGTGTGTAAGGGAGGCAACCAATTGATGTTTCTCCCTCGCCTCAGAGTTTCTCCCCCACACCCCCTTCCTTCTCTAAAAGCAATGAAAAAATGTCCTTGGGTGAGGATTTAAAAAAAAGAAACAAGACAAAAGCACGCAGGTCCCTGCACCAGAAAGCCAGGGAAGGGGCCCGGGTGACGGCTCGGTCTGGCCACTGCCTTGGCCGTCAGCATGGCATCTGGGAATGGAATCTCAAAACACAGGTGGAGTGGCTGAGACAAAGGACTGGCACTTTTGAAAAGAGGAGGGAGTGGGTGGTTTGGAGAGTGAGAAGGAACATTTTGATAGTAAGTTGCTGGGGTGAAGAACAAAAAAACTAGATCCTGATGCTTCTGTTTTAGAGCCCAGGAATAGGGGTCATTCTCTTTGACTCCCAGAGGTGGCTTTTGGGAAGAGGGTTTTATAACCCCATTACTTTTTAGGGTGACTGTGACTATCCAATTAGAACAGCCTCTTGCATTCCAGACTGTAACCTTAGTTATGGGGAAAGCACAGAAATTCTTGAGTTTGGTAGAGTATATATGGTCTATGTCCTGTAAGACTTAAAATTCCTACCCTATAATCATTTCAGAGTGATTGTTAAATTTGGCTTGCTGGAGGGAAGTTTTTCTCCCCCATCATGTATAAACTTCTCATTTTAAGTGATTTACTTCTTAGGTCAAATGTATGTCTACTGATTTTTATAACTTTTCCCCTACCATTTTATCACATATTACTAAAAGGCATTTATTTCAGCAAATGTATTAAGTATATGCTTTGTGTAAAGCACTTGACTGGATACAGAGATGGAGTCAAAAAGTCTAGACAAGGCCCCTCTCCTTGCATATATAATGTTTAGAATGCATGATAAATATTACAAAAGAGTGCAAACAAAATGCGACAAGGGAAGAAGTTACAGTTAACTAAGGAGAGTGAAGGAGGAGGTGAAAATTGAGCATAACTAACCTTGGAGGTTGATTAAGACTTCAGTCAGAGGTGGGAGCAAGGGGCACTTGGCAGTTCGGGGGAGCAGGAGGCCTGGGAGGTGAGGTGGTGCCGGGCTGGGGTCCAGGAGACCGGAGGGCCTGGGTCTGTGTGCGCAGAGGTTCCCTGGGCCATGGGGCTGACAGGGTCCTTGCTCAGCGCTCTACCTACACACATCATGGGGTGAAAAGTACATTTTCTTCTAACTCCTGACCCAAGGGATGCTGTTACAACGCAAGTGCCACAGCTTCTCGCAGTGTCCACAACTCCAGAGGCTGGGCCGCCGGAGGTGCCGTGGTTGCCCTGTGTGCGTTTGTCTTGTCTTCTAAGACTGCACAGTCCTCCCTAGTGCAGCCGAGGGCGTCACTGCCTGATGGATGACACCTTCCCCTCAGAGGTGATTCATTCTTCTTTTCTGTTCTAGGAGATGCTAATAGACAAATTAGTGAATACAAGTTTAAGCTTTCAAAAGCAGAACAGGATATAACCACGTTGGAACAAAGTGTAAGTACTTCTCATGGTAGCAAGCGATTTAAATTCCCTTAAGGCACATCTGCTTCCTCCATCTAAGTGGCCAAAAAGTGAGTGCCTAGGCTTCTTTGGGCTGCCTTTACCCTTGGGCCTCCAGAACAGCTCTGCATCAAAGTGAAAAGGCCAGCAGAGAACAGCTGGCAGGGACACATAGCTATTTCATGAGAATTCAGGAAGATCGTAGTTCATTACAAAATGCTTATTGTACATTTCAAAATATCTAAAAGCTTTTCTATTCAGTGAGTCTCCTCCTGCAATGTTACTTTGGCACTTACACAATATGGTTGTCACAAAACTTAACATGGGAAATTGGCCTTATAGCGACTCTATAGCTGTAATCCTTTGGGGACATGGCTTGATTTATAAATAGCAGTGGGGTTCTGAGAGGACCTATGACTCTCCGTAAGGGGACTTGTTAGTGTTATATTCCTTGGGATTTTAATGACACTGTATTTCCATCTCGGCCACAAAAAAGTGATGGCTGCTAGCACACAATGCCAGAGGCTTGTGTTCTTCTGTTTGCAGATCGGCCGGCTTGAGGGACAGGTGCTGAGGTACAAAACTGCTGCTGAGAACGCTGAGAGAGTAGAAGACGGACTGAAGGCAGAGAAGAGAAAACTGCAGCGCGAGGTGCTTGTTTTACCAGGCTGCCTGGGCAGCATTCCTAGAAAGAAATGCTCCTTTGGAAATAAGTACTTTGTTACATAAGGAACTTAGTGCGGTCGGGTCATATGGACACAGCAGTGGGGTCACTCATTGGTGTTAGTTTTCAACCTACACAGTGACTGCCACTTGCTTTCATGTTTTGGTGAGTTAGATAATAAAAAAAGGGATAATTTTTAGTTTTGAGGATCAGGTCTATTTTCCCCACTTCTGTGGGTCCTGTGACTAGTGCTCAGCATCGTTGTTTTACCCCAGTGGCTGACGAAGCCACCACAATTAGCAGTCTGTCCACTTCCCAGAAAGTTGAAAATAAAGTAGCACTCTGCTTTGCCTCTGACCCTGTGACGTGACCGAGTTCTCCCTGTCTCCAGTTACGAACAGCACTGGACAAGATCGAGGAGATGGAGATGACCAACAGCCATCTGGCCAAGCGGCTGGAGAAGATGAAGGCCAACAGGACAGCACTTCTGGCCCAGCAGTAGGGAGGCTGCCCCTCCTTGCGCTGCTCCTGAGGCCCCGCCCAGAGGGACTGGCTTCTGGCCGTCGACAAACCCCTCTCAGTACTGTTTGAGTTTTGTCATTAATGTAGCCACCTTTGTATTTTATAATTTATGAGAGAATGAAATAGGTTTGAATCTTCATGAATGAACATTTTGGATTTTGTTTGTAGTTTAATTCTAGACTAAGAACTGGTCCATGCTGGGTTTTTTATCCCCATGACTTTAGAATCAAGTTTACTCATCGTCTCCCCAAGCTGCCTCAGCGCCTGGGCACTCGGAGGCCTTGGCCCGGGTTCGGAGGACAGCGATTCTGGGAGTGCTCACTGAGCTGCGTGCTGGAGACCTCAGAGACCACACAAGTGCCTTCTCCACAGTGCGATGCAGCCTCCAGTGATCTCCGGCGGTCACAGACGTTACCCTTAATATCAGATAGCATTTATATTTTAGTGAAGAAACAAGTTCACAGGTGGGGAATATATGTGTCACTAAAATTTATATGTTTGGAGGAAAAAGCCTTTTTTTGTAAAATATTTAAATTTATATAAGAAAATGTTAGAAAAAGATATGCTTTATTGCATGGGGCAGGGGAAGTCCAAGGCCTACTACTCTTAAAGGAAGAGTAGGGTACTTAGTCTTCAACATCAACTGTGCTGTATCTTTTAAAGTATTTCATCTGCTGCTGCTTTGTGGAATGAAACCTCAGATAAGCCCAAACGGGGGGTGGGGGGGGGGGACAGGGCAGGCAAGTGGGGCATATGCCTGAAGATTCCATTAAACACACCCTTTTGCTGACCACAATTGGCCTCTGACACATTCATTCTGTGAGAGGAGCCTTTAAAACAAACCACGGCAACCATGCCTTATTAGCCCCTCTTCTTTTCTCTCCTTCCTAAGGCAAACCCTGGAATATAGACATTTTATTTGAAGAACTTTACTTTCATCTTTAAAGGTACCCAGTTCAAGAGGTTTCTATCATCGAGTGTAGTCATTTTGTAGGATTTGTGATTCTCTTTTGCTCTCAGAATCAAGGTGGTTTTATGGAATGATTATTGTACCCAGTGTGGGGAAAGTCCAGTAAATCAAGGCCACATGAGAATAAAGTTAGACCTGAAACTAGATAATAAAGGTAACTCAAATGTGAATAAATTATTCTGTTGTTTAGAATAATAAGCCCTTTGTTTTTAACATAGAAACCAATCTTTTGAACTAAGATGATTTGCCAGTGGCGGGGCCGGGGGAGGCTGGCGCTTGCTAGTTGGAGGCGGGTAATATACGGAATTCAGGTTGAGCCTAGAATCCCACAGCTGCAACCAGCAGTGTGGTCCAGCTCACGTGGCCTTGGAAGCCCCGCCTTCTCTGCACCTGTGGCCACTCGGCTTGTGTCCCTCCCAGGCTTGTGGGATCTCACCTCTAAGACTCCCCTGGTCTGTTGTTTTAAAATTCTAAGTGTTAGAACCCGGTTCTTGCCCCTTCAGTAACACAACAACCAGACCTCTCTGCCTGCTGACCCCGCCTTTCCACGTGGAGTGGCTCCACTTCTTCAGGTAGTTTTCTATTCTTTCCAATGGAGCTTTGTTCATTGAGTCTTGTAGTCTGGGTTTTACCTCAAAAATATAGGAGTTCTTCCTTCCTGGGCTAACCGCACATTTCTATTTATGCAGGTTAATATTAAAGTAGCTTATTTTAATGGCACTTAGAGTTTAAATCTGAATTTTTACATCATCTTTCAAACAAGAATACCTAGCACTTTGATTAACTTAAGCTGGTAGTAGTCATAGCCATTAGCACAGCAGCCTACCTTAAAAACTCATAGTTACAGACTGGATAAGGACTATTTTCTTATCTCAGGTCTTTTTAAAAATTCAGAATCAATTATTTTCCGGTTATTGAAAGTACTCCTAGGGTCTCAATTCACCTTTCCCCACAGGCAGCGTCATCAGAGCCTCTTCTAAGTTCAGAATCTCTTTTAAAAGGCACCTGAACCAACACTATCTATCACCTGATATTATAAATTTAACAGAACACAGGAAGAATTATCTGTGAAATCTTCAAGGGCTTGTTAGAATTCTCATCAGAAGCCCAGGGGGCTTTCAAGTTACTTCTGAGACTCTTCAACACTATTGGGTATATACGAGGTGAAAATCAGTTTAGAAAAACTTTCAAGTGTAATGAAATTAAGAAGTCATGTTAGGACATACCTGACAATTTATTTATAGTCAATCCACCCATATAGCCAATCTGGCTACTAGCCAGAAGGCAAATGTGAGTCTTCAGCCTTAAGACCTACCACAGCAGGACACGAAGGGTGAACAGCACACTCAAGAGTCCTTCCGTGACCCTCGTTAACACCTCTCAAAGACTTTGTATAGGTCGGGAAGGTTGGCAAGCTGCAAGACAGTTCCGTCTTCTGTGAAATGTTTGGGAGGCAGGAGGTGGGAGCGGAAGGCTTTATAGACGACGTGCTCCACGGTCCACTTCCAAGGGTGCGGAGTGGAGCCAGGGCCTCCACTCTGGAAAAGACACAGCAGATGTCGTAAGCCTCCCCGTTTGCATCCCAGCATACGCTGCCTTCCTGGCTGACGTGCACTGGGCTGGGACAGTCTTGGTATCTTAAATGGGCTGTTACCTAATGCTTGGGAAGCATCTAAGCCAGTCCCTGAGGGGTCCTATGGGGCTGAACACGAGAGACGAGGTGGAGGAAATAAAGAAGCCACAGCTCTCATGAGACTTGCTCCCCTGGACCGTTTCCATTCAGGGAGAACGGGATACTGGGGTAGGATCTAACATAATGTCTGATCCTGACTATGATGTTTGGGTAGCAATAGTAGGAAGTAAATTTTTAATTGCTATATTTGGGGGTCTAAATGTAGCCCCATTTTCCTAAAAGCACCACAGGTAAGAAAGGAAGAAGAAAAATAACTGTTTCACGTACAAAAAAAATGTTCTTTCTCATCCATCCTTTGCTTGAAGTAAATTCTTCCAGTCAAATGAAATACTCTGAGCAGAGTTTGGTGCGTGTGCTACCTTACCTCCTTCCCTGGAATGCGATGTTCCCTAGGGGCTTTGGCCCATAGGACCTAGGGCTGAATCTCTGCCCCAACACCTGCAGGCTCTGGGCGCCCTTGAGCATGCCAGCTGCCCCTTACTTCCCGCCCCTATGAAACTGGAGCACATCTCTTCACCTCAGAGGATGACCGCAGTAGTCACCGAGGCTGGCCATGCACGGGAAGTTGCTGCCCTTTGATTCTTCAGTCCCTACCACCACCACCCACCCAGTGCCTCTGAAATAACTTGTTTGAAAAGCACTGTCATCGGGCTGGGAAAAGTGACACAGAAACATGAAGAACCCAGGCCCTTTTTATGTCAAGCTGTCCTTCTGTAAGAAGGGCTGGGGGTCTGACCCCCCCCCCGCCCCCCGGCAAGGCAGCGGTCCAGTGAGGAGTAAGGCAACAGCTAAAAGAGCCTGGGGAGACCGGTCCAGAACCTGAAGACCCTGGCCACACCTACGGACGTACAACAGCTTGCCCTGGACAATCTGACTCAACCTCCCGTCTCCCACTGTGATGGCTGGTGACCGTACATCAATATCACTCGGGAAGTACCTTCTAAACCAGCAGCAGAAAGTAAAACTCATGAATAAAAGCTGACCATTGTGTTCTTGTGTGCAGTGAGATCCTAGGAATTTAGAGATGGGGGCGCATCCCAGGCCCGGGGGGCCCCAGCATCACTATGGTACCTGCTGGCCTGACAGGGTCGACTCCTCGGATACATACTGCTTCCGGACGGCGTAAAACATGGCACATTCTTTACTGAGGCTTTCAAAACACTCCTTTTCTTCGTCCCAGTTCACCTGGTCCAAAGAGAATTCAATACCTCAATAGAGGTATGTGCTTTAAACACCGTTCACTGCTAAATGGAGGTCACAGGCGACTGTAAAACTAAATGACTTCTTAAGGGATTGAAGCTGTAAACTGGAACTGCTGAATATTGCTGGGGGGTAGACGGGGACGAGATGGGGCCTTTAGCTATTTTACCCTGTTCATTATCATTCCCAGTGCAGGGGGCGCCCTGTGCCTTCTGCCCCAGCACGTACTCTCGTGCCCTCATACTCAACAGTGGCTTGATCACTTGCCTCAGTGGCTAGTCGAAGAATGAAGATCGGCAGACCCTCTAAAGGGGGCACGTAGTTGTCGATCAGAAGGGGCAATCCAATCAGGTTCCCTTCCTGCTTGTGGAAAAGAAGGTCAGGACAGGGGGACAAGAAATAGTGTTATTACAGTTTAATTGAAACAAATTCCATTTCCCCAGAGCTTCCTCCACGTCTTGTCCTCACACCTGTCATTCTGGTGACCAAGTGCTTGACTGGGCTGGGCACTGGGGGCAGGAGAGCTAAGCACCTAAAGAGCCTTCCGTCCTGACGTGCAGCAGAACGCCTTTTCTTTGGGTCTCCCAGAGAGCAGAGCAAAAGGGAAGCCCCACAGATCAAGGCGTAAGAAGAAGAAACAGAGCACAGGGCTCATTCCCTGGCCTGCAGGGACTGTGGGACTCGGCCTCCCTCGTGTCAAGGCCCTTCCCCCTGGGGACAGGAATGGGCGTGAATGGATGATAAAATTGTTGTGTAGCCTAGAAATGCCAATGCCAAGTCTCATCGTGATTTTGGACTAACTACAGAGCTTGACTCTTATCTGAAGACTACAACTGAGGGGTAAAAATGGCAGCACACACCTCATCGATTTCCAAAGAGAAGTAGTCTGCAAGCATCTCAGTCTTCTTTTTCAGGAACTCAACAATGTATTCTGCAAGTCCTTCTTTGGGACCATCTTCCTCCGTCCAGCCGCTCTCAGGACTATCTAAAGCGAGCATGGCCAGGTCGAAGAGTGGCGCTGGCTCCTGGGGAAGAGCAGCAGCAACACTGAGGAGCAGGCGCGGACACACCCAACTGGGGCCCGGGTTACCACCAAACCGCCACAAGGGCCACAAAACCATGACCACAACAGGAGGCGAGAGCCCACAAATCTAACACTCAGTCCCAAAGAAAACTGAAAAGTCACAGTGAAACCTTCTGACAAACCTCTAACCAGACTGATCAAGTTAAAAAGAGAAGATATAAATTATCACTATCAGGAATAAGAAAGGTTCTATCAGTACACACCTATACCCATCAAAAGAATAAATAGGAACTTCATGTCAATAAATTTAAAAAATGGACAAGTTCCTTGAAAGAAACAAAGTATCAGGGCTCACTCAAGAAGAAAACGATAACCTGAATAGCTCTATATACATGAAAGAAATTGAATTTTTAGTTAAAAACCTTCCTGTGAGGAATCTCCAGGACCAGATGGCTTCACTGGTGAATTCTACCAAACACTTAAGGAATAAACACCAATTCTACACCAACTCACAGAAGATGGAAAAGGAGGGGATACTTCCAAACTCACTCTGTGACCCCAGATTACCCTGATACCAAAACCAGACAAAGGCGATACAAGAAAACGGCAACCCGTATCATTCATGAACAGATATGTAAGAATTATAAACAAAATTTCAAGAAGTCAATCCCAGTAATATATAAGAAGGATAATACATCGTGTACAAGCAGGGTTCATCCCAGGAATGAAAGACTAGTTTAATATATGAAAATCAATATATTTCACTACAGTTCTCTTTAACAAATACAGAAAAAGCATTTGAACAAAACTCAACACCCATTCCTGAATAAAAAACTAAGCAAACAAAGAATAGAAGGGAACTTCCTCAACCTCATAAGGGGCATCTACAAAAAATCTACCTATGGCAGAGAGCATAGTTAATGGTGAGAGACTGAATGCTTTCTCCCTGAGATCGGAAACGAGAAGGATTTTCATTCTACCACTTCTATTAAACACTGTTCTAGCCCATGTAATCAAGCAAGAGAAAGAAAAAGATGCATCCAAATTGGACAGGAAGGAATTCACAGATCGTCTACAGGGTCTGGCAGAGGTTAGGCCTGCTTGAGTGTGGTTGGTAGGGTAATAATGTGGGTGTAATAATTTATAGTTTTAATTTGAACATTTCAGCTAAAATGTCATATTGTGTGCTTGAAAGTGATATTGTTAATGTTTCAGAATTACATGATTATGATTTGGTAATAAAAGATTTTGTAATAAAAAGGGGTGTTATTTGTACAGGACACTGTATTTATAAAACCTGATTGGAATCCATAAAAAAGTTACCACGATTAATGAGTTTGATAAGATTACAGGATATAAGATGAACGTACGAAAGCGCTTGTATTTCTAAATACAGCAAAAAAAAAAAAATTGGAATTTAAAAAAAATGCCATTTACAGTAACATTAAAAGATGTGAAATAAAGGATTATCTAAAAAAGATATTCTCCACAAACTGATCTATAGATTCAACACAATCCCAAAAAAAATTCCAGAAGGCTTTTTTTATAGACTGTGTCACATATAAAAAGACATGAAACGACATAGATGTGTAGTGTGATTTTTTAACTCTAAATTAGGCAATAAAAAAGTTTTAGAAGAAATGGACTAAAATTGTTGGTTGGGGTTGTGTTTAGGTCATGGGCTCTAGAGAACGTTTATTTCTATTTTTATCTCTTTCCAAGTTCTTAAGTAGATATATTAATTTCTATAATAATAATAAACATTTGTTTAAGTTGGCTACTAAAAGGCTATTCTTTGTAAAAAAAAAAAACTATTACAATTAAAGATATTGCCATATGCAAAATGTGTAACAGGAACTATTCTTAAAAAAAACAAAACCTAAGCATCTTTAGAGAAATTTACATTACAAATAAGATATTAGGGTAAAGCTATTATTTTCAGAAATGACCAGTTGTTGAAGTTTCAGGAATGAGAAACAGAAAAACAACTTACCGATAACCTCAGAACACCAAAATTCGCAAAATCATATATGAGTATCTGGTAGAACAGTTCTTCGCTGAAAATAAAAATGAAGTGACTTTAAGGAAAAGCCAAATCCATGCTTGAGAGCCACGCAGTGGGGGCAAAGGAGAACTAACCCCTGAAACATGCCTAGGCCACATGTGGTTCTGCCCTGCCCGGGGGCCTTTTTAACCATCTTCCAAGATCTCCTTTTCCCCCAAAGAGCCAGGATTCCGGCGTGCGGTGGCCAGGGCCTTGGCCGGCTGGCCTCCACACACAGGTTCGAGCACTGAAACCAGGCCTGGCTTCTATCACTGTGTTGTCCCCTGCACCGGGTGCTGTCACAGGCAGTGAAATTTAAGGAATTTTTGTTTGCTTGCCCTTTCCCCACTTAGAAAGCATCCTATAAACTACTTTTTTTTTTAATAACTCACCATTAAAAATGATAGGGAATGTACAGAAGGGAGGGGGGCTTCCTAAATGCTCAGCGGACGTAGGGCGGTGTTAGGCCACACTAGTATACGGGTTAGGTTGGCAACATTCCAAATGCATCGTGAAGTATACAATGTATCAAACTATTTATAAGACTATAGAGTTGAAATCATTGGTATTCTGTAGATCTTAAAGCAATTTGAACCATGTAGGTCTTGTCTAAGGACTTCATTTCATTTTCTCAAAGTAGACAAAGCATCTGCTTGTGGGGAAACTGAGCATTACTGTGGGGAAACCAAGGCATGCAGTGAGTAACTGACTCATCCAAGGTCAGGGTTAGCTGAGGGGGAAAGGAAGGCGTTGGGTCTAGATGAAGCACTATGGGCTGGGTTCTCCCTGGGTCTCTACCCTCCCACTGGGAAACGATTCACATGTATTAAACAGCTGGAATTCTGGGACTGGCTAGATTTGTATCTATGAAATGAAGGAACCTGAACTCAGCTGTGATTTGGAGCCTTGGGACCAGGCACTTAGATATGCTGGGAAAGAAAATACAAGGTGAGTAGACTTCCCAACAAATCACTAAGAGCCGGGGTACTGCACAAGCCTGACAAGCTTCCCACAGCAAAGACAGCAGCACCGAAGGGAGCTGCACAGGAGGGTTGCCAAGCCCAGGGGATGAGTTCCCAATACCCAAGGAGGTATGTGCACCACCAGGAAGCTTCTGGACTGGGGCGGGTTCTAGGTCAGGGAGATCAAATCTCATGTGCAACTACAAGCGATGTATAGTGGCTGCCCCATTCACAGGGCCAGCCCACACTGTGAGGCCACAGCAGGTCCAGTGGGAAAGAATCCCACTTAGTGGACGAGTGATGTCCAGGAGATGGAAGGTGGCAGCCCCTCCCATCTTCGCTGCTGATTTGAGAATATACTTAATAAAGGTTCTACCAGGGGCGTCCAAGCCGCGGCCCACAGCCCGCATGTGGCCCAGGATGGCTATGAATATGGCCCGACACAAAATCCTAAGTTTACTTAAAACCTTTTTTTTTTTTTTTGGCTCACCAGTTTTCGTTAGAGTTTGTGCATTTAATATGTGGGCCAAGACAATTCTTCTTCCAGTGTGGCCCAGAGACACCAAAAGGTTGGACACCCCTTTATCTAGACTCCACAGCAGCTCACCCACCAAGCGCCCTGGAAACAATCCATAGAAATGTTGCCGACTCAGCACTGAGCAAATGGCACTGCCGGGATTGCCCTCTCTCTGTCATCAACCCCCTGGCTTGTTTGGTGGCCTCAGAAAGCCTTCGCTACAATCCCAGAGCTGGAGGAAAGGAGCCATCAGGTCTGCCTTCTCTTGCATTGCCCGTCACGGCAGATGCCAGAACTCTCTCCCAGCACTAAGCTCTCAACACCTGGTTCGGGGCAGCCAACATTCATAGAGCACCAAGCACCTACCAAACACCAGGCTTCTCATGTCATTTCTTATCCTCACAAAGCCCTGCAAGTTGATCCCCATTTACAGACGAAAAGTCTGGGACGAAGTTCAGGAAACGAACTTGTCCACGATCACATCAATGGTCAGTGATTGAGCCTGGACTTGAAACCACGGCCCTCTGACCGCAGAGCCTGGGCCCCTTCCAGCCACGCCACACTGCGGCTTTCCCGGCGTTCTGTGCCTGAGCCCCGGGACCGTCCTCCCAGCAGCTCCGCTCTTCCACACGCTCGCTCACGCACCTCAGTTTGGTGGTGTTGAGGAGGTACAGCTTGGTCTGATGCTGTGCCAAGGCCCACTGAGGATTCACGCAGCCCACAAAGGAGTGGTTGTGCAGCATCTCCTGCAGAGCTGGAGAACAAAAGACAGGTAAGCTATGGCATCCCACCAGCACCTCTCGGCAGCCCAAAGCACCGAGCCCCAGAACTAGAGACAAATAAGCAATGATGCCCGAACTGAACCTCTTGCTGAAAAATGAGCACAAATGAGGCATGAAAAACATAACTAATTTTTCAAAATGCAACAAGGAATTGCCCAAATATTCAGGAATAATCAAAGACCGTGATCTAACACAAAACAAAATAATTGACACTAAAAGTCAAGATAGACTTAAGAACAGATCAGACGAAGTTGGCACGGTAATCAACTAGAAGGTCAATGTAAAGAAATTACCTGGAATGCAGCCCAGAGCGACAAAGAGGCGGGAAACAAGTGACACAAGATACCAAGCCTCAGCTCTACAAGGCCCTACAGAATCCACACCTGACACACAGACACACTGGGGGACACCAAAGAAAGATACTAAAAGCACTCAGAGACAAAAGAGAGGCTGTCCAGAAAGTAATAAAATATAAGACTCACAGCTGAATTTTCAACAGCAACAGCAGAAGCCAAACAATGAGAGAATAACACATTGAATGCACTGAAGAGAAATAATTGACTTCTAATTTTAAACCCACCAAAGAAACTTTCCAAAATAAGGATAAATTAGACAAAGCAAAACTCACGTTGCCACCCAAGGCAGATCTGACATAGATTTTATAAACATGATTTTGCATTTAAAATATTTGTGCACATGCATGTGTGTGTGTATATACATATTTTAATGAAAGATGTAATAATGTCACTGTAAAGGGGCCTGGGGGGAGGGGGGCAGGAGGCGAAAGGGCAGGGGTTTTGGGGACAGCAATGAGCCTGTGCGCCACAGTTTTACTCTACTTGTTTTAAGCTTAGGTATAATTCTTAGATTTAATTGTAGGCAGACTTTATGAGCTGTTCTTTGCAGATTGGCTTTTTTTATCTTAGGAAATTATTCCTAACTTGAAGGTAATTAAATATATGCTTTCTATCGTTACATAAGTTTCTGTAATACTCCCTGTTCCCCCCATAAAAAGAAGCTTATTTTCTTCACTTTTAGAATAAGTACTCCCCTCTGTTCCCACTGGAAACTCAATGTCTTTGCAGGATGTACTGCGTGGGTGGAAAATGATTATTTTAAAAGCTGGAGAACATCAAATAATCTTGAATAATGAGGCACTGGAGGAAAGAGAAAGCAGTGTAATCCACTAAAAAAGGGTCGGAGATTTTCCACACAGCTCTGTCATGGAACGCTCTGCCACAGCCACAGCTCCTGCAGTGCGGGCGCGCCAGCCAGTGCTGGTGGGGGCGGGGGCGGGGGCGGGCGGGCGCGGCTGTTCCTAAGCGCCAGGCCCCCAGAGCTGCTCTCAGCCCAGCAGCAGGTCCACCTAGAAGCCGGGCAGGGCTCTTCTAACCTGGGCTGCGTGAGGCTTTCAGGGCCCTTCACCGCCTCTCGTCAGGACCTGAAGGACCTGCATTTCATTCTTTCCTGAAATAGCCCCACAGCACTAGACATCTGTGGGCATGTCCCCAACCATCCAGCCAGCAGCAGAACAGGACAAAATGCTTCTGTGCTTCAAAGCCAAACCACGAGTTGGAGTTCACAACACAGGCCTTCGGTCTCCGCGTGCTTTCCGAGAAGCAGCAAGGAAAGCCAAACCTGAGGGCAGGGCGGCGGGTCCTGCAGCTCCTGACGGCCATTTGCAGGGTGGAAGCCCAGCACCCGCTGGACGACCGACAGCAGCCTCCGCTGCCAGCGCCTCTGGCTGTTGCCTGAGACGATGCAGAAGCCCTCCCAGCAGATCCCAGCCTGGGCCCTGCGGAAGTGGCCTCTAGCTTTGCTACACAGTGTCTTTCATCCTACTTTATGTTGCAGCCAGTTACACTTAGAGAACATGCCCCACAACACCAGGGCGCTTTAGGCAGGGGTCACGGGTCATTCAGCTCACTTTCGGCCTCGGGGCTTGGCATGGCACATTCTGTACCAAAAAGATTCCTGACAAACATCTGCTGAACTGACTTCACGTACCAAAGAAAGTGTTATCTGGTGACAAACAATATGAGCATGTACATTTAGACCTAGGGCTGTTCACCAAAGACCAAGAAAATAATATTGTGGGTAAAATGTTACGCACACGTTCACATTCAGATGACAGCAAATAACTTAGGACACTCCTTGCCCTCGTTAATTTACAGATTCAAAATTATGGAGCTGGCAGTAAGTAAATCCAGGCATTGCTAATCTGAGATGAGCCTAATTCCATGGACCGCCTGACTTTACACTGGGCCATAAATTAACCTCCTTTGTGGATGGAATGTGTGCCCACCAGGAATTGGTAAATCCACTGGACTTGAGTCGTCAGACTGAGTGTTCGCCTCTGACATCCTTTCAGAATAAAGACTGCACGGCTGCAGCTCCCAGGCTGCTCCTCTCAATCATTTCCTCACTCCTTCGGCAAACACCTACGGAATCCACGTGCCAGACACTCTGCCGCGCACCCAGGATAAGCAGCGAGCTCCAGAGACGTGATTCCTGCACAGACAACACCTGATGAAATCCCCACACCAGTGCGTGCAAGGAGAACGTCGTTGCAAGGACGGGATCTCTTACGCCTCTCCCGGGGCCAGGGCACAGCTCTGTCGGGGAGCAGCCAGGCTGCTGGTCTATCACCAAATCTGAGCCTCAGAGAAACCCCTGTAGAGCATTCATCTCGAAGCCAACCAGCTTTCCCTGCCATGGACTATGGATGGAAACCAAATGCCAGCGGACAGGACCCAAAGCAGAGGTCCCTCCCCTGGAACTGAGGCTGGAGGCTTACAAAGCACGTACATGGCATCCTAGGGGTTCATCACAAAAATCCAGCAGTGGCATCATTTTACAGAGCAGGAAAATGGTGCTCTCAAACGGTGAACAAATTTCCGACCGGCTATAGGTGTGGCTGGCAGGAGCTGCAGCAGGGTCCTTCCGGCTCCAGAGAAGTGCTCACCCCACCCGCCCATCACAGACAGCACCCCCATCACAGACAGCCACTCCCACCTCTGGAGGGCCCTACACAGGCGCAGTTACAGCAGCGCTCCCCCCCCCCCCTTCTGAGGGGTCAGAGCCGCAGTGCGCCCATCCTGCATGGGCAGGGCCGTGCGTCTAGTTCTGCCTCTAAATCTGGGCCAGCCTCCCGGGGCGCAGGCCATGCCACAACAGCCCGCCCCCAACAGGCACGCACCTGGGACGGGCCCCAGTCTGCCCTCTCCATCTTCTATTCCGTGTCCTCATCTTCAAAACAGAGAGAACAGCACCTCCTCCTTCCTCCTCACAAGACTATGCTCAAGTTAAATGAGATGACGTGCGTCCATATACAATTTTAGAAGATTTAAGAGTCACCATTTTAACCCCGGCAGTGGTCAAACTTGACGTGTGCTATTTTTATAATACACTGAAAATAGTTTGCACCTATTCAGAAATTTATTGAAATCATAACTTTAAATAGCCTGCTTTGCACAAGGGATACAAACCCTTAAAGAAAACTCTGTAAATTCCAAATCTGAGGGAGTCTGTCCATTAAAATTACTGTGAGGAAGACTGCTAAATAAATCAAGTAACAGCTCACCTTTCTTACATTATTTTAAATGGTGTTAAAGGCTCCCAGCTGGAAAGCCAGTAACAGAGGGAAACAGTAACTGGAGCAAGTCTTCATGGAAACCTAAACCAAAAGCCAAGTGGCAGCTACTTCCACAACTGGCAAGACCTCGGCCACAGGACGTTTTTACCCTTCCCCACAAGGGGAGACGCCCTATATTTTTCCCCACATGTCCAGCGTGCTAAGAAAAGAGCGCGAACGAGGAAAGGCAAATTGAGGCCTTCCTGAACTTGCCCAACCCAGGGGTGACTGGGAAAGAGAAAATGTAAGTGGCCACTGAGTCAGGGCAGCTGCTCTAGAAGGTTGTGCATTAGTGGGGAAGGTACTGAATGGCTCTTCACCACCCATTTCCTGTAAAAGTTAGTCATTCGTTTTAAGACACATTTTATAGCAGTGTTGAAATTTATACTAATCAAGAAATGTGTCACAGATGAAAATGGAAAAGCCACGGCTAGCCCGGCAGACTCGCATGCACGACTGCCACCGGGCCCGGAGCAATGCGGCCCGCCCTTGGGCGCCCTGCCTGCCCCATCAGGAGGGGGTGGAGCTGCTGTCAGGGGCCAGTCGCAGGCAGATGCCCCTCCCTGGGACAGTTCATCCCTGGAGGGTGCCCAGGCCCCTTTTATTCCCTAAAAGCATTAAGTTAGTTTTGAAGTAACAGGGACCAAAATGGAGTTGTGCACTCAGGTATTCTGGAAAGCTATTTCTGAGGAAGCTGATAATGGTTCATTACTTTGTCTTCAGGAATATAAAACTGTTGATTGACTCCTTACTGTGTAATAAGTGTTTTACTTATATTGCACCTCTAATCAACTCGATAATCTTCAAGGGTAAAATTAATCTCATTTTTCAGGTGAGGAAAAAAATGAGGCACAAAAAGGTCAGGTCAGGAGTCTGAGGTCACACAGAAATGAGAGTGGCGGGATGCGAACTCCGGGCCCTCAACACCTGTCACTTTCAGCTACGGCGCCGCAGGGGCAGAATTTTGTTTTAAGCTAAAAAAGAAACAGAAGGTTATTTAAATGACAGCTTTGTTCTGACTCCTACGGTTTAAAGAGAATACTGATTAATTCCCATTAAAACCAGAGATTGTTGTTCCCTTCTCTCCCAGCTGAGAACGGCCTGGGAGCTGCAGCCGCGCGGGCCCGGGGAGGCAGGCGGGCTTGCCGGGCACACTGCAGGGGCCATCCCAGCCTGCGTGTGCGCTGCATTTCCAAAAACTGAGCGGCCGTGGTTCCGGCCCGCGGAGCCCCCGAGGGACACCGGCACTTACGTACTCTCATGTCCCCGCTCGTTAATTTCTTCCTGGAGACTCAGAACACTGGTGAGGTTAATGATCCTTCTCCGGGGGGTACAAGCTGCCGTCATTTCCTTTCGGGACTCATCTTCCACCATTTCCTCGTCGGAGCCTTCCCGATGTCTCTTTCTGCAACAAAGATGAGAAACTTAAAATTTTTAAAAAACTTGGCCAACTTCGGTACTGAATTTTGGAGAAGGGAGCAGCTTGCCGGGGCTGGCCGCGGCCACCCGTGTGTGCTCTCCAGCACACGGCTTACCCGATAACCAGCAGGCCCCGGCGGCCAGCTGCCGCGCACAGCAACACGCTGGAGTCCAGCTCAGCCCTGTGAAGCTGCAGGGCCTTGAACACGTGAGCTGACCTTCCCCGGTCTCATTCATTCGGAGCTCCACCTACCTATCCATCAGACTCGGTTATAATGCCAACTACTTACAGCCATGAACAGGACAGACAAGGTGTCTGCCATTGCCATCCTTGCTTTCTAGCAGGGGAGTCAAACAGCAACAGAAAATAAGACATTTTAAGTAGCAACAAATGCTATGAAGAGAATAAAACAAGGTAATAGAATAGAATGGTGGCGAGGTGAGAGAGAGAGAACTTTAGATTAAATGGACAAGGAAGGCCTCTGAGCTTGAGTGACAAGAAGCCAGGGTCTTCCCAGGCCGAGGGAACAGTGAGAGCACCGTGAGGGCCAGGAGCTCTGTGAGCTCAGGTCAGCCACAGGGCCATGCAGCCGAAGCACCGCAAGGACAGGGAAGGTGTGGGCTGGAGGGAGGGCAGGGGTTTTTCGTCCCACAGACAATGGGAACCGCTGGTTTTCAGCAGAGAGTGATACAATCTGATTTCCGGTTTAAAAAGATTTCTTGGACTGCTGTGTGGTTAAATAGCTTGCAGTATTCGTTTCCTAAGTAATAAACAAAGATGCAACAGTTCCCTGGCAGGGCTATGGAGAGCAAGAAGAAAGATCCCGTATGTAAAGTATCTGGCGCTGGGCAGATGCTCAAAAAATGTCAGTATCCTTTATTCTTCCCCAGAAAAAGTCCTTAGAAGTCGTCTCATTAGACTGACTCAGAAGTGAGAACATTGGAGTTAAGTAACCGGTCCAAGTTCTGATGGGCAGTTGGTGCCAGGGTTTTGGTGGTCGGCCACCAAGTGGACGTGCAGCCGTGGGCAAGTGACCCTGAGCTCCAGGTTCAGTACCTGAACACAGATAACAAAGACGCACCTCGCCGATGTCGGTGGGATGTCTTTCAAGAGCCTGCAGATTGTACACTGGAAATGCTCGGAATTCAACGACAGTCATTATTCCTTCAGTTTTTTCCTGCCCTCTTTCTCTACCCTTACCCACTACTAGCTCACGTGCTTCGGGGAGTTTCATAATTTGAGCTGAGGAAGTGTGTTTCTTCTGAAAGGAGGGCCAGCAGCTTTGCGTAGGATGAAAGGGAATCCTCCAGATATTTTAGGCCTCTCTCTCTAGCCACCTCTGCTGTTGAGGCTTTATCAAAAGTCATTACTAACAATAAAGGGCAAATCTGATTTTTTTTTTCCTGATGTTTTTAACCAATGCTAAGAATCAAGGACACTTCAGGTATTTCAAAGGACACTATGATGGGTGCTTCTATGACGGTCAAAGGCAGGCAGTGGACAAGGCCACAGCACCGTCCCATCGGAGGCCGAGGGTGGGTCAGACAGAGAGGAGACAGATAGATGCAAGTGGTTCATGAACAGCTCAGGTGAGAGGCAGTTTTATGAACAAACAAAGGAGGCAAGTTGCACTTTCCATACCTGGGTTTGCTCAGGCTTGGGGGGGACCCTCTCTTCTCTGACGTTTCCGGGGTCCCCTTGGCTGCACCCCGCTCCAAGCTCTGATCCTTGGCGGCCACGTCGGCGGGAGCTGGGAGTTCCGGCATTTCCTCGTCGTGCTGCCTGGCACCAGCCGGGTCTGTGCTGTCGTCTGGGACAGCGACCTGGGGCTCGCTGGCTTTGCTCCCAGGCTGCAGAAAGGCATCCAGCTTCTGTTCCCGGGAATCTGTGCGGACCATCTGGTAGCCATAGACCTTGTCGCCACTTTTAGAGGCAGGCGAGGGGGTCACTCCTGTTGTGGATTTAGCCACCTCCCCAGAGGGGCCTGCAAGAGTTGGTAGTAAAGTCTGTGACAAAAAAGAAGACGGCAGGAAGGTTCAGGATATGAAGTCTAGAAGTCCAGGTCCCAAAAGAGAGCAACACTAGAGAAAGAAGCTAAAACCGGGTATAATTATTATACAGAATCATTACTATAAAAGCAATACTGACCTAAATTTAAAGTTTAAAAATAAAGATATACAGATATAAAATTCAGCAAAATCCTTATAATCTTAAAATTGGTTTGACGTCGAAATATAAGTGTAAAGTTCTAGTCATTTTAGGTTTTACTTATTGATATTTTGCTACCATAAGAGGAGTTTTTTTTTATTGTGGTAAAATATATGTAACACAAAATCTACCATGTAATCCTTTCAGTGTACAGTTCAGTGGCATTAAGTGCGTCCACCTACAGGCGTCTTTATCCTCCCAGACTGAAGCGCTGTGCCCACTGCCCTCGCTGTTCTCCCCTCTCCCCCGGCTCCGGGGCGAAGTGGACTGGGGAAGTACCAAGTGAACCTCTACTATCTTATCACACCAGAAACAAATAAACTACCCAAGACTAATGGAGTCAGGTCAAAAGGACAAAAACACCAGCTTGAAGGGCCTTCCACTGTCTAAAATGGAATCTGAGCATCGAAAAATGAAATGCCAAAAAGGAAGAGAGAGAGAAATCAACACAATTGATTAAATTATATTGCCTTGTTAATTGCTATGACATGCTAAAAGGTGAAGAAAAAGATAGGGAAAGAGGAAGCAAGAGAGAGGGAGAGATAGTAAGAGACAGAAAGAGAGGAAAAAGTCATTAAATGTCACTGGAAATTGCTAGAACACCAACTCATTCCTTTGCAAACTGATAATTAAAGGGAGAATTCAGCATTTACCCTTACTTTCTAGTATGAACTGTATTTCAGGCTAACCAAATAGCTCTAACAAATGAGGGAAAGTTCTTCTATATAGAAGAATTATAATTAACACAGGAAAAAATAGTAAAATCAGAAAAGCACCATCTTGCAATCCCAGTGAAGTAACTGATTCAGGGAATGGCCACACCGGATGGTGAGACCACTAAGCTAAGTACCAATGGGGAGCTTTACAGTGAAGTGGTCAGGCTGGCACTGGATGAACCGCCAAAATGACACAGCAAGTCAGTATGTGCCTCCTGCTGGGATGCGATAGGAAGTACATGGCTTCATCTCCCAAGAATTCTTGCAAAAATTTTTTTAAACATCTCAATCATGCTTCTAGATCTGATTTCCAGTTTATAGTAAATATGGAGGATTAGAATGAGTTAAGTGACACCAAGGAGCAGCCAATCCAAAATGTGCATTATTCTACCGGAAACCTTTTAAAGAATAAGCCAATGGGAATGACATAAAATAGGGTGACTTTCCTAATTTCAAAGACACTTAAAAAGAGATTTAAAAGACATAACAACAAAACACCACATGTGGAAATTAACTGGATACAGATTTAAACAAAGCTTGTACAAAAGGATTTTGTAGGTTTTTCGACAATTGGGACATTTAAATATGGCCTGGCTATTATTATTACTATTCATTTTACTAGTTTAAAAAAAGGGACCCTGGACTGCCCTGGCCAGGTAGCTCAGAGCGTTGTCCTCAATTCACCAAGGCTGCGGGTTCAAGCCAGTCAGGGCACACACAAGAATCAACCAATGAATGCCTCAGTAAGTGGGGCAACAAATTGGATCAATCTTTTTTAAAAAAGGACACTGAATTACATGAGAAAATTATTTAAATTTCATAATAGAGTACCAAGTAAAAAAATAAATGCCTGGAATATGCTTTAAAACACTCCTTTCCTCACCCCAACGTGGGAGAGGAAGAAAGAAAACAATATGCATAATGTTGCTGGTCAATGAAGCTGGGTAATGGGTACAGGAGGATTCATTGTACTATCTATCTGTATGTGTGTTTAGAAATATACAATAATAAAGAGTTAAATAATAAAAAATGAAAGTAGCAACTTTGCTCAAAAAGGAAAAACCTTTCTTCATGGAAAACTCAAATCCCTTGCAGTGTATTTGCCTACGCAATATGCACAGGTGGGTTTTAGGAAGCAGAAATTAACACAAGTACTTGGCGGCTGGGAATTTTAAAGTCCGGAGGAGTGCAAGAGCTTGTCAATACGGCAGCACTGGAACAAACTGCGGGACTCCCAAGGTTTCTGATTTCCACAGCAAATGGCTTCACTGCAAACCAGGGCTTGTGCTCACCGGCCCTGGACAGTGGAACGCAAGGCACAAGCTGGGGAACAGGCAGAAAGTGACTCTGAGGCCCAAAAGTCAGGGACTAGGGTGGCCTGCTGTTGGCAGGGAGAGAAGGTAGCTTGAGGATGCACAGGAGCAGGGACAGCTCTGAGTTGGGACCCCGCCGCCCCCAACTATGCTCCTTGGCTTGTGCACCAAGAGAAAGAGGCAGGCGCTCCAGTCCACAGCCTCCGGGGGCCCAGTCCCTCCGCCCTGCCCAGTGTATGCAGGGTCAGCCCCCTGAACATCTCCCGGAGAGGAGGCCACTTGGACAACGAGCGCTATTCTGTCTCAGACAGCTTGTTTTCCTAGGAAATCTCTCTAAGATCCTAGAGGGAGGCGGAATGAGAAGAATTTAGGCCTCAGGACTCCAGGGTTAATGTGAAGGTTCAGAGTGAGGTTCAAAGATGGAAATGTCACTAAAAGAAAACTATCAAATACGTGGAAAGAAAGCCCTAAAGCAACAGGCAAAAATCTGGGCTCTCACGTTGGACGGGCACATCTGAAGGTGGCAAAGGCGCCAGGGAAAGAGGGCTGATCGCACCTCACCTGGGTGAAGTACATCCTGGAGGAGTTGGAGCCCAGGAGCTTGCTCTCAATGTGCTGCTGCACCCGCTCCAGGATGCTGTCCTCATGCAGGAAGTGGACTTCGTGCTTTGTGGGGTGCACATTGACATCTACATTGTGGGGGCTGATTTCTAAACTGGCAGGAAAAAAGAGAGCAATTACCTGGGATGGTGGAGGATGAGGAAAAAATTCACACCCAGTGGATGCGGTGGCCAAAAGGCTTCGGGGAGGCCAAATGACAAAATGGTCAAAACTTCAGGGTCAAGTCTGAGTGACCTGGGTTCAAGAGCTGACTGCTACGTAAGAGCTGGGTAGCTTTGAGTGAGTTACATCATCTTCCTTTGCCTCAGTTTCTTTATTTGTAGAGTGAAGAGGTAATTCATATAAAGCACTCTGCATGTAACTGGCACATTTATTTTATGTCACCTGTTATTTTTGTTCCAGAACTAGTGGAATTTTTTATTATGTGACCTGGGGTAAGTTACTTAATTTCTCTGGGTTGGTTTTCTCACTTGTAAATAGGGACCTGTCCTCTACTTATTATTTGATATTAAATGAAGATCGAAACAAGAATATATATGTGAGAAAGCTTTCTATCATTAAAATGTAATCCAAAAGTCAGTTTAGAGGATGTGCAGGCTATCAACTTACTGCCTCAGCTCCAAGGCCATCTGTCATTGTTTGCTGTGATGATGGAGCTTTGCCATATGAACCTTTGTCAGTAGTGGGCGCTGGAGGGACCCAGGCAGTGGAAGGGGTTTCTCTGCCAGATTTGGGGCAATTTCTGCCTGGTTATGCATCTTTGTTTTACCAACACAGTGCCTGGCACATGAGAGGCTCTCAGTGAGAGTCTGCTACATGAGCAAACAAATGGAAGAAATCTGTGCCCTTCACCTGTGAGAAGGTACAGAACACCCTTTCACTGGTGGGTATGGGATTCACTCCCCCCAGGCTATCAGCAAGCCTGGCTCTTTCAAAGAGGACAGCACGATGGAGGGTTTCTGGTAAGTCTTGGGTGAGGAGTTTGGTGCTACATTACCTGAGGTACAGGAACGGGTGTGTGTTTTTGGGCAAATATGCTGCGTACACTGTTTCAATGGCTTTTCTTAAGGAAGTTGACTCTACCAGACGATCTAAAAAATAAAAGTGAAGGAACCAGCTAAAAACTGTCCTGATGGGTGGGGTGACAAGTGAACAGTCATACTCGCCATGAAATCACCTCAGAAGAACACGTCTGGAGTGACTCCCACATCAGACTCCCAGGGAAGAAGAGCCCCCTGTACCTGGGGCTCCATCCCCACACCTCACTATGGGCTCAGGACTCTCTCCTCTCGCCCAAGTTGTAGGCACGCGAGAGGGCAGTCAATTCTGCTCCCCACTCCCCCGCCCCAAGTCAGCCCGCCTGGACCACGTTTGCCCTCGCTGGGCAGTGGGCAGTCTGACACTGGCTCCCAGACTTTCCACTTTGCAAATACATAATGGCTACCTATCACACGCGCCATGTGCTGGGAGACAGTATGCTGGGGAATACACTAATTCCAACCCCAAGCTGTAAGCACCGCGAGAAAGGGGCGCGTGCCACACGGACACACGAGGGAGCAGTGGGCATCCAGACTGAGTAATGGAGGGTAAGGATGAGTTTTCTAGGCGTTTCCGGCAGTAGAAATACCCGACTGTACGCTGAAGGTAATTTGGGAAATGAGGCAGGTGAGGGGGGTGGAAACAATGAAAGCTGAAAGAGATAAGATTCAAATCAGAAAAAGATCTATTTTCAGAAAGCACGGCTTTCCTTTCTCCCTGGACAGATGACCTGCTGATGATCTGTTGTCCTGTGTCGGTGTAGTCAAGGGTATGTCACATCTTTTTATTTCCAGTGAGAAGAATGGCCGTGATTTTATCAGGGAGGAGACTATTGTTCTCTTGAGTGCTCATTACGTCCACATCCCCGTCACTGTACTAACACGTCCTGACCACCCAGGGCAGGTGTGGGTGCCGGACAAATGGACAGCCGGAGCCCCTCCGCTGAGATTTCTGACCTTGAGACATGCCTAAGGAGTGTTCTTAGTCCCTGCCACCCGAGTGAGCCCGCGCTGTGGGTAGACAGCTGAATGACATGTGTAGAGCCTGACCCCTCCTTGCTACCGAGGACTTGGCATCAGGACCAGATTAGCTAATGTTAATGCAGAGCCTGTGTGGTGAGCGGCCCCACCAGAAGCATGGATGTGACACACGCAGGAGGCACTGACGACGATCTCTGCTTGTCTGTTCTGTAGCCAACACATGCTACAAAGCAGTGACTCTTCACGGTTAGGAAAAAACACATGAGAAACATTTTCTGAGCCCTGAGTAAAGCAAGCTTTGTTCTGTACCAGGTTTATGCCCTTCCCGATAAAGTAGAAAAAGATCAGTGGAACAGAATGTGGCTATAAAATATTGGCTCCCTCCTTACTGTTTCTACATTGCTTTGAACTGCTGTCAAACATGTATAACGCAAGGAGGGACTATACCATTTCCAACAGCAAACAAACAACACAAAAATTATAAAGTAAGAGTTGCTTTAAACAATAAAGGTAAACAAACTATGAGGTTAAAATGATAAGAAATGAACACGTGGAAAGATGCATCTTGTTTCTGGAGGGAAACTGAAAAACATTTGAATGAGCCCATGTTTGGAATTATTTGTTGCTGCCCTGTCACTGTCTCTCAAAGCCATATAATGTCCAACTAAATGAAAAAAAAAAGCAGACTGCACAATATCTGCTTCATCGATATTAATGGACAGCCATCATGTAAACACTATGTCAGCAGAGAGACGAAGACTGGAAAGAAATCTGAGGAATTCCTAATTTATTTCGTTAATTTTCTCCCTGATTTTTAGTACTGTTCTTTGTATTATAAATAATTCCCATTCTTTAAAAAGGAAAACCTCACGGGGCTTAGCATTTACTTTTTAATAACATAGCCTACAAAGTACCCCCCCGCCCCCGGTCCTGCTGGGCAATCTCCACAGCAGACCTCAGACCAGCAGATCTAAGGAGAGGGCAAAGACCTGCCCGGGCCTGCCTGGGAAGGCTCGGGTGCCAGCAGGCGACGAAGAGGCGCTGGCTTGCAGGGCTGCCATGCCCTCTCGCAGGCTCCCTCTTGGGGGCAACAGTCAGCCAGCAATGAGCACATCTCAGAGGGGCGAGCAGACTTAGTCCAGAAACTAATTATAAACGCCTCCCAACCAAACCCCATGTCAGCACAAGGTGTTCCTGCATGTCATCAAGCCCGCAGATTAGGAATTTTCCCACGGATCCGTACAATCCCCCGTGGATCGATTTCCCCACTTGGTTCTGCGGCACTTACGGTTGATGAAGAGTAAGAAGATGCACTTCTTCACTGAGTAGTTTGCGTTGGATATGTAGCCTTTCATTTTGAAGGCTAGCGTTTTATCTTCGCACCCAACTTCTATCAGTTCTCTGGTGGGAAAAGAGAAATGTTGAGGCTTTTGAAAATACCAGAAAATTCAAATATTATAAAGAATAAGCATTGAAAAAATCAGGGCTCCTTCCCATAAACTAATTCTGCCAAATGAGGACCCCTGTGACTCGGCTCAGTGAGGCCCTCCGGGCCCACCCGTCAGTCCATCCGCCTGCCCACCCGCTCACCCAGCCAGGCAGCGTCTCCAGGCACCTGTGCTCTGCGCCAAGCACGGCTCTGACTGCTGGGACACAATGACGCGTCCGAGCTCTGGACCTTCATTCGGCCGAACCTTTCACTTATCTTAGTAGCTACGTCCCAGAGATGGGATTCCCAAGGAACTCAGCTCTGCTGGATCCTTCCAGGACTGAATGCCACACCATAATGAGGCTCCAGGGTAGTGTCCCCCAGCGCATGTTTTTGGGGAGGTAAGGGTGATAGGCGAAAGGAAGTCCTCATGCAAGTCACACTCGTTTCTGCCTGCAGGGGGGTGAGGGGGACGCTTCCTGAGTGCTTGGTCCCTCTGCCTGGAGAGCTCCTGCGGTCAGCTAGCTAACTCCTCCATACCCCTCACATCTCGGGGTACTTCCGCAAAGTACCTTCTCTGCCTCACTAAGAGGTTCTCCCACAGCGCCTTCTACCTTTCCTTTGAGGCATCCAGCACAATCACTAATGAATGGTATGGTTACTTCCTGTGTCTCTCCAGCCAGAATGTGAGTCCTCTGAGGGCAAGTATCATTTCTGCTTTATTGCCTCCTGTGTAGCTCTACCATATACCATATAGCGGCCAGCAAACAGCAGGTGCTCAGCAGGCACAGGCTGAATGGGGTGCAAGCTCTGCACGCAGTCGCAGTAACCTGTGTTCTGAGTCTCTGAGGACAGGATACAGCGGGCAGCGTTCCCCATACACAACAAACCAACAAACCTTTTCTTCCCAAAACGTCTCAGGAGGCTGGTGTTCTGAAAACACACTTTGGGAACTGCTGCTCCAGGTGGGATTTCTAATCGCTTACAGTCCCTAGGAATTTCCTAACAACTAATTCTGAGTCCTAAAATTTGGCCAAGAAGCTCTTAAAAGTTTCACTAGAAAGTACACTTTCACTTAAAAGCACACTAGAGTGCTCTCTGAGCTTTGGGAGCACAATTTTAAAACAATTCATTCATTACCACTTAATTAGTAAGAAAAAGGTAATTAAAAGCAAATGGACCGTCCCCTAGTTAGAAACTTGGTTTTGCTCAAAGAATAAATAATTCGTCTTCAAAGCAGCAAACCGGGCTCTGTGCTGGCTGCTGCCACTTTTAAGGTTATCTGCGGAAGTGAAGGCAGGGGTTGCGTCGCTCCCGCATGGATCCCCGCGCCTGACGCACGCCCGGCACACACAGAAGGATGTCAGTATGTTTCCGCTTAGATGACGACGTAGGCAGCTGGGGCTTTCTCAAGTCCTGAGGTTGAGCTAGGCATGCGTGCCCGGCACGGTGGTTTTGGTGGTGGTGGACATGGTGGCAGAGGGGACTGCCATAAGGAATCTGCCTAGGCTTTCCCTGACGAGGAAGATTTGGTGACACTAGCATGTCTGCCTGCCACCAGAGAGGGAGGTCTTTAAGAGCAGGAAATACTTTATTCGTCTTTACATCCTTAACTCTCGCACAAAGCCTGGAATATGGGAGGCAATTAATAAATGTTGAATGATAATCTATAAAATCCTGAAGTGATGAAAATGGGAAAAAAAGGAAAAAAGGGAGCATTGGAGGATAAAATATACATCTGTGATATCCATGTTTGAAGACAGAGGCCTGGAAAGAACACACTGATTTTTATAGCCAGACCATTTAAGAAAGAACATGTACCCATGTGCTGGTTACATAAAATAATGACTCTTAACAATCTGAAGCGTGAAAATCACCTGCATATTTAATTAAAGCAAACAGTTAAGGCAGGTGCTATCTTACCCAAAATAATGGGATTAAATGCCTAAGATTTTTTAAAAAATGTAAGTTCTCAACATACCGGCTCACAGCGTTTCCAAAAACGGAGCGAATGTTGTCCACGGTTGTGGCACTGGGCAGAGTTCTGACGTCAGCTACTGTCTCGCCTTGCTGACAAACAGAACAGAAGGCACGACTTACTGTCTCATGGCTGTGCTTGAAACATGGTAACATTATCTCTACAGGCAAGCTATAACAAAATCCTTTTTTCTTTTATAACACATGACCACCCCCTAAGAATCAAGAACTTACTTTCTTAACTGAGAAACCAACGCCTGCATTGTGTATCGAATATCTGGCAAACAGGAAAACAAAACACAACAGTAAGCAGAGTGGCCAAATATACGATACATGTCAGAGCCCCTGTTTGGTTAAATAAATTGTTGGAGTTAAGTGATGTAAACGAAGACAGATACAAAAGAAAATATCATCATGTGTCATTATGTTAAGCCAGCAGAGACTTCATGGAGACACCAATGCGAAATGTGGCGGAATCAAACAGAAAACAGGGTTCCACTCTGCCTTTACAGGTTGCTGATGAGATGCAGGAGCGTCTCAGTTTCCTCCTCATCTACAGTCTCGCAGACTCCAAAGGTCTGCGTTGCCTCAAGGACATCATGAGACCTTAGCTTTAACCCCCTTGATACACCTGCTCTTCTCCCACTTCTTCCCAGACCCGAGGTCCTGGCCCGTGTCTCCCGGCCCCTCCTCAGCTGGCCAAACCTATTACTCCTCCCTGCAGGGGTCCCAGGAACTGAAGGGTTGTGTCTAGCAAAATGCACTAATTCGGTAACAATTAATGACTCACTTTACACCTAGAAATAGAACAGCCCACTAGAGCTCCTTTATTTCCAGGAGATAATTAATATTCTGACACTGGTTTATACAATTCCAGGGAAAAGCAAAGAAACTTGATGTCTTTTCTGTTCCACTTTACTGGGGCAATGTTTTATTCACGTTTGATTTTTCAGGATTACTGCAAAATAGTGAACATGTCTGTTGCAGGTCAAGGACACGCAGGCTCAGAGAGCCCGCCCTGGAGCCCCTGTCCCAGTAGCATAAGTCTCTCACAGTGGTGTTTTCACCCGCCCCGAATCCCTTCGCCTCCTGCTGCAGCCCCTTGTCTTCCTCTGTGAGACCATCTCTTCCCCATTCCATTTGATATGCCCTTGGTTAAGTTGCCAATCAAGAAATCCTCTCCCCACTGATGTGGGTGCATGGGCACCAGACGGAGGACCCAAGCTATGCCGATCAGATGCCCTCTCCCAGGAGACTCTTGAGCAGAGCCAAGAAAAGGATGAAAACAACTGGAACAGGGTCACTACACTGTATCACTGAAGCTGCCCTGGTTCTTGCCCAAGGAGCAGCTACCCACACTTCTTACCCCTTGGAGAGTCACTCCTAGACTTCCACTAATTACATTGTGGGCTCCGTTTAGCTAGAGTCTGTTTGTTTTGCTTGTCACTAAAGAACCCCCACTGATCAGACACCAACTGCTCTCTCCTGGGAACATGAGAGAAAAGCCAGAATTAGTGACTAAACGTTGACGAGAAACATTACGCAGGCTAGTACTGCCGTTTTCTAGCTCAGCAACTGTTTTGAGTTCACAAGCACTGCAAGCCATTCCTTTGGTGAGAGATCTGAGACCCACGCCCAGATTTTGAACTGTACCTGCCAACAACTTCCAAAATTTTCCCATACTCTTCGCTTGGGTTTTTCAAAGCTTTCCTCCTTGTGGATATGTTGTAAAAAAGGTCCTCCACCTGAATAGAAGATTGAGTTTTCTTATAAATTCACAGATATGGAAAGAAAGACCCAACCAGTCCACCTGCAGCTGGGTGTTAAGTCAGAGAATCCAACTCTGTTTATGGGGAGCACCATCTAAGCACTGACTGGGTGGGGTTAGGAGACAGCATAGCCTCAGCAAAGGAAATTAGGGATATCTTTCCTGCCTCCCACATTCATGCACTGATCTCTCAAACAGGTACTGGGGGCTGGCTCTCCGTTAGGCTCTTTGTACTGGGACTATGAAGGCAGATAAAGGACAGTCTTCCCCAGAATAGCACAACATTTAGTGGGGCAAACATAAATTTACAATCATAATGTCACATGGCATTCGAACACTTTCCAACTAAGAATAATGACAAAATTTCTGAGATCACTTGAGGTTCTCAAAAATCCCACCGTGGTCACCCGGTACCGGGTTCCTCGTAACATGAACTTCGAAGCACACATTCCTTCCTGCCTGCCGCCTCCCTCGCCGATCCCGGGGGGCAGCATCTTCAGGGAGAGGCGCTCTGGCCGGGGTTGGAGGGGGTGAGGTGGGATGCACGACAGCGGGATGCTTTGTGGGATCACAGAGGGCGAAGGGGCCAGACGTGGCACCCCAGAAATAAGGCGGTGCAGTGGACCTTCTCCTGGTGGCACCCTCAAGTTACTCAAACACCCTTAGAGCGGCCAGGCGTCCTTTAGTCCATTTGATGGGTGAGGATAGTGAGGTTAAGGGACGTTAAACAACCTGACTTTGGACACACCACCAGTGAGTGGCAAGGCTGGGACTCTGACTTCTCCTATCTTCTGGAGCCAGGCTTACGGTTCTTTCCATGCCAACGACCCCGCTCCTGATGTCTACCATCCCAATAAAGAGACCCTCCCAAGCTTCTTAAAAAAGACGAGGGATGGACAGGCTGCCATGCCACAAAAGCCAGTCATCATTGCTCTGGCATAGAGGATGATATCTTGGGGTTTCTGTTAACTAGCAGAAATTCGCTTTACTGTTACTGTGAAAGTTCAGAGACTATTTCATTTCATTATTTATACAAAGCTCTTTTTCAACGATCTACCCACCCGCACCCCATTCTCACCGTGATCTGGGTGCCCTGATTGCCTGCACATGGTTTAGGAGGCGCTTTCAGCTTCCCGTCTGAGTAACTTGCTCTAATCAGAAAACACAGGAGATTATAAATATCCAGCAGAAACAGAACAGATACTTACTTATCCAAAGGATAAAAAAAGAAATTTATACCAACGATACATTGGAACAAAGCCATGTTATATATTGTCTTAATTACCATTTCCCTCTTCATTTTTCCACTACTTCCATAACCATTCCAATATATATCCCTGTTCTTCTAGCAAATGTTGCTTTTTAGTTCTTGAGGGTTTTTTTTCTAAATTCTTACCTGAGGATATGTTTATTGATTTGACAGGGAGAGAGAGAGGGACAGAGAAGGAAGGAGGAAGGAAGGAAGGGAAGGATGGGAAGGGGAGAAGAGAGAGAGAATTAATTGGTTGCCTTCCATGTGCTTCTTCACTGGAGACTGAATCCGCAACTGGGCTACCATGCATCAGGCCTACAGAGGCCCCAGTAACAAAGAAAGGCCTCGGAAAGCTCTTGATGTAGTGAGAGTGTACACGATGGGCTAAGTGATCTCGAGAAGGGAACATTCAGCCTAGGGTGAGAGTGGGGGTAGGTGAAGGTGTCACAGAAGAGGTGACAATTCATCTGTGCTCTAGGGAGGAGTAAGTTTCAGGTGGAGAGGGCAGGGAAGATCATCCAGGAAGGGAAAAATATAAACAGAAGCACAGAGGCTTTAGAAAATATTGCAGCTGGGGACGTGAGGAGAGGAGGCTGAAAGGCAGACTGAGCGCACAGGAGGAGGGCGTGACCGCCATGACGACGATGTCTCTAGGTTTCATTCCACCCCCAAAGGGGAGTTACCACAGGTCCAAGCAAGGGCAAGATGTGATCCCAGAGGTGAAGAAACGGAAGTTGTCTCCCCACGTCATGAGAAGGGATTCCAATGCTATCGGCCTACCCAGATCCCAGGGCAGTTATAATTCACATGGGGTCAAACTCCTCTAGCGTCAGTCCTGGGCACTCCGAAACACTCTGCTGTCCACTCCCTCACACATTTGTCTGTTCAAGAGACTGAGAAACGGGCAGGACCGCCCACTAGCGGGTGGCCAGAGCTCAAAAAAAACAAAGTGTGATTTTTGACTCCTTGAATCCTATTTGTGTTCTGTTCTCAGGCCATTCTTCAGTCTCTGAAAACTGTGCCAGCACAACAGTCGGTCAGGGGCCGCCCTGAGGAAGCCGAGCCACATGGGCAAGCACAGGTCTGGTTGTCAGTTCAATGCGATGCCCTGCCACTCAGAATATCTCTGTAACAGACACCTGGCTGGATGCTTGTAATATGTCACATCCTATCTTTTAAGAACCCATGAAATAAGATTATTACCTAATAACTTCCTCTGTGGATTATTAACTAATCCAAAGGGAGGCAAGAAAATTTACTCAAGATCTCGGCCAGGAAAGGTAACATTGGTGTTTAGGCAGGACTACTTTGAGGTGTAGACATAAAGCACATTTCTGGATGAATGTACCTGTACGCGCACTTTCCATCAGCTGTTTTGGTTGTAATTGTAACGTGAGCCACGTGGCTTATGCTGGCCAAAGCCTAAGGAAGAGAATGAAATGGAGTGAAAACATTCACTGCCAAGTCAACCCTGTCACACCATTTAGGGAAAGGTTACCTAGACTGCCTCTTCCCTTCCGCATTAACAAACGGCGACAATGAGCACTTTGTTCATTCACTTTGCAAACATGTTTTAGAAATAGAGGAGAATATCACATTGAATCTTGTAGCATAGTTATTAGAACAGGGGAAAAAAATATATTAGAAAGTCCAAAAGGAAACACACCAAAGAATCAATGTACTAATAGCAATTCTGTTTAGGGGTAGAGTTACAGATACGTTAAATATTCTCAATGATTGGTCTTCTAACACTTTTAAAACTTACCTTCAGAAATGGAAAATAAAGTCAGTCCAAATAGATAATATTGTATACTTTTTAAAACTGTTTTCTACAAGCAATTACATGTTTAGAAATGTAAATTTAAAATTATGTAATCAAAACAAAACAAACTAAAAATGACCTTTTTCCCCCCCTCTAAAATCAAGATGGTTTCCCTGCCCTTTGGAATCTCTAGCTCCTTTCACAAGGACGTCATTACATATAAAAACCAACCCAGGCACTGTGACGGGGTCTGTGTGATGGCATCTCAGGAGAGAGCGAACGGAACCCGTGGCAGGTTCACTTCACTAACAAGGAGTATCAGGCTCTAAGACACATGCGTCCTACCTGGATTTCCCTAGTATATGTAACTGAGCTAATTTTCATCATGAAAAATGTAAGTAATTTTGACATCTGTGTAAGGAAGGACATTAAGTATACACAGTGCCACAATACTACCCAACACCAGGAGAAGAGCGTGCCACTGGCAGACGGTCCGCTGTTTCAGGGGCCTCTGTGCTGGCACCGGGGCCAGTGAGAGGAGCACAGGCTCTGGAGTCAGGCTCGCAGGTTCAGCTCCCCAGCCTGCCCCTTCGAGCTGTGGGCCCCTGCCATGCTTCTTAATTTCTCAGTGTCAGTTTCCTCATATGCAAAACAGGATAATAATAGAGCTTACTCTGCAGAGTTGTCAAGAATAAAGGAGTTAGTACATACGAAATGCCCAGGACAGGGTGGCAGGCAGAACTCCTTCAATCCATTTTCTTCTTTAATTACAGTGAAATAAACCCCAAAATACCCTGTAGCTAGGGGAAGGTTCCAGGAGGGTTTGGAAACTGACCCAGGACGTTGCCAGGCCAGTCTGCTGAAGCCTCCGTAAAATCTGGGGGCCTCCGGGTAAATACCCTGATATCACCCCGCCCTGCAACAATCTGGGGCTCACTTCAGCTCGAATGCTTGAGACCACTCTGGTTTGATCTAAATTACAGTGATTGGGTAGTGGCTGCCTTAAAAAATTAAAGTTATACATGCACATGAAGAAAAAAAACCTACAGAAAGGCCTAAATGCAAAGTAATTCCCCTCTCCCACCTCCATTCTCATTCCCCTCAAAGAGCTGCTCCATAACAGCGTCTCTGGTACCCCAGCACCTCCAGCAAGGAGTACAGCCCTGCCAATATGTGTACTGATGCCCATGTCTTCTGACCTCCAAACTGTAAGATAACAAGTGTGTTGTTTTAAGCTACCAAGCTTGTGGCCATTTTTTTCAGCAGCAATAGTAATGTAATACAAACTGTTTGGAAAGTATACATATTTTTACTTAATGAATGCTATTTCTATAAATTGATCCTAAGGAAATAACTGAACAAAACACAGTGTATGTACATGAATATTCGTGACAGTGTTAAACAGAAAAAAGGGGCAAAGAGCATAAACATTCAAAAAGAAACCATCTGAATAGGCTACAGTACATACATGTAACAGAATAGTATGTAGCCATCAAAATTTATCTAGCTCTATATACATAGTGAATGAAAAAATATCTGCAGAATACTGTCATAAAAAATAAGATTATTTTAGTCTTAAAAATGTATTTTATCTATTTTCTGTACCATATGTTCCTATGCTACATCATATAATTTCATCCACATATATTTCGGTATACATCTTACAGCATAAGGAAGCAAAAGTAACCCATGATACTATTTTTACACCAAGAAAAATAACAGTAATTTCTTAGTAAGTCAGATAACCAATCTGTGTTCAACTATCTCTGTCTCAAATCAGAATCCAAGTAAGAGCTATCCTCTGGAGCTGGTTCATGCAGCTCTTAAATCTCTTTTAATCTACAGGTTCTTTGATCACACAGTTTCCCAATCTCAGTATCATTTACCATGCTCCCTCTATTTTCTGTAGATTGTATCTTATTTATCTGTTGAGATACATGCTGATAAATGGCAGCAATGTCATCCCAGCAGGACGTTTCACACATTTACTTAACGCTTAGCGTACCTCACCCCGAAAGCCATAGGTAGAGATATTAGCTAAATCCTCAAAACATTGCAGTTTACTTGTAGTGAACCTCTCGCACACAATATCCAGATCTTCTTTCTAGAAGACACCAAAAAGGAAAAAAAAAAAAAAAGAAGGAAATAATTATGTTATTCATTTTTTCCAAATCTTTTTTTATCTTTGCCTTTCTTGAATGAACCTAAGAAGAAACTCCTCTTAGGAATAAGCAGTAACGTCCTCACTTGGCAACGGAAAGACCACGCTGGCCTGGTGCTCCTCCGTTCTCACTTGTCTCCCTTGTCTCATTTGCTGGTCCGTCGCCCGCTCTCTGACAGTGAGTGGGGGAGCCCCGGACGCCTCCCTCAGACCCCTTCTCTGCCTACACACGCTATCTCGATAATCTCATCCAGTCTCATGGATTGGATAAAAATTATGACAAAATTTCCTTATTAAAAACCTAGATACATTTTATGGATACATTCAACTGTAGTAAAATATACATAACAAAATTTACCACTTTAACCATTTTTAAGTGTGCAGTTCTGTAGCATAAATACATTCACACTGTTGTGCCACCTTCACCAGCATCCACGTTCCCAAACTGAAACTGTACCCATTAAACAAAAACCCTCTATTATCCCTCTCCCAGGCCCCTCGTAACTACTGATCTGTCTTTTGTCTCTGTAAGTTTAACTACTCCAGGAGCATCATATAAGAGGAGTCATACAACAGTTGCCCTTTTGGGGCTGGCTTATTTCACTTAGCATAATGTCTTCAAGGTTCATCTGTGTTTCAGTATCTGTCAAAATTTCATTCGTTTTTAAGGCTGAATAATATTTCTTCATACGCATACATCATATTTTGTTAATTCATTTATTTGTTGACACACGGGTTGCTTCCAAGCTTTGGCCATTGTGAATATGTTGCTATAAACATAGGTGTACAAATCTCTTCTAGACCTTGCTTTCAATTCTTTAGGGTATATACCCTGAAGTGGAACTGCTGGTTCATATGGTAATTGTTTAATTTTTTGAAGAATCATTATACCATTTTCCACGAGGGCTGCACTATTCCACTTTCCCACGAACAATGCACAAGGGTTCCAATCTCTTTGCATCCTTGCCAATACGTTCTCACTCCCATCCTTCCTTTCTCCCTTCCTTTATTTATTTATGCCATCCTAATGCATGTCAAGCGGTGTCTCACTGTGGTTTTTACTTGTATTTGCCTAATTAATGGTGTTGAGCACCTTTTCATGTGAGTCCCATGGCTTTTAATACCATCAGAATGCAATACACCACATTTTTATCTCCAGCTCAGACCTCTACCTGCACTCCAGACTCACACACGTATCCAACTAAAAGGCATCTTGAGTTTATCATGCCCTCAAGTGATTTTCTGATCTTCCCGGGAACCCACTTCATCCACAGTCTTTCCCATCAGTGAATGGCAACTTTTTTCTATTTCCACAGCTATCATTTTTGACTCCTTTTTCTCTCACACCCAGCCGCAGCAAATTCTGAGAGCTTTGTCTGCATCATCAACCCAGAATCTCACTGCTTCTTACGTCTCAACTTCGACCAGACTGGTCCAAGGCACCACTTCCCCTCCCCCGCGTGGCTACAAGGGCCTCCTCACTGCTCCTGTCCTCTCCCACTACAGTCTGTTTTCCACACTGTAGACAAAGTGTTCTTATAAAACTCACTAAACCATGGTACCTGTTTGCTTATATCCCTCTAATAGCATCCCACCTTCTTCAGAGTAATAGCCCACAAGTTTCAACATGATCGGTATCGGTCTGCTTATCTTTCAGATCTCATCCCCTGTTCTAGACCCACTGGTCTCCTTGCTGATCCTTAAAACATGTCAGGCACGCTTCCATTTCATGGTTTTTGCATGTACTGTTCTCTTTGCCCACAACCTTCATCCTTTAAATGGCCTCATGGCTCACTCCTTGCCGTCTTTATTCTCCTGCACAGTGTCCACTATAGAATGGGAACTCAATAAACAATTATTGACGGTATTCAATTTTTCAGTCGAACAATCCCATCCACAGAAACCCAGAGTGTCCAGAACAGGGAATGGCTCTGCCACGTCCTGCAGATGCATCACACGAAGCATGCAAACACCCTGCCTCTCTGAGGTTTAACTCACCCTGATCCCGGTGCCATTGTCTTGGATCTGAATCAGCTTCAGGCCTCCCTCTTTTACAACCACCTGAATACTTGTGGATTTTGCGTCTAAACTGGCAAATCAAACAGAAAAAAAATCAGTCTGTAATGACCCTAATGCACAAATTTTAACATGAGCCAAGTAATAAGAACAAGTTCCAGATGAATAGAAGACTGATTAATGTTTTCCCTTTGCCTCACAGGCTCTGTATCTACATTATGATCAGTTTAGAGAAAGGGAAGAGAGGGGCAGAGGGGGCCCACCGTCATTTCCAAAAGAACATTCACCACTATTTCTGTTCCTCTAGGATGGAAAGTGAAGTTACTTCTGTTCCTCTAAGATAGAAAGTGAAGTTATATGCGCTGTTAGCGCGTGTTTTTCTCACCTTCTTCTCCAAGTCTACCATCTGTTATTCAAACTTTATTCAGCCTTAGGTTCCTGAATAACTCAGTTGGAGTGTTGTTCTGTACAGCAAAAGGTCCCGGACAGGGCACACACCTAGGCTGTGGGTTTGATACCTGGTGGGGGGTGCTTTTGGGAGGAAACCCATCAATACTTCTCTTTCTCTGAAATCAACAGATATATCCTCAGGTGAGGAGTTTAAAAAGTTAATTATAAGCCACTGAGCTAATATGTTTAGTTTTGCTGTACTAAATCCTGTGCCAGGATTCTGGCACGGTACAACAATGGGCCCAAAGTGTTCTGTCAGTTAATCCTAATTAACTGTAGAAACAAAGGCCAGCTTTTATAAACTGTGTAAGTCTAGTCAGAAGAAGAAACTGTTTCTAGGTTCCCTGTTCCTTCTATTTTCTTTCTCTCTGCCTTCTCCGTAGTAGTGCTTTCTGATCCACTGTTCTTTCAGTCCCGTTATCCTGAGTAGTTTGTTTTCACAATAAACCCCTTTACAAATATACCATTCTTCACTGGGGCATTTTTTTCTTTTAAGCTATGGATTTTACTAACATCAAGTTGACTAACACAAAGGATCTTATGTAATTTTTAGGTACGTTATAAGCATATCTTTTTCGAGGTTTACAGTTTACACCCACCTTTCTTTCCACGTTTTTAACCTCTTCCCTCTATATTGCCTGACATTTCCAAACTTCAGAATCCACAGAATACCTTTTAAAATCAGGTATCTTCGAAGTGTCCCCCATAAAAGTAAAGGGTAAGAAACATTAAGTGGGATCACTATTTTGGCATTAGGAAAATCCCAAGTTATACCCAGAGAAAGTCGACCGGCCTATCCTAAAATCTCAACAATTTATTTGGAATAAAACTCAAAATGAACTGTATTTTTAAATATGCATGATTTTTTTTGGAATAACCCTGTAAATGATGAAAGAGGAAGGAGATTTTTTTCCCCATCGTAAATTTTTATGTATTTTAAAATCTGCACTTTCCGCATATATAATTTTTAAAGTATTTCCTTTGGTTAATGACACCATTAAAATAATCCTGCGTAGCCTTCTAATTGCGCCCCCAACAATCCAGAAAAAGTCTCGCGACAGCGCACGGCCAGCGAGAAAAGAGGACCCCCGCCCCACCGCCCCGCCAAGACCTCCGCCGCTGTAGGCATGCGCTATACACGCCTCCGCTCAGGTCAGGGAGGCGTGTCCGCGCCATATGAGGAGCGGCCCGTTAAGTCGTAGCTTCTGAGGAAGCCCAGGTACCTCCGTACCAGTTCTCAATCATCTCCTTGATGGCATTAGCCGGTCGCTGGATAACTTCCCCTGCCGCGATGCGGTTCACCACTGTCTCGTCCAGCCTCCGAATAACCCCCGCTACGAGCGACATTTTGGCGCCACACGATCCCAGGTCAGGTCAAGATGCTCGCCGGCCGTGCCGTTAGCCAATCACGACAGTGCTTCGTGCTTACATCATTACCTTAACTCTGTTTACGCCGTCCTGTCCCCTACCCCTTCTAGCGGCAGGTCCCCTTCCGAGCCAGGGAGCTATTGATTGGGCGGTTTGAATGCCAGTCAAACTTCTTAGGGTTCCTAGGCCCCTCCGTTTCTCCCTAAAGTCGCCTCAGCCCTCTAGCTAAGAGGATTTGCGCCTGCGCGATAGAAATCAGTGTCCGTTTTTCCGGCCAATAGGAACGTAGGTACCCTAGCGGGAGGTTGGTGTCGCGCTGCTGGGGTGATCTGGCGCAGAGCTTAGGTAGCGTTTGGCGCTTGCTCCTGCTCCGCCTCTCTGCTTGCAATCACCGGGACGTCTGCCCAGCTCTTTTGGTCGCCGACACAATGTGGATGACACCTAAAAGGAGCAAAATGGATTTCGAGGAAACTCGGGGATTCCGGCCCGAATGGACCCAACGCTATTTGGTGGTGGAGCCTCCGGAGGGCGAAGGGGCCCTGTGCCTGGTCTGTGCCCACCTCGTCGTATCCACCTGTGAACGCGACGTCAGGCGCCACTACGAGGCCGAGCACCAGTACTACCAGAGGTATGTGGAGGAGGGCGAGCGCGCGGCCCTGGTGGAGCGCCTGCGGCAGGGGGACTTGCCAGAGATCATCCCGCCCACTCCTGAGGAGAGAGCTGCTCGAGCAGGCCTCGGGATCGCCCGCCTCTTGGCCTTGAAGGGTCGCGGCTGGAGTGAAGGGGACTTTGTGTACCAGTTAATGGAGGTGGTGCTGAAAGATGTCCTGCCGGATCACGTCGGCGTTTTGGGTGGCATTGATTTATCTCCAGACACCATCCGGCAGAGGGTCCTGAGCATTAACGAGAACCTACGCAGTCAGCTTTTTAACCGAGCCAAGGACTTTAAAGCCTACTCCCTTGCGTTGGACGACCAGGCTTTTGTGGCCTATGAGAACTACCTCCTGGTCTTTGTCCGCGGTGTGGACCAGGACTTGGAGGTGCAAGAAGAGCTTCTGACCATTATCAACCTGACTCATCACTTCAGTGTTGGCGCGCTCATGGCAGCGATCCTTGAGGCCCTGCAGACAGCAGGGCTTAGTTTGCAGCGAATGGTTGGACTAACCACAACCCACACTCTGAGGATGATTGGTGAGAACTCAGGACTGGTGTCGTACATGAGAGAAAAGGCTGTAAGCCCCAACTGTTGGAATGTCATCCATTATTCAGGATTCCTTCACTTGGAACTGTTGAGTTCCTACGATGTAGACGTGAGTCAGGTCATAAGTACCGTATCTGAGTGGATACTTTTGATTAAAACCAGAGGCATTAGGCGACCCGAATTTCAGGCTTTACTAACTTCATCTGAATCAGAGCATGGCGAAAGGGTTAATGGACGATGTCTGAACAATTGGCTTAGAAGAGGGAAAACTTTAAAACTACTCTTTTCATTAAGGAAAGAGATAGAAGCGTTCTTGGCTTCCGTAGGGGCCACAACAGTCCACTTCTCAGACCAACAGTGGCTTTGCGACTTTGGCTTCTTGGTGGATATTATGGACCACCTTCGAGAACTCAGTGAACTATTGCGATTCAATAGAGTCTTTGCTGCCACTGCCTTTGATCATATTTGTAACTTTGAAGTTAAGCTGAATTTACTTCAGAGACATATTGAGGAAAAAAATCTAACACATTTTGCTGCCTTGAGAGAAGTTGTCGATGAGCTTAAACAGCATGTTAAAGATGATGAGAAAATACTTGATCCAAATCGGTATAAAGTGGTGATCAGTCGCCTTCAGAAAGACTTTGATAGACATTTCAAGGACCTCAAGTTCATTAAAAAGGACTTAGAACTGTTTGCAAATCCATTTAACTTTAAACCTGAATATGCACCTATTTCGGTAAGGGTGGAGCTAACAAAACTTCAGGCAAGTTCTGAACTTTGGGAGGAATATAGAAACAAAGACTTGGGACAGTTCTATGCTGGATTGTCTGCTGAATCTTACCCAATTATCAAAGGGGTTGCGTGTAAGGTGGCATCTTTGTTTGATAGTAGCGAAATCTGTGAAAAGGCTTTTTCATATTTGATTAGAAACCAGCACACTTTGAGCCAGCCATTGACAGATGAGCATCTCCACGCCCTGTTTAGGATCGCCACGACTGAAATAGAGCCACATTGGGATGCCCTTGTGAGAGCAAGAAATGACCCTAATCCATAAGCCTTTGTAGTACAACATGGAAACATTCAACCAGAATCTAGTTCTAAAAACCAAATTTTGATTTCTCAAATTTTACTAATTTGGATCGTGAGAACACCAAGTTTATTCATTCAAATTGATCACAATTCAGGTTCTTCTGACAGATTTTTTTTTTTTTTTCCATCTCAAGAGTCAGCATGGGACTGAAACATGCAAACACCTCTTTTGAAACTTAATGGCAAAGTCATTGTCTTTTGCTTTTATGATGTAATTGTTTTTAAAGAAGTTTAGTACTGATGATGTGAGTTGAATTAGAAGTCTTTTTAAGGTGTTTTGAAGAAATTTTAGCTCTTATTTTAATGAAATGTTGAAATTCTGATGCGTATAGTCAGATTATCGGCTCCTTAAATGTATGTTTGAGCCAATTTGCAGAAACTCATATAGCAAATTCCAGAAATTTGAAAAGGAAGAATGTACGTTCAGTGGAGGTACTTTATCAAAATGTTTGAAACTTTTTAAAAATATGTGTCTGAGGTAAATATTGACAGGTTACCTCCCTCTTGCCTCCTCTCTGTCCACCCCAGTGATGATAATATTACTAATAGAGGATATAATCAAATAAAATTTTAGGAGCGAGAATCCTTTTTAAGTTGCTGGTTAGAAGGCTTCCTGCAATTTGGAGATAAGACTAACCAATTATTGGAGGTTTCCCCTGAATGATTCACAATTGGTTGCTGTTTTAGCAGCTCGCCTATTAAAGGACTATGGTAAGTATAGAATCTTAAAGATTGCCCATTAGTAATGCTTTTTTCTATTGTAGACAAATGTTTGGCCCTGTCAAAAAGGATGAGGCAAAAAGATTTTTGCACTTCAGGATCAGATGGTGTGAGATACTTTAGCTTATTTCTCCTATATGCATGGGTGTAACTGCTTTTTAAAGAAATCCTGCTTAAAGGAAACTATTTTGTAGTAATATACTATCAGATTTTGTTAGCTGCTCGAAATGGATTTATTAGAATATTTGAAACTACCCTCTGCATTCTGTATTTAAGACAGTGTACAAGTAGAAGTATTTAACTCAAGAAGCAGCTTTATTCAGGTTGTAGCAATTTCATATTTCTAGTGAGCCATCTGTTTGGTGATAAAACAGTAATTTTCAAATTTTATATTAACCATTGAAAGGAAATCTTACAGTAAAGCCAAATATGTAAAATGACTTAAAAACAGGACCCAGTTTATAGATCCTCTCAAGTACAATCTGAAAATATGCTGAAGTCCTAACTATTGTAACACCTTATTCTATGGTCGTTAGTCTAGCAAATTCAAGGAACCAGGATGCAACCAAGAATTTAGAAGGAACTGATGCCTGAGCAATCAAAATAGTGCCATAAGAACCCAAGAACCAAAATTGTGTCATTGGTTCTCAACCAGAGGCAAGTAAACCCTCTTTCCAGAGGATGTTGGGACATGCAGGGGACGTTTTTGGTTGTCACATTTAGTTGGGGGGGAGTGGGGGTTCTCCTGGCATGCAGGCCATAGGATAACCTGGCACACGAAGAATCGTGCTTCTCAAAGTGCCAGTAGACCCTCCCATTGTAGATTATTTTATTTTGAGGGACTGGGAAAATTACCGGTAGAAGCAAAATTAGAAGGCCAAGCTGGGCAGGCTGACAATACTTGATAGGGAACACCAATTCCAACATTCCGAGTTTGGCTGGTAAGGTTCAGTAAAGTCCTTGATATGTTCTGGTAGCTTACAATAGTATTTGTAAATCCATAATTGATCTTGAACCAGAAGAAGGACTTGATTCTATTACATACAATTCACTGAGAGCAGAAGAGCAAGAGTTATGACAAGATACCAAGAATGGTCAAGTTGAGATTTTAGTTAACGGAGTAGGCTTAAATTGGCGCGGGGGCGGGGCGGTGGTCGGTGGGGAACAGTGAAAATCCAACCAAACAAAAAAAAAGCTACCGGTAATTTCCCAATAGTTTGGGGTATTCTCTTTCATGGCAAGTGCTTTATTGAAAGAATGATTGGAAGACTTGAAAGTTACTCCTGCTTTCTGACCCTGGTTCCTCAGATAATGAAGTATTGTACATTTTGTGAATTTCTAGTATATATTTTGCTTATGGTAATAATAAAATTAGTTTGCATCATATAGTCACTGAGTGGGTGGGGATGGGAGATATAAGCCAAGGATTTTAAATTGACTTTGAATAATAGAGAATTTGCTATAAACTAGTCTTGTTTGTAAAGGCAAAATGTGTATTTTACTGTTTTCTGTATTCTGTAACTGCATGGCAGTCTTTTTTTTAATATTTTTTTATAAAGTAGTTGTTACTGGTCCTGTTGTATCAGTGAATATAGTTAAAATAAGTACTATTTTTTAAAAAATCTCTTATGTCCCTATATTTCTTATTCCTACTAGTGTTCTTAAAAGATTTGTGTATATCTCCATTCTCCCATATTGTCACTCAAACTGCTCTACCAAGCACACAAAGTCCTTGTGAGTATTCTTACCCTCTGACCACTCTCCTTGAAGCAGATGTTTGCTTTGGCTTCAGAGAAGTGTCCTGTCCAGATGTGCTTGCTTGTTCTTCTTTGTAGGTATCTCTTTCCCTTAAATATCTCGCTGCTTGGGGTAGCTAAGTTTTGTTTTAGGCCATCTTATTCTACATCATCTTCTTAGCTGATCTCATCTCTTTTCATGGCTTCAGTGACCACCAGTGTGCAAATGACTCACAAATTTATGTCTCCTTTCTAGACTTTTCCTAATTCATAAATCTAATGTCTAACTTAAGTCCATTCTTCTATCTCATAGCACCACAGCATGTCATTGATCTTGCCCTTAAGCCTGCTTCTCTCGTGTTCCTTCTTTTAGTAAATGGTGCTACCATTACTAACTACTCAGTTGCCTTTACCTAAGCCAAAACCTGAGTTATCCATTACTTTTTCCTCTTCATTCACCCTACCATTCACAGAAACCTTTTTGTTAAGTTCACTGTGTACATTTTTCTTAATTCTCCAGTGCTACTAATCTAATTCAGGCCGAAATGATAGCAATGGCCTCCTCTTTAGTCTCCCTTTCTCTGGTTGTTATCCCTTTCCACACTGCAGCCAGATTGTTCCAGAAGACACACCTGGTCATATTACTCCTCTGCTTTCACCATTGCTCTTAGGATAAGACACAATTTCTATTCATCTTTTAGGTCTCACTTTATAAAGCACTTCCTCCAGGAAGCCTTCACTGATGCCTGCTAGACTAGGTACCCCTATTGCACACTCCCTAAATACCTGTTTTTTCCAACTATACACTTAACACACATTATTGTTACTTGTTATTAATCACTGCTAGACTGCAAGCTTTATAAGGGCAGAGACCTTATGACTTGCCTTCTGTTATATCTTGCTTAGCACAATGCTTGGTGTTTCAATAAATGTTTGGATGAATAAATGTTTGTGTAGTGTTTCACGATCTTTGAAGCCCTTCCACAGTGTCTTTTTCCTCCTGTCTTAGACTGCTCACTGGGTAATGGTTATCCACATATTACAAATTAAGAAATGAAACTAAGTTCTGTTACTAGGAACCTCATTGTATTCCCAGACTGTAGCTGAGTGCTTGACATGTGGCTCAGATATGTGAATATTGTTCACACTTGGATTGCAACTTGCCCTAGTAAACATAAGTAGTAAAGCCAGGATTCAAACCCAGTCACACTCACGTAAGTCCACCATGTAATAAGTCATTACCTCCTTAATATAGAAGTCTTAATTTTTTCTTTAATTTCTAAAGGAACCTGAATGAAAAGCCCTGGACAACTATTTAGTAGACTAAATACTTAAGTAATTAGAATGTTACATTCAGGGTCAGAAAAAGATATACTGCTTAATAATTAATATCCGTTTTCCTTTCATAAGTATCAATCCTAGGAGACAATGGCATGTTATTTACTTGCTACTTTTCTTTACAGACAATTTCTGGCTCTTCTGGGATTTAAAAGTAAGTAAATTTAACAAAATATTAGAGGGATGACTCAGTCAGCCCTCCTGGTCACTAAATATTTTGTTCACTTGCCCTGGCTGGTATGACTCAGTGAGTGGATTGAATGCTGGCCTGTGAACTGAAAGGTCGCCATTTCAATTCCCAGCCCGAGCCCATGCCTGGGTTGTGGGCCAAGCCCCGAGTTGGGGGTGTGCAAGAGACAAATGATCATTCTACCACATCGATGTTTCTCTCCCTCTCTCCCACCCCTCTCCTCTCTCTAAAAATAAATAAAATCTTTTAAAAAAAAATTTGTTCACTTGCTTTCCTACCTGCAGACTGCCCTAATCAACCTCCCTAATGAAGATGACGCAAAAGTGACAATCTGGTCAACACATTCTTCTTAGATTTGCTGTATTTGGTTTCTTATTTGCAAACCTTTCTGAACTTAATTTCTAGGTACTGGGACTTTCAGACTATGTGGGAGAGCCATACCCTTATTCTCTTTCCTTGAGCCTTTTTGTCCAATTTAAGGGATTGACTGACTAGTGTTACACTTTTAGTTGGATTTTCATCTCATGCATATTAACTCTCAGAGATCATAATGGTAGGTATAATAGACATCCAGTGATTTCACCCTTGCTGCAAAACTGGGTTTTAATCAACCTTGGGATTAAAGCATTTCTCATTTTTATCTTTTTGTAATTGAGAAGTGGCCTCATCCTACTTAATAGGTCATTGAATTTGTGAATACTTATTTCTTTGTACTCCTGCTTGCAGTTTGGTGAATTTTTTTCTGAGTTCTGTCCATTTTGTCAAATGCAGCCAATGGCAGTAATAACATTTTTTCTTTTTCCTTTAGAAAAGGGTGCATTATTGGCCTTCCAGCTTCTCTCAAGGGACAGTTTCACCCTTCGGTAACATGAGTTGCCCCTACATAAGTTATTCCTTCCATCTTCCAATAGCAGCGTCCTGAATGTTTGCCAACTACGCCAATGTCCAATAGTTCAGGTTTTTTGAAAACAGAACCAGTTTCTGTATCTGGATGGGGTATTACATTGCCATACAATAACCACAAAATCTCAATGTCTCACACAACTTTTCTCTCATTTGGGCAGGGACTTTACTCTAGGACAGGGGTTGACCACAGGCAAAATCTGTCCTGTGCTTGTTTCTATAGTTTTATTGGAAGACGGCCTTGCCCATTTACCTATGTGTTGTCTATGGCTGCTTTTGCTTTACAATAGCAGAGCTGAGTAGTTGTGACAGTATGTGGCCCACAGGTCTAAATACTATGCAACCCTTTATAGAAAACATTAACTGATCCTGCTCTAAATTGTCCTCATTCTGAGACTCAGGCCAAGCAAGCAGATACCACCGAGGGTGTGGCTGCTCATTTCAGGGAAATGAAAAGAGTATGGCAAATCGCTCATGGGCCCTTAAAGCACTATCATTGGCCAAAGTAAATCACATGAGCACACCAAAGTTCGAGTGTAATCCTTCCATGTGCCTGGAAGGAAAACCATAATTATTTGGAAGACAACACTACTAATTGATTAACACATGGTTACATCTTTCTATTTACATAATTTCTCTTGAAGTTTTTTTTTTATTGTGGTAAAACTTTCAGTAAAGTGTGCAAATATTAAGTGTATACCACCGTGGATACTTACATACACCCTTGACTCCATCACCCAGACCAAGATAACTGAACGTTTCTGGCATCCCAGGAAGGTACTCGGATGTCCCTCCCATACACGGATAACCACTGTTCTCACCTTTATCCCCGTGAATTACTTAGTCTGCTTTAAAACCTAACATAAATGTAATAATTACATGTAATCATGACTTGTCTGACATGTCTTGGTGAGTCATCCATGTTGCATGTAGCAGTTCATTTTTTTACGTCTATGTAGTATTCCCTGGTATGATTAACACAATTTATGAATCCATTCCAGTATTGTTGGAAATACTGGTGGTTTCCAGTTTGTGGTTATGAATAAAGTTGCTATGGAGGTTTTTGTATGTCAGTGAACATGTGCACTTGTTTCTCTTGGGAGACTCTAGTATGTACCCTGCTTCCATGCTTCCCGCAAAGTAGTCACACAGCAAACAGAGTGGTCATTTTTTTAGAAATATAAATCAGACCATGCCACTCATATGCTCAGAATCCTCTCATGGCTGAATATCCGATCAGAATAAAATCCAAGGTCTTTTTCACGGTCTACAAGGCACTGCGTGACCTGCACCCACACATACCCTTTTCTTCCTACACGCTCTTAATACTTTCCTTTTTTTGCTTTCCTTAACTTCCCTCATTCTGCTTTACTAGACACTCCTTGTAAATTGGGAAATCAGGGTAAGTTATTTGTCCTTAAAGAGGTTGTACTCTACATAATGTACGTCATAAGACTTGCTAAGGTTATGACTATGCAGCAGAACAAGGACAAAAGCTATTTCCTGACCCCCCGTTACAGTGCTTTTCCCACTCATCCGTTGCTGTCGTCAGCAGAGGGACGCGCATTCCTGTACCCAAGAATCCTTGCAGGCATGCCCTTTGGTTCTAGCTAGTGAAGGCTGAGACAGGATCTCTTGGTGCTTAACACAGAAATCCTTTAGGATCCTAGGATTCTTTGAGATACCTTTACATTAGAATTCTTTAAGATACCAACATTATAAAATGTTCATATTTTGATGTATATTCTAGAGTAATTTATACATGTATTACCTGTTTCTAGAGGGTAGGAAAAAGTTTATCTGAAAAGAACAGTACAGGTGCCACATAAGGTGATTATTTGACAATTTTTCAATTCTCTGTCTCTTGCATGTAAATTTCTTTTTTCCAAAAAAAGTTTAATTCATTGACTTTTTAGAGAGAGAGACATCGATTTGTTTTTCCAGTTATTTATG